CCTCCCAGATGATCTGTTTTGCATATAGATTGAAAAGATGTGGAGATAGGACACATCCCTGGCGTACACCCTTCCATAAGACCTAAAAACCCAGCAAGACTATCTCTCATGTTGCCGCACACTTAAATTGACAACCGTGCTTAGAAACACTTTTTTTTTTCCTGTCATTTGCAGCGACATGTTAACTGTGGTTCGTCTAACTAACTGGAATGTGCCTTTAAATTGGTGGCTGCCTGTGTTCTGCTGGGTAGTAGCCACTGTGGTTATCTGTGTGAGAATCAGCATCAGTTTGGTTGTGGTTGAGAATAGAGGAAACCACTACAAGATAGAAACCAGGAGTGAGATTTTACATTTTATGTGGTATATCAAGCCATTTCCTGCTTCATTTCCTTGGTAATCTGGTTCAGGTGTTTATTTGTTGATTGAACAGACATTTGGGCATGAAATTGTGGGGTGACAGAAGCACGTACAGTAGATAGGGTGTAAGTTACAATAGAGGTCTTGTAGAGTATTGGATTGTAAGATGAAATCTTCTGGAATGAAATATTTGAGCTGAAGCAGAGTGAGAGTGCGTGCCTCCTGCCTAGCAAACAGTCTCTGAGAAGATGCTTGTGCAAAGTTTAGGGGACTTGAGAACGGAGGGATAGGACACGACTGGTGGTACATGTGGGGCATGATTTGACTGTGAGAACACATTCTTCTGTGTTTGGGTTTTTGTGGGGTTTTTTTTTTTCATTTTCTACTAGTTTATTTACAAAATTCGAATACATTGTTTTCAATAACAAATTCTTCCCATTTCCCTCATCCTCCACTCAAAAAATTTTACAACCCCATGATTAATCTCCCCTCCCCCTGCACATCCTCATCCCTCTGCTTCCAGCCTCTCCCACCCCTCCTGGATCCTTATACTCATTCTACAATAATGGGTTTTGTTTGTTTGTTTGTTTGTTTCACAAATAATAATTTTTATTTGTTATTATTAAAAGTCTGAATTTTAAACAGATTCTTGAACTGGTGGCTCATAGCCATCAGCTCGTTCACCTTTTGCACCTGTCTCCTCTCCAGTAGCTTTTCCCGAGCTCCCACCTTCACCATGAAGCTCCATGAGTTTGCCTAATTCAAACTTGGGCTTCTTGAGCATTTTTACTCTGTAACAAACACATCATGGAGAGGATAAATGGACTGGCATGCCTTTCCTGTGTCTTTCCCAATGCTGTCTGGAATCAATTTATTGAGCACCTCTTTCAAGTCATGTGTCTCTCTGCACCTCTCGGGTCATGATTTCCATCATTTTCTTCCGGATTTGGCAGACCTGTTGGTGCTGAGCATAAGATATCTTCCCAATCTGATTGCTGCATTATTTTTGTAAAACCAACACAAAATAGAGGAAGTAAATAACCATCGGTGGTTTTGACATCAACATGGGCTTCAGTCATGTTCTGCCATTTCTTGACCATGGCGCACATTTTGTCCCAGGTAGGGTCTATACCGTGGAAGTTGGTGAGGCAGTTTTTGCCTTGAACATCCTCAGTAATCAGCTTGAATTTTTCTAAACGCAGCTTCATCATTTTGCAAATCAGCAAGGCTCACTTAAAAAACACGACCCTTGAGTTCATAGGATGCAATTTTGGTTCCTTGAGTCCTTGTGACTAATGTCTTCCCAATATTTCTTATATTGAACATTGCTGGTGCCTTCACATCATACCAGTCTTTCTTAGAAAATGGATCAACCACTTTCTTCTTTGCTCCTTCTTTGCCACCTTTTGTAAGGCACTTGTTCTTGCCGACCACCATGGTGGTGCTGAAAGAACAAAAAATACAGTAATGGTTTTTATACAGTATTTATCCTCATGGGACTGAGTTAGTTCACTCAGCACAGTGCTCTCTAGTCCCTCCCAAGTTAGGTAATAATTTACAAAATCATTGCTCCTGCATGCCGCATAGTATTCCATTGTGTAAATGCACCATAATTTCTCAGTCCATTCATTTGTAGCCAGACATTTGGGCTATTTCAGTGTTCTTATGATGGTGAATAATGCTGCTATGAACATCGGTGTACAATCTCAGTTTGTGCCTCAGTTCTCCTTTTCTCGAGGTATATTCCAAGTAGTGGAATAGCTGGGTCATATGGAATTTCTACGTTCAGTTTTCTGAGGACACACCAAACTGCCTTCCAGAATGGTTGTACCATTTTACAGTCCCACCAACAGTGAATAAGGGTTTCAGTTTCTCCAAAACCTTGCCAGCATTTGTTGTTTGCTGCTCTGTTAAATTTTGCTATTCTTAACTGGGGTGAGATGATATCTCATAGTTGTTTTGATTTGAGCTTAGAGCTAGGGATTTTGAAAATTTTTCCATGTGTTTGTTTATCATCTGAATGTCCTTAGGTGAAGTGTCTGTTCATATCCTGTGCCCATTTTGCAGTTGGGTTGTTTACCTTTATCTTGTGTGTCACCTCATTGTGGTTTTGATTTGCATCTCTCTTGTTGCCATTGATTTGGAACATTTTTTCATGTGTCTGTTTGCCATTCGAATATCTTCCTCTGTGGAAATTCTTTCCATGTCTTTTGCTCTTGGGTTACCAAGCTTTTTTTTCTTGTGGAAGCCCAGGAGTATTCTGTAAACTATTGTTATAAGACTCTTGTCTGAGATGGTATTAGCAAATGTTTGTTCCCAGTCTGTGGGTTTTCTTTTCACCCTGTTGGAAACAGTTCTTGATACACACATGGATTTAATCTCTGTCCTCTGTGTTTGCTTCTCTTCTTTGTCTTCGTGCTTGTCTGAGGAGTTAGTGCTTTAACCATAAGGGAGCCAATGATGGGTTGTACATAAAATGACATGATCAGAAATGTTTTAGAAGGCTAAATTTGGCAATCATGTCATCATGTAGATGATGAATTGTAAGGCAGATTCTGGAAGTAGATAGATGGGTTAGAAGTAGTTGTAGTAATCTGAACAAAAGATGAGTTCCTGTTGTATGATTTTATTTACATGCGTTATCTAGAGTAGCCAGATTATAGAGATAATACATAGAGTAATGGTTGCCAGATGCTAGGGGCAAAAAGGGATTGGGAGTGGCTGTTAATGGCTGTAAAGTTTCTCTTTGGTATGATGAAAATGTTTGGGAATTAGATCATGGTTATGGTGTCAGGACATAAGAAAATGGCTTTTTTCAGCCATTGCCTTAGCCACTTCTAGGGGTGTGGTCTCTAGCTGCCTCAGCTGCAGACACATGGGTCCCAGTTGATCATCATCTTGTACATCCTCAATAGCTGTGGGGCCAACATTAGAGGGAGAGGTGGCTAGACTATGGAGAGACTGGCAAGGCATAGCCTGACAGAGCCCTGGAGACAGCGCCAGAGTTAAAGGATCTGCTTACTGAATGATTGAAGGAAGAGTTGACTTGTGACTGCTGTGAGGCAAACAAAACAGTTGAGGAAACCAGAATCTTCTTACATTTGTGTTGCTGGGATGAATTTGGACTTTTACTTGTTGACTGAGAAGCTGTCTGAACTAAATGAGAAATTATGTCTTGCTATTCACTTACTGTTCACTAAACTTAAACTTTCACTGGATAACACCCTTTGCATCTCCACTCCCTAACCTATTTCCCTAATAAATCGCACAGCTATGAGTAAAGTCAAGTCTGTGTGTCAGTTTGCAATGACTTGGTGATTAGTAGAAGCAGATGCAGCAGCATGGGGGAGCATGTCTAACCTTAGAGGGATCTGTGAATGTTGTTGATGGAGTCATTTCCCCTTTGTATGGTTAAATGTGGTTGAACTCAGTTTTCCCCACATGTTGCTCTTTTCACAGCAGCAATAGTTGTATAACTTTGTGTGTGTACTAAAACTCTCTGAATTGTACACTTTAAAAGGGCGAATTTTGTGTTTTACAAGTTAGAGCTCACGAAAGGAGAAAGGTGATGAGCTCCAGACACCAGCAGGAATAGGGAGGATAAGAAACTTGGGGATGGGTCTGAGAAAGTCTCAATGGTAGAGGACATGTAGTCTTTGGGGATTGAATGCTGTCTGTGTCCAGGATGACATAGATTAGTTCTGAAGTTTCTAGTTTGGGTGATTGACAAGATAGTGGAGGAAGTTTAGGAGCTGGCAGTAGCAAGTATGGAGAGATACAGTAAATTCTGTGAGGAATATTTTGAATGCAGTTCATTATACAGGCACGAATGTTAAGAGAAATTCAGCAACTGCAGAGAGAAAATCATGTGTCAGAGTTGCCTGAAGAAATTGTCAGACTTGCTGATTGGCGAGAAATTTGTCCATCCTCAAATCTAGTAGACATTTTTGCTTATTTAACTTTTTTGATTATGATTTGAGTGCAAGTTTACAGAGGAAATTGGTTTTCCGTTCATTCCCTCATACACATCTTATAGCATTAGATGGCACTTACCACGTCTTCATCACGTCTTGGTGTTTCCTCCCCATGGCCTTGTTCCCACTCATCCTTGTCTCCTCCTGTTCCTTCCGGCCTTCTGAGCATTCTTCATGGGCTTTTGATCCCTTTTGATGCTGTATGATGGGTTGTCCAGAGGAGTGAGGACCTCCTGATGGTACTGTCCATCTTCTGAGACTCACTATTGTTGGCCTGGAAGTTGAGCCACAGGAGTGAATTTTAGTTCCAAACTCAAAGGGCCATCGTCTCAGCAGTTCTATCATTTTGTTGTTGTTTTTCTTCTTGTTGTGTACTGTTGAGTCGGATCAGACTGGAATAGGAGGAGATAGCCCCTCTTTCTCCAGCAGAGCATCTGGTGGATTCGAACCAAGTGCCTTCAGGATTGCAGCGCAGCTTCTTGACACTAGGCCACCAGAGCTCCCAAGCCTGGTCATTTTTATGAGTTGTTTTTGGTGTTTTTTTGTTGTTGTTGTTGTTGTTTTTTTTTATGTTTTGCACATTTTTTCTCTCACTCTGTCTGTAATCTGTATGTAATTTTTTTTTAGTTGTTTCAGGTCTTTTTAACTAAATCTCTGTTTCTTTTTTAGGCTGAGGCAAGACTAGCAGCAAAGCGGGCCGCTCGGGCTGAGGCAAGAGACATACGTATGAGAGAACTAGAACGACAGCAGAGAGAGGTAACGTGGGGCAAGACGGCGGAGGAACAGATGCTTCGCTGGTCACTTTTCACATTGTCTGGTTCCCTTTGAAACTCTGGATGTAGTATAAGTTGACGCATATGTTTTAACAAGCTATTTTATATCAGCAAATCAAATGCAATATTTGTTTTAAATAATAACAGCAATCATATAAGCTCTTACTGTGTATAGTTGTAAGTTATTTTAATGTGATAAGTACTTTACTTACATTAGCAAAGGTGGATTTCCTATATTATCCTACTAATTGGATTAGTAATATTTTTATATCCAAATCAAAATAATGTGAAGCCATTCAACAGTACATTTTTTGTTTCAATTTTTTAATTGTGATTTGAATCAAAGTTTACAAAGCAAATGGTTTTCCATTCACTCATTCAGAGCTACGTTGTTTTATAAGAATTATGATACTGTGATGTAATTACAGCCTTCTCCGTTCTTCTCTGAGATTCTAATGTCTATTAATTTTTAAAATTTTTATTTTGTATTGATTTGCTTACAAAGTTCATATACATTGTGTTTCACACTATTCTTTATTCACATTGTGTTTCATACAATAATTCCCATGCATTATAATATTTGTCCTTATGAAATAGAGTTCACTTGGAATAATGCTCTCCAGTCTCTCCCAAGTTATGTAGTTTTTTTTTTTAAATCTTTGCTCCTGTCATTTCTATTAATTTTAACCAGCAGAAGAGAAAAATACTTTTAGGAGACATAAAAATTGGGCTGATTGAAAGCAAAACTACTCACTTTCTCTTTACCTTCTCCTTCTGACATTGAGGTAGTTCTGAAAATTCCCCTTTAAAATATTTCTAATGTCTGAAGGGAGAAACACCTGCTTAATAGTATTATATTTTTATTTTGGTTGTGGATCTTGTGATAAGTTAAAGAGAAATGTATAGATTTCATATTATCACAACTTGAGAAAGACCAAAAAGTTGCTATATTTTCCATTTTTTTAATATAGTTTGAGATGCTAAACACAATTCTTGGCTCTAAATGTAAATGTTGCTGTGCATTATTATTTTATTCTCCTAAAATGATGGTAAAATGTAAGAGGAGGAGACTGGCACTGAATATGGGCTCTGTGTAGGATCCTGTAGTCTGTAGAGAACCATGTGCCTTAACTATTCAATGTGTTTAGCTTAAGTTAAATGTCCCTGTTTAGAAGATGCAATTCCTTTTGGATGTGCTATCATTGCTCTTCAGAGGAAGTTGCTCATGTCTAGTTAAGACTTCGTAGAGAATGAAATGTTGGAAAACGGTTCTGTTAATAAAGCTTTTGGCTTTTCAGCACTCTCATCCTTCCTATGATCGGAAATGGGGACAGATTCAGAAGTGGCTGGTACGCTGAGATCCCCTGTCATGCATGTTTTGATGAGTTGCTGAAATAGTGCAGCCCTGCAGTAAAACATTGACTAATAGTTTGCAAAGTCAGAGTGCTTGGCATGTGTGACTCTAAAGTTCAGAGAATATCCTGCCTAACGTGTACGAGGAGTTCAGCTTTTTCCCCAGGGTGGCCCTTACATTCACATCATTGATCCCTTTACCCAGAAAGGCTGAGGAAATGAATGTGTTTTCCTTTTATGGTTTGTTCTTTTCTTCTTCCTATCAGTTCATCTCTCTCAGCTTCTTTATTCCTTCCTTCCCTCCCTCCTTCCTCCTCCTCCACCACCTCTCTCACATTGCTAAGTCAGCAGGGACTTGATTGAGAGAGAAATGAGTCTTTCATTCCCCCTAAGATGACTCTTTCTTCTTTCAGCTCTTACCTCCCTTTTCAAGTCCTCTACCAAGGCTGGCAAATTTGTTAGCTATGAAAGCAAATTGTGAGCGAGCAGAATAGGAATCACTGGGAGTTAGTCTAAATTTGAACTTTTTTCCAAGTTAGTCAGTTCCCCAAATACCTCCTGTTACAGAAATGTTTAACTTGATAGGTGGATAAGCTTGAAGTAATAGGACATGAAACCTTAAGATCCCATGGGAAACTGTGGATATACGTGTATTTTAAAAGGAAGGACCTCTGGTATTTTAATCATCAAATTTTCAGAGGGGTCAATCGTCTCTATAGAGCTAAGGGACACTGCCCAGTTGCTGTGAGACAAGCAACTTTCATGAGCAAATCTCATCTGTTTCAACATTTTAAGGTACATCAGGAGTTACGGTATTTGTGATTGGGATGACCTATAGCTGTAAAACTTTTTCATTCTCATTGTGCTGTTGTTTTAGAAGAAAGGAGATGTTTAAACAGACGCTTCATGTATGTGCCTATTTGGTGTGGAATCTGCACTTTAACTAAGCGGGCTTAATTCATTGTATTTAAAAGTGTCTTCTGCATGTAACGTGGCTAATATTACTGATGGCGTGTTAAGTGTGTTTCATGAGAATAAAAGAAATCACTTTTGCTTCAAAAGTTTTTCATGTACATATTAGCCTAATTTGTTCTTTTATTTGTGTGTGATGATTCTAAAATTAAATTACATAAGATAGTGGGATAGGTGTAAGAACATTAGGAAGAAAATTCCACATGAAAAGTCCAATACTTCGTTTTTATGTTTTTAAGATGTTTTTATGTTGTTATGTTTTTATGTTTTAAGATTCTACAGATAAGCAGACTTGTGTGCAGTTTATAAGTGGGTGTGTTATGTTTTGGTGCAAGAGGGAGTCATTTTGTTCCAGAAGGGGTTAGAAGCTTAATGCAGATAATGACTGACTCAGATCTTGAATGATAACTCAGAGTTGGAGAAAAAGTAGGGTTTAGTACAAACCTCCTGAAACTTGATTTTGCTCCTTTTAAGTGGATTCTTCACCTTAACTCTTACTTTTGTTTTTTTTTTTTTAGTCTGTGAGCCAATGGTACTGTCAGTTGCTACAGGAAAATAGCTCCCATATTAGACATTTCCCCTCATGTTAATGTGTGTTTGGGGTGGATAGAGCTAGGACACAGGGATATGAACAGGAAGCAAGTGCGTGCGGCTCAGGAATGTCATCTGTCAACACTTTTTACATTGGCTCTCATTTCATGCTGTAAGATGGGTCCCACCATCTCTGTTTTATAAGGTGAATGATTAAAGTGAATTTCTTGCATTTTGTCAGAGTCCGGGGTATCAGTGCCATGGTTTCTAATGAATGGAAAGTTAGTTGAAGGGACCAATCAAAGGTTCAAGTTCCTTGACTTTCATATAGTCTTACTTTTGCCAGTTTTCCACGAGCCAAAGAATTCTCTGCTTTTAAATGGAATTTCTCAAATAGTAGCATATTGATGAAAGCAAAAAATGTAGTTTCTGAGGTTTCCTTACATGAAACTCCAGCCCTGTCTTAATAAACCTTATTTGTTCATAGAAAGCATAGCCAGATACATTCAGAAGTCTGTTTTCTTTTAATTACTGAGTAAAGAAGCTATGTTCCATGCATGCAGTGGAATACAATGCAACGTAAAGAATAACAGAGAACTGGGGTGCCACAGCACAGAGATGAGTGCCCCCGTGTAGCTCACAGCTGGTGGCATTGTCCGAGTTAACAAGCCTAAACTGGTTCTCACTTTCCAACCCATATGCCCCTCAGACTTCTGTGATGTTTACCTGATGGCTAGAGACAAGGAGAACATTTCCTTGGCTTCTTACAGATTGTAGTTTCTGTTGCATAACAACAAAAAGTCGTTGATGAATACTCATTATAAGAATATGTTTAGAAATCATTCTGTAGAATCATCCTGATGTTTATAAACAGACTTCAGGACAAATTTGATCCGTTGTCTCACTGCACACAGCAGCAACCACTGGGATGTTCTTGAAAAATTAAAAAAACCCAACAGCCATGCTCAAAGGTGATAATGACTCAAGCCATTAAATTGTGGCATTCCAGTGGAATTACCATTTCTGTTTGAAATGGTCAGGCATAATGTTTTTATTTAACTACATAATGTTCTAGCTGGATTGTGATGTGGATCAGTTCATTTTAGAAATGATAATGGGATTAACTTACCTACTGCAAGTAACAGTGGACTTTTGAAATTTTGAAAGATCCAGTGCTATTCTGTTCAGGTGATGAGATTGCAGAGTCTAGCCATGTTGTTTTACCTGACTGAGAATTTAGAATTCCAAGGCTAATCACTGAACTCAGGAGGTACTAGAATTGTGTTTCATTAAGGCAGCTGTCAGACTGTGGTCTTGCATGTTTGGTTTCTCAGTCTTATGGTATGCCTTGATGATATCAGCAACTCTAAAATACTTACCCAGCTTTGTCTAGTCAGAATTGACTTAGAGTTGACCCTGCCTTTGTCTCGTGGAGTTAGTTGCTTGTGGATTGGAACCACCTGCCTGTAGGTTGGCCGCACAGCACCTTATTATACATCTCATTGTAGGCGTCTTTTTTGTGTAAATGGCCCAGTCAGAGGCGATTTCATTTAGTTGTTCTTTGCTTTTCCAGTTAGTGATGAAAGCAGAGCGATAGAATTAGTTTTCAGCAAACACTGAATTATAACTAAGATCGTTATAAAGCAAAACACTATAAAGTAGATGTTTTTCATGCCATATATGAACTAACATTCACAATAACAAAAAGTTTGCTTTTAATGCTGAACTAGATTTTAATTTGTATACATGCTTATTTTTGTCTTGATGCTTTGCACTCTCTCTGTCAGGTGTAAATTGCATTCTCCAAGTGACCAGTTGTGCTTACACCTGATGAAATAAAAACCTTGCTGTGATCACTTCTGCTTTCCTGCCGTCCCAAGTGTGTGGCTGTCCCCAAATCGGCTTGACTGCCTTAGCTCAGTTGTTTTTATATACATCCCTCTGTCCAGTGGTTAATGCTCCATGTCCTTTTGTCCTTTCCCAGGAAGATTCTGAAAGGGCCAGGTATTCCCACCGGTCCAGAAATCATCGTCCTTATCTGGTTTGTAATAAGCTATCAACTCACCCCTAACCCTTTCCCCTATGAATGTCTCATAGTCACTCATGACTTTTCACTGTTTGTTCTTGTTTTATCAGGGAGTTGAGGATGCGATGTCCACCCGTGTTGCCAGTCACAGGGTTGGTATTTCAAGCTGCAGCCCCCCAGCAGCGACGCTTCTGTGTGTGTGCTTCTGCAGTGTCCTTGGCATCATGGTTGGACACTGTCCATGTGCTCCTTGATCGCTTAAAAAGAAATTAGAAATGTCGTTGTCTTTCCTTTGGGAAATTCTGCTTTCCTCCTAAATCATTGCTATGTAGTAAATTTATAAAGTGAACATTTTCATCTATTAATACACATTTCTACTCTTTTTCTGTAGAAAAATCTGTGATTTTATTTTGGGAAATTATTGGATTGATTTATGGAATAGCAGCAGCTTCTTACTGATTTTCCCCATTTTTATATTTTTAAAAATGTTAATTAAATGAGACATAATCTTGGGTCTTGGGTGACTAATTGCCATTTTGTTAATTCTGAACAAAATTGAGCTGTTGATTTGGCAAAATGCCATGTATAGGTATTATTCTACATGGACATTTGATTAACATTTTCTAGAATATTCAGAGTTTTTAGCATATATTGTGGCGCTGATCAGAAATGATCAATTGCTCTTTAAAAACGTGCAGACTCCGCTGTGTGATCACTCTTGAATTGGCTTCAGTCTGAAAACAGTGCTTTTCATTTACCTATTGGTCATGTTGTATATGTACTTACATCTAGATTTCTTATGAGTGAAATCATTTGTGTTAAGGTTTGTATCTGTTAACTTCCCCCAAATCCCATTTTCCTCACACCTTATTTAATGTGTACACTGTAGTACTGAGGTGTCTTCTGGTTTATTAGTTATTGACATGTTTGGATTCTTCTCACTTTCACATAGGTTATTTTTCATGCTTCTCCCTGGAGAGACTTTGAATTTTTTCTTTAAATACATTGAAAAGAATCATACCTTGAGTTTATGTTGAAAGTTAAATGTCCAGGTCTGTGTTAGCATGCTCCAGACCCTAAGAGTAGAGCTCTCCTCCTTTGCTGTTTCCATAAAGTTCTCTGTGGATTTTCAGTTATTCTGAAACTGTAATTGTAAATTGTAAATTTATAGGTAGCCCCACCAAAACTTGATTCCATACTAGTTTAACCAAAAGGGAAAATCATTCAAGTTTGTCCTAATTTAAGCATCTTACAAACAAATCTTCAGAAGCCCAACAACAAACAAAAAGAAGCATGCACCTTAATAGATGGAAACCCTTACCTAGTCTTTAGAGAGTAAGTGTTGTTGCTGTTGTTGTTGTTATGTACCTTGAAACCAACCCATAGCTGACTCTCCAGTGGGTTTTCAGAGGCAGAAAATCACACAGAGGAGAATGTTCATTCTTCTTCATTCAGCTGGTGGATTTGAATACATGCCTTTGGTATTGCAGCACAGCTTCTTAACTTTAGGCCATCAGAGCTCCCTTTAAAGTAATTATATTTATTTATTTTTTTTATTCAAGGAAATTGCATCCTTAAATTTGTGATGTGACTAGAACACTTAGAATACTTTGTTTTTATTATGATAATTACAAAGATTTGTTACAGTGACAAAAAGGGGTCAAACGCCTAATAATTTAGAATATTCATGTGTGATCTAAACACTAATAAAAGTTTTACACTCAGGATGCTGTAGACTGTCTACAAGTATACATCCAACATTCGTTAGGCATACAGATTTCCTTGGAAACAAATCTAAGACCTCGTTGATAATATGTTAATGTTGTTGTTAAGTGCCATCGAGTTGCAGGCGACTCACAGCGACCCTATGAAGGAGAGTCCTCAACACTTACAGATTAAAAAAATGTAATTGAACTAAGTTTTTTTAAAAAATTGGAGCGCTCTTGGCTAGATGACGTTGTCGGGCCATGGAGGCAGAGTACGTGGAGAGTGGCACTGACATCCCCTAGCGAATGGTTTTCCTCCACTAGCAGTGCAGTGTGAGAGAGACGGGCAGGCTCCTCCCAACGTTTTCTGCCCGCCCCCCCCCCCCAAAAAAAAGCTCCCTGGAAGGTCAGCCAGGAGTTGGTTCTGACGTGACAGCAGCAGCAAAAAGTTCGAGGTTTTGTATTTTGTTTCTTTAAATGACATAATAGTAGTTCTAAACTGTCATCAGATTATTTGCTTTCAAAAATACCATCTCCACTAAGTGGACTGTGTATGGACAGCTTTGTTCTCTTGAAAAATGAAAGTGAGGCCCTAAAGCACAAACTTACTTTTCTTGTGACTTGCCCTGTCATTTTGCAGGTCTGGTATTTGTGTGCCAGTAAAAACAAACAAACAAACAAACAAAACGAACAAACCCATTTACTTGTGAACTGTATTTTAACCCCCCCCCCAACACTTTATGAGCCTGTTGTTTGAGGTGTGAACATTATTAGTACCTGGATGTGAGGTAAATAGTAATATTTATGGCTTTATGCTGTGTAATTAGGACTTTGATCTTTTATTGAATTAAATTTGAGGTGCTGCCTTTATAAAAGGTGACCTGTCAGAAGGTATTTGGTTTGGAAATATTGGTGTCACTTTTATAGACATTCAGTATAGAATTAGGAATGAAGGTAGTTTAGGATTATTGATTAGATAGTGAGAAGGAATGATAACATCAAAACCCAGAGATTAGAGTCTGTGTCTGTTAGTAACCTGTAGTGATTAGACGCCTGACTGTGGAACACTGGTGTTTGCCTTAAACAAGCAGAAATCTCAACAATGCTGTGGCCCAGCTGCTGCTTTCAGGTTGAAATACATGAAGACTAGAAATCAGAGGCAAGGATTCTGGGGCTTCGTCTGACATACTTTGGACATGTTGTAAGGAGAGACAGGTCTTTGGAGAGGGACATCATGGTGGGTAGAGTAGAGGGACAGCGCAGGAGGGGAAGACCCTCTATGAGGTGGATTGATTCAGTGACTGGGGTAATCAGGATGGGTGTGTCAGAGGCAATGAGATTGGCACAGGATACAGCAGGGTTGAGGGCTGTTGTACATAGGGTCGCTGTGAGTCGCAAATGACTCGATGGCACATAACAACAACAACAAGATGAGGTAGTAGGAATCAGAGATGTCAGGGCCATGTGGCTGTTTCTCATTGGAGGTTTTGATGTGGTCTGTGTTTAGATCATATGTATGTATCTGAGGTGTTGCTATCATTGTGATGAATTAATTTCTGATAATATGTTTGCCGTTTGTCTTTTGTCACTACACTGCTGTATGCCACTGAAGAGCCCACCTCAGGATTTAACTGCATCACACTGGAGCAGAGCCAGTACCCCAAAAAGAAAAGACCTCATGGTGTGTAGCCCAGAGGGATGTGGTGTTCTGTACTGTGTCTTTCCTGCCCATTGGCTCTCAGTGTTCTGGGGATTGAGAAATAGATACATTCTGGTATAAGTTACTACCCTGGTGAACTCCGTTTCTACACCCTCTTTGCTGGAAATTCTATTTTGTTTTCAAATGAAAACTTAAAGGCAAGTTGTTCTGAGAGAGTTAAAAATCTTTTCTTAAAAAAAAAATCTTTTCTTGAGGGAGGGGAATAGGTGATAATATATTTGTAAGCATTTCAGCTGAAGCTGTTGATATTTTCATTTCCCCCCTTGAGGACTCATTTGCTTTATAGAAAAAAGTATTTATAAGTTTATTTTCTTTGCTCCATGCTAATAATTTACTCCACAGGAGTAATTTAGATGTCCAATTTATTAATTGCTTTATGAGAAACCATTTGGACTTTACATTCTCCTTTGGAAAATTAAAATCAAACTAGGTTAATTTCTTGAATCCTATGCTGAAGAATTAAGACGTGGCTATTCTCTTCAAGAATTTGGGAGGATGGATTAGTTTATATGTGACTTGTGTAATAATGTTTTTGGCTCTTTTCATTTTCATTATCAAACAGGTTAAATATTTTATTAACCAAGAAAAGGAAATGAAATTTCTGTAGACAAGAATCTTTATTTTCAGGCAAATAAGGCTTAGTTATGAAAGTTCCATGATAATTTTGGATTAACAGAATTTTGTTATATATGTAATAATAGCAATCTTTATTACTTACTACCTTTTCTGGTAGTCTCAAGATAAAATGTCTGCAAATGAAGATTTTTTAAAGGTTTTTTTTCAAGTACTTTTTTGGTATTTATCATTTCACTGAACTTATACAATTTTACCATGTAGCTCTGTACTTACGGATATACTTTTTAAAGTTTTTGCAATATCTTTTGTATTCTATCTGAACTGGTGTTTTAATGAACCTCGTTAGAACCAGGGACCTCTGGTGGTGTAGTCAGTAGAAAGTGACACTGCTGACTCCCAGGCCGCGCACAACTCTCTGGTAGTTCAAGTCCACCTGCTAACTGCTCAGTGAGAAAAATGGACAGTCTCCTCCTGGACCTTCTTTATAGCCTTGAAAACCTTGAAGGATCAGCTATAAATTGGTTCTTTCTGACTAGACAGAAATAAGTTTGAGAATTTTTTTTTGTTTTTAATTAGAGCTAGACTATAAAAGTAAGTAAGCTTTTAGTGTATTTTACACTATATAAAATTATGACCTCTGCAGCAAATAATATATTCTATATAGTGGTCTAGTAAACAGATGCAAATATGTACAGGTATGTTTGTATATATATATAAGTTTATAAACTATATCAGTGAGATAAAATATTCACAGCACAATGTTATTATTGTCTATTAAACACACATTTTCTCTTTTGTTTCATTTTTTTTAAATGCTACTTAAATCCAGAAAATTGATTTCATGAATTATTAATGATTTGCAATGTGTAGTTAAGAAAATATTACTTTAGGTCAGATTTTTAAGTAGTCTTCTAAAATATCTGAAATGAGTATAATAGTTGCAAAATAAGTTACTTTTACCAAATAGATGTTTAAACAACCTGAGACTGTTCATTGTTTTTGTTTACACATTGTTGCTGTGACTGAGATTGCTTTAAACATGTACATTACAGCACTTAAGAAAGAAACAATGTTAGGAAACCACAAATCTAAATACAATAATTGTGATTTAATTTAGTTCCTTGGATTTGAAATGTGGTATTGCAAATCTTTTTTCAGGTTTTTAAAATTTATTTTTTTAAATGGATTTTATTGTCGTTTTAGTGAAAGTTTATAAATCACATTGGTTTTTCTGTTAATCATTTATAGACATTTTATAACATAACTTTATGCATATTATCTTAATTTAAAAGGACCCTAGAGAAATATAAATTTTCCAGTCTTGACATACATTATATATAATTTTAAAATTATAAATATATGTATTTTTTAGCCAGGTCCCTGCCAGTATGTACTGTCATCTCATTCAGTATGTACTGTCATCTCATTGCCTGTCTAAGCAATGTTTTTGCCATGTCTCAAATGATGGGAAATGATGTTAAAAGTCAAAACAATAAGAAAAAAACCTTTAAATTGCAGAATACTTAATCACTGCACTTGCAGCTTCTTTCAGGTGTTTTGTGTTGTAATGTACTGAGGTTGAGCTGTCTGTCGCACCATTGCTATGAGTTCTCTTGCTTGAAAGAAAACTAGACTTGCCCTTTTAAATGCACATATAGACTGGTAGGTCTACACTAGGAAAGAATGGGAGGGAATGAAAATAGAACTTTCATATCTGATAATTTTTGCCTTTAAAAGATAGTGCTAGACTTGAAATAATTGTTCAAATGTTGCTTTTCCCTGTCCGCTTACTCCTTCTGACTTTGGACATACAACCAACATTCACCTGTTTCTGAAATCGAGTTTGATGCTGTCAAGGATCGATCATCAAGACTTTCATCATTAGTATGTAGTGCATGACTCTGATAAATGTGGACTTTGACTTTAACACTTGATAGTGCTAATGGTAGGTTATTACTAACTTTCAGGGGTTTGTTAATAATGGTTTGGAGGAAATGTGGGAATAAAAGCAGAATCTGTTATTTTATAAATGTAGAATAATTTCTTGTTTGAATAATACTTTTACTTTTAGAATGTCAGGATCAGATAAAATTTTTTGCATCTCTATCACCCATGGTGGACAGTGTTGGCTGGAGCTTCCCGACTAAATCAAGCCTGGAAGCAGGAGTGGCATCCACTTCCAAAATGGCTTGCCTCTGGAAACTCAATGTACGAACAGTGCTCAAGCCGTTTGTTCATAGGGTCGCTATGAGTCGTCTATGACTCGACGGCATTAAACAACAACAACAACATGTAGGAAGCGAGCTTGGCAATAACAGTATCTTTTCTTAAAATGCTGGGCCATTTTTAAATAAGAAATGTTAAAATGTTTCTGACGACATTTAGTTAGTTCCCACTGAATTGCAGTAGCACAGGGCCGACTGTGCTTCCTGTCTGGGTCCTAAGTTACCAGATATAAAATCACTAACGAGATGCCCAGCAGTCGCAGATACCACTGGAGAGAGCAGGACGGGGGAGCATTTTGCTTCACTTAGGCTTTAATGATTTTTGGGGTTTTGTGTTTTGTTTTTCTTACATTTGTGTATCTTTTCATGAAGGAATTTAAGCTACCTCAATAAGTTACCTGAGTTTCTGGACTATATAATCATTTTTTCACGTGCTTTGAGTAATGTATAAAATGAAAGATAGACATATTTTAAAAATCCCTTTAAAAGCGTTCACCTTAATAGCTGCACGTAAGTGTGATGATTGGCCTTGAGCAGTACGTTGCATTTGGCATTTGACACGTAGTGTTTCTAGACCCTCTCATTGCAATTTGAATTTTGTAGAAATTTTTAATTTCCACACCCCTAAATTCAAGTTCTTGTTCACCAATTGACCTTCTTAGTAGTATTGCTGACCTTTACTTCCCCCTCCTATGCACTTGACCCTGTGTTCCTTACAGAAGGTGTATGTTGAAACAGCCCTTTCTTCAAAGGTTCCTCGTGTGTTATAAAAGGATTTTTCTAGAAAGACTGTTTGTATGGTGGGCAGTCCATCACATCTTGGCTGTTTCCTCCTGACCAGCATATGCTGTGGGACCACCAACTTGCACTGAGTACTTACTATTGTGACGGTGGTGTGTTACTGAGTCAGAACTGAGCCATAGCTGACCCTCCAGTGGGTTTTCAGTATGGTGCTGGAGAAGAGTCTTAAACATACCATGGACTGCTGAGAAAACAAATGGGTGTGCTTGGCGAGGGTGAAACCAAGTCTCTCCTTGGAGGCTAGGATTTTGAAATTCCATCTCACTTACTTTGGGCACGTGGCCAGGAGAGATCGTTCCTTGGAGAAGGACATCATGCTCGGAAGGGAGGGTGGACAGCACAGAGGAGGGAGACCCCGGATGAGATGGATTGATACAGTGACTGGAGCAATGGGGTTTGGTGTGTTGGAATTAGTGAGACTGGCCCAGGACAGGGAAGGGTTCAGAGCTGCTGTACATAGGGGTCACTATACATTGCAGGTGACTAAATGGCACATAACATACTATGATAGGTTTGGAAACAGGCGTGGCATCCACTTCCTAAATAACACGCCTCTGGAAACTCTGTGAACTTTGATAAATGTCGATAGTTGTAGAGGGGCCTTTTGTTCATAGGGTCACTATGAGTCGTGCTCGACTCGAAAGCAATCAACAGCATCAACAAATCACGCAGGAGGAGATTGCCCATCCTTCTCCCTCAGAGCATCTGGTGGATTTGAGACTTCGGGATCGCAGCACAGCTTTTACCACTAGGCCCCCAGAGCTACCTAAGAGTTTCTCCTAGGACAGTGCAATATTATGTTCTTTATTCTCTCAGTCCAGTTTTGGTTGATCTGAAGAGTTTCTCTCCCTCTGCTCCTTTTTTTTTTAAGCAGAGGTGGGTTCTCTTATTACTCATGTCTTTATAAAGAAGATAGAGGGATTCTGGTGAGGGAAGGAGGGAATGTTTGTCCCCACAAACATTCTACCTGACTTGAACTGTAATTAAATTTTCTGTAGCTAGTCAGACACTGAGTGGGTGGTGGCACGGGAAGAAGTGAAGGAGAGAGCAGATGTGTGTTTGGAGAGGCTTCATATCTTGGCCAGCCAAGTACAGTATTTGTTTACTAACAGATGGGGAATAGATTGCATGTAGACTACTGTTTTCTGCATATGCATCCTTTGTGTGCAATATTCATTCTTACAAAATTACTTCCTAGTTTTTTCTTAACTTAAACTGTTTCCTTCCAGAGTCCTTCTTACAGTCATTCTTACGGACTGAAGAAGAGAGCTTCTGGTTCTCGTAAGGACCCTCTGGTTAGTCCATTGTGTCTTATGTTTTCATTCCATGTCTATTGCTGTAAAATTCACTGGGTCTTTTAAGGGAACATAAGAATTTTGACTGTGGTGTGCTCCTAGGGCACTACTGAAATTTGGTAATGTATTCTACATGATTTAGGAGAACCTTATTAAAAAGAATTTTTTCATTTAGAAGATTTAATTCACATTACCATATGCTAACTCGAGGAGGCTGTGTGCTATCACAGGAAGTTCCTTCGCAGGGCGTCCTCGTTTACCAGCCGTCCTTTGGGTTAGACCTTGAGAATAGGTTTGGTGACATTCTCGTCCTTGTTTGGGAAATTTTATTTCATTTTCATTTTAAGTCATCGTCAGATGTTACTGTGTTGACCCCACTCATGGTGACCTTCTGCCTGGCTCTCAAATAGATCTCATTCAGAAAAAGACTTTGTAGGTCGAATATTTAGATTGTAGAATATATTTTCAGGTGGGGGGAAAGTGTAATGGTAGAGTTCTCACATTAGCTTTTTCGCAATCTCTTAGCCTATAATAGGGAGCTCTGGTATTGTGCTGCCAACACAAAAGTATGTGGTTCAAATCTACAAGCTACTCTTATGGGAGATAGATGGACTTTCAACTCCTGTGGGATTTACTGCCTTCAAAAACCAGCTGGAAGGTCAGCTGTGGGTTGGTTCCAACATGATGGTACAAAACAACATAGCCTTTAACATTCTGTTAAATACAGAAATAATGGTGGTGTACATTCCAGCCACCTTGAACATTTCTGTGAGAAAAACGACAACAAACCCTCCAGAATAGCGACTTGAGGCCTTAGGAACATCTCTTTCCTGTTGGATGGCAGCAGTTCTGGTGAAGGAACTGTAGCACAGACTCTTTGCTCACCTACCTCATGGTTCTTGTGGAAAGCGCTCTGAGCTGAAGTGGGTGGGGATAGGTGAAGGCTGGGAGGGGGTAGAACATTGAGGAGGGTCCTAGAATGTGAGGTGTTTGGGATCTCTACTGAGAAATGAGCCAATGAGGGTATGAATAGGGTGTGGTATCAGCCCAGGAATGGATATTTCTGAGTATACTTAATGAAATCTCACAATTCCATTTTGTTTTGACTAAGGATTTATTATTATTATTATTAAGTAAAAAAATAATTATTAATGAATTGGTTTGAAAACAGCTTAGCTTTCATATTGGCCTTTTTTGAGAGTGTTATTTTGACTTTTGCCTTTAAACACTCATGAATATTTTAAAGATGTTTTATTGGAGGGGTTTGAAATTATATAAATTGGCCTTTCTGTGTTCAGAATATTGTTGGTATAGTATTTCTCTTTAACCCTGGAAAAATGTGTTTAATTTTGCTTTTTGCAGAGTGGCCTCTACTTTGACCAGAGAAACTATAGCAGTCTTAGACATAGCAAACCTACCTCTGCCTACTATACTCGGGTTTGTCTGAAGTCTTTTTCTTTCTCTGTTTTATCTAAGTAGAACACATTTCTAATTTTTTGAATTTTGACTAGTTAGAACTAATCTCTGAATGGCAGTGCATGTTTTAGTTTTTGGTATCTGAGTGTAGATAGTCTGCGTGAGTATATATTTTAAATGTTGAATAATTTTACTTTCTAGTATTTTTCTTGAGAATTCTCAAATTCACAATAGTGTTCCAAGAGTCATAGATTGATTACCACATAACTTACTACTAAGAGTCTGCAATGAACATTTTATCACAGAATTTTACATCTACTTGTCCATGTTACATTTCTGCATAAGTTGAAGGTGAAGGCATCAGAGCACTTCACAGTGGGTTTAATTTTAATAAAAATTTATATGTGAAAAGCTCGACTATCAGATGGAGAAACCAGAAGGAGGTAACCATTTGTTTAAAGCCTTTTGCTTTATGAAGACATTTGGCAAAGTTTAAATTAAAATGTACATTGAATATATGGCACACAATATAGTGAAAAGAATTAATATCATAAACTTGTATTCACAACTTTGCTCTCTTTTCCATGTCTGATTGGATTTGTGTAAAAGAATGAAAATTATATTCTCAAATGACATCAAGAAAAGAAATCTGTTATTAAAAAGCACTGTGCCAGAGAGCTCTGGTGGCCTAGTGGCAAGAAGCTGCACTGCAATCCCAGAGATACATGGTTCGAATCCACCAGATGCTCTGTTGGAGAAGGAGGGGCAGTCTCCTCCTGTACCAGTCAGATCTGATTTGACAGTACACACACAAAAAATAATTTTTTAAAAAAAGGGCACTGTGCCCTTAGTGCCTCTGGACTTGTGACAGGTGCAGTTTTTCAGGTTAAATGAAGTTGCTTTATCATGCCTTCTTTTGAAAGAACAGGTTTTATAAAAAGACATTTGAAGTGCTAATTCCTAGTTCAGTTGCCTGGTTTCTCAGTAACCACAGCAACCTTGTGAGTCTATCCCAAGATGGTTGAAAATATGGCAGGAGCTGCTGGTGACCAAGGGGTGCAGCCATGCTCCCCACCTGGTGGTTCTCTCCCTCAGTGTCTCCTGAGTACATGACACCAGGTCTTGTAACAGTAATGTTCAGAGACCGATCACATGAGCGCATTCATAGAAAACTATTCTGAACATTTTTCTTTCTTATCACTACAGTTCATGTTCATAAAAGTTTCTCAATCACAAATATTTCTTATTTTGTATTTCTTATCTACCATAAACACTTGAAACTCGCCAGCAAATTATGAAATCAAACCTTAAATCATATGACCTTGTGATGGTGAAGCGAATTCTTCTATTTACCCCCGCTTTCTCTCTCTCACTTTTGTTTTTCTTTTTGCTTCTTTTGTTTTTTTCTTGACAGTCCTCATCTCTGTACAGTGACCCTCTGGCAACATCTAAGAGTAACAGGGTTAGTACTCTCTAGGGTTGTGTGGCCTCATGGCTGTCTGACTTGGCTGCTCCTTTAATGATGCACTTTCTTCATAGGCCTCACCCATTACCAACTCTGGGCTCCTCAGAAGTGCCAGTCTGGTTTGTATTGCCCTCATTGAGCCTGTGCCGTGTCAGAGCCGCCCGTGTAGTGGTGCTGACTGTGGCTTACTGGCTTTCCTCCTGCGTTGTCATGGACACGTGGCTCAGTTACTGTCTACTGCAGAATGTGTGCCCTGTGATTAACATGCAAAACGTGAGGCTGATGAGAGTAAACCTTTCCCCCCACAGAGGTGGATGCTGCTGGCTGCTGGTGGCCCTTGGCTCCGGGCCACATTGCTATAATGGAGTTAGCCTTGCATGGCTCCTGGCCCCCTCACACCTGTGAGATGGTTACCCACGTAAGGGGTGTGTCTCTTCCTCTGGGCCTAGCCTGCTGCTGTGACCTGGGCCACCTTAGTGTTGGGCTCTGACAAAGCGGAAACTTTAGAAAAGCAAAAGCAGCAGCTCCACGTAGCCTGCAAGTTGCGAGATCCTTGCTTTGAAGTTTGCTGTGGCCTGTTTTAGTGGATTGGGATCCTGAGGGCTTGTAACATTTTTTGTGGGGTTTTTTTTCTGTTTGTTTTTTGGTGGCCATGAGCAAGGTGCAGTTGTACCTGCATTTTCTTTTTTTTTCTCTACTCTGTTCCCTTCTCTGAAAGAACTGTGTCCTGTAGATCAGTTCTCCTAGTTTAATAACATGAAAATGAAAGAAAATACTGTTCTCTGCTTTTGTGTGTGTGTTACTTTTTTTTTAAATGAAGTGTGAACTTTAAGTTATAACGAGACTGATACAGGAACTTATGCCTCTAAATGAGTGTAATCATGGGAGGCTCTTCTCTCCATTCTTTAAAACTTTATGGAACTCAGTGCTATTAAGTTATGGCATTTTCAAATTAACGTTCCTGTTGGAGAGGTAAATGGTATACCTTTGTTCTCTAGGCCTCATTGTATGATGGTGGACTGTATAACCCTTATGGGTCTCGAACTGTAAGTCTAACTGGTGTAAGTTTACCGGGGGAGGTGGTAAAAAGGGTGATGGATAGGTGGGCACATGCACTTAACAAAGAAAAAACATCTCATCTTACTCATTATTTCTCTATCGGGGCCACCCATTCATTCACTTAGCCGTTTGTGACTTTAACCAAGCTATAAGGAAGTACATGGTGGAGGTGATGGCTTCAAGTCTGAAGGGAATACAAGTAGAAAACCTTTTGCTCAGAGAGGAGATTCTAGTGTGATTCTCAAGGCATTCCCTTTCTCTCCTCTCCAACTTGCTGGTAGATCTTGAGGGTGGGGTGAGGTGGAGTTCCAGGCCAGGGAGGAAAGGTACCTTCACTCTAGGAACAAGAGTAGACCCAGAGGCACTAATATATTTCTTCCCAGGAGGAAAGGAGTTGGTCATTGTAAAACCTTTCTTTTTGGAAACTTTATAGCCATCTGAATACAGTTATTACTCATCAAGGACAAGCTCAGCCCAAAGCAGTCCCGTGGTAAGCTGTCTCTCCTCTTTGCATGTTTATAAACACCCTTGGTTGGTTCACTAATCTGAACTCACAGAGTAGCAGCGTATAGATGTGGTGTGTTGCACTCTTTTGTGCATGAATTACGGATCGTTCCCCTCCACCCCCCAGTATACAAACCCTAGCACTAATTTGACCTAATTGGTAGTTTTGGTATGAATTTAACTTAGCATGCAATTTCTGAACTGAGACTGAAACCAGTGCCATTCAGTTTTCAGAAATTTTTGTCTTTAATTATCAGTCATGTAGTGCATCTTGTCTCTTCAGTAGTGGTCACTTGGTTTAAGGGGGGAGGTTCTCCTGGGGGATTCTAGTGGGGGGTTCTTCTGGGAGGTTCTCCTGGAGGGGCTCTACTGGGGATCCTTCTAGGGGATTTTCCTGGGGGGCCTCCTGGGGGTTTTCCTCCTTGGGGGTTCTATTGGGTGGGTTCTTTTTTGCTTCCTGCATTCAATTATTGCAATCAGTTGCCAATACTTCTCTCTGGAAGGAGAAGAAATGCATCTGAGGCTAAAATTTGTCATGTAAAAGACGTAACAGAGACAGTGCTAATCATTTCATCTTTCTGGGGTGTTAAAAATATTTTCGTTTCTAAAAGAAGTAATTGCTTAAGGAAAGCCCAACATAAAATTCCCCTGACCCCTCGATTTCTGTCCCCATATACAGCCTTTGTTCTCTGCATATCCTGAAAAGTTTTATCTATTATTTGATTGTGCTCTATTTTGAACAGAAATATGTTCATAAGCTTGCTTAATGCATAGAAGGGTTTCCTTTCCATTTAATAGACTGTGTTTTTCACTGTTTTTCATGTAATAACTCATAATGATACGAGATTGTCTCATACCAGCACTGTTTGCAAAGGGGCAGTGTATTATCCCATTAATGTATGTTGTTGTTAGGTGCCGTCTAGTCAACTGCCACTCATAGAGACCTTGAACAAGAGATCTGAACTTGCCCTATCCTGCACCACCCTCAGGATCTTGGCCATGGTCAAGTCCATTGTGGTAGACCTGTGTCAGGCCATCTTGAAGGCTGCTCTTCTCTTTCCCTGACTTTCCACCTTTCTTAGAATGATGTCTGTCAATTTTAAAAATTGTTCCTCTATTGATGGGCATTCAGGTCAAATTTTTACTACTGCACACACTCATAGGCAGCCGTGGTGGCTTAGTGGAAAAAAGTTACGCTGGCAACCCTAAGATATGCAGCTCGAATCCATCCGCTGCTCAGAGGGACAGAGGTAGGCTGTCTCCTCTTGTGTGAGTAACTTTCTTGGAAAAGTTACTGTGGGTAACTTTTAACTGCTGTGGGTCCCTTCTGACTCAGTGGTTCTCACCACCACCACACACCCATGTTCAATGAACATTCTTATCCAAGTATGTATTTGTTTATATTGGTAAGGCTGCATAGTATATTGCTAATCATGACATGATAGAATCTGGGAGTGTAAAGTATGATGTATGCCCAGATTACCCAACAAAACAAAGTAAGAAAGGAGTAGATTAACTCCATTCTTAGCAAAGGTATTAGGAATTGCCTCGTTACCCTTAACAAGGCCAAACTTAGAAACTCAGACGTATTCCAGCCAACTTCGAACTGACCCTCAGCAGGTTTTCTGAAGCTGTAAATTGCCCTGGAGGAGACAACTCGTCTGTCTCTCACTGTTACAGTGGATTCAGACTACCAGGGAGACTTGGCCTTTGAGTTTTGAGCACAGCTGCCTTTACAAGGCCGAGTTAGAGCCCTTGTCAGCAAGTGGCTCTGAGCGAGAAAGACGGGCAGTCTCCTGTCACACGATTACAGCCTCTCAAGTCCTCGGGAGGGTCAGCTGTGAGTCGGTACTGACTGGACAGCAATGAGTTTGTTGTTTATTTTTGAGGGAGCGTTCAGGCTGCATTTCTTCCAGAACAGGTTTGTCCGTCCTTTCAGTAGTCCATGGTGTCTAGTCAGTGTTCTCCAGCACTTGAACTTGAACACATCAATCAGTCTTTCATTCATCCTTATTTATCGGTCAACTTTCTCATACATAAGAGGCTGTAGAAAATACTCCGGCTTGGGCCCGGGATACATGAGCCTATGAAGTGGCATCCTCAGCACTTTAACACTTTAAAGAATGCTCTCTTGGTGATGTCAGAGTGGAGATGAATTCCATGTGCCCAAGGAGAGAGTCTTCTGGTGAAGTAGATGGAGACTACCTTCCATAGAGTGCTGGTGGAAACGTCTCCACTAGTTACCTAGTGATGAGTAAAGAAATACCACCATTTCGGTGCCCTTGTGGGTAGGAAAGTCTGCCTTTGACTTAACTATAATATCCTTTTTAAAGATTTTTTCCTCTCAAATGAAACTATATTTCTCATTTGACCTCTGAAGGATGGGATTTCGAAGTGCTTGGAAGTTTCAGAAGCATGAACTCACCCGCTGTTTGGACTGGTTTGAATCACTCCTTTAACTTAAAGAAAAGCTTAGGTTCTGTTTCTCCCCTTGTTCTTCTTGGAAATGTCTTTGCTGTTCATGAATGAATATTTGTGATTTCTCGAAGCAACTTTTCTGTGTAATGGTGCACTATAGCCTTTGCTAGGGAGCTCTGGCAGCCTAGGGGATAAGGAGTTGTATCACCAACCCAAAGGCAAGTGGTTCAGACCCATGAGCTGAGGAAGAAAGATGAACTGTCTCTTCTGATGTGACTTCCAGCCCTGACAACCACAAGAGGCTCCCCTGTGAGTCAGTTCAGACTCTGGTGGTGAATGACTTGTGAGGGACGGCGTGTGCTCAGGGAGCTCTGATTCCATAGACCACAAAGAGTGGCGTTGGAGGCAGACAGCCTCCCGCCATGCGGTTTATGGCCTCCCCAGCGGGGAGTTGACTGTGACTGGATGGCACGGAGATTGAGTTTAGGGGCTGTGGTGAAGATCCTGTCTGTATAGAGTATTTGTATACCTCCTCGAGCCTTACCTGCTGGGCTTCTAATGGGTAGGTAAGATCTGTAGTGAAATTGCATCTTTGTCATTGTCTCCTTTAATATCTATAGTTTTCCGAAGATGACACCGAGAGCATCGGGTCTTCAGGCCGAGCCAGTTGTGGGCGCAGGAGAGACAGTGTGGTGAGCGAGGGTTGCGTGTAAATGTGATTTGCTTAAAATGATGGCATTGTGTTACTACATGAACTCCACTGTAAAGTGAAAAATACATTTGATAAAATGAACGTTTTCCTCAAAAATATATTCTTGGGAATGCATACTGTTGTATGTATTGCCTGGAAGCTGTGTACTCTTTGAATGAAATGACTTAACCTTTTCATGTCTTATGGTGTATTAGAGACATTGCCTATTTCAGACATTTTCATTTTTTAGTACTTGTTAATATTTTGTGTGTGCGTTTGTGTCGATAACTAATGAAAACCCCAAGTTCTTTAAGCCAGATTTTCACTTTGTGAAAAACTTAAAACCATAGATTACAGAATCGTGTCGTCTTCAGTTATTTTATTATTGTATTTAGGTCTAACCAGTGTTGATGTATACTGAAAAGACCTGTTTAAAAGTAACTATTTAAAAGTTACTGACATTGATGATAAAATTTTAAAACATGTAGTGTTGGACTTTTAATTAGAGTAATAGTTGTAAAGGTGAAAAACAGACTCAGACTCATGGTCTTCGAGCCAGTTTTAGCTCATAGTGACCCTCCACTGGGTTTCCGAGGCTGTAAACCGTAGAGGTTTACCTGTGATGAGTAGCTGGTGGATTTGAGTGGACAGCAGCATGTGGACTTTCGGTTAGCAGTTCAGCATGCCAGCTTATACCACCAGTGCTTCATACTGGAATACAAATGACCAAATGTCAGTAGAGCTGGACATTTTACAGGGAACTTTTGACACCTCTTGTATATTTTAAGAAATTGACTTGAAAATTACATTGAGGATGGTGTTAGTTAAGAATTAGAATGAAGTTCCCTGGAACCAAGAAGCTACAATCCTTTTAGATAAAATAGATCAGGTCAAATTATTGAACATTTTCATATGGAAAAGAAACACACAATACTTGAGATCTGTTGCCAAAAAGCCAAGGATCTGAGCAAGGCAGTTGTGGTCCTTTGGTTCTGACACACATAAGCTTGTGGAATCATCTCCAGGGCATTTTGTTGGAAACTCTGGATGGAGGTGCACATGGTTAACAGGAAAGTTTGGAAGTTTGAATCTAACCGTAGGCTCATTAGATGAAGGACTTGGTCGACTCTCCTAGAAGCCACCATTGAAAACCCTGTAGACGATAGTTCAGCTCTTGAGACACTTGATGTAACCATCAGTGGGACTCAGTAACTTCTGTTTTGTTTGGTCTTTTGGTAAACCAGTTAATACACATGCTCACAGTTGAAGATCAAGACAAACAGGACATATGGAAGGATCTTGGCAAAGGATGGAGTAGAAAGGTCAAGGGCTGAGATCATGACGCGTAGGCTTAAACCTATTTCTGTTAGTCATGTGAATGACAATTTTAAAAATGTGCACAGTGGGTATGGTTACTGGCTTCTTTGCAAGTAGGCTTAGTTTGTAGACTAAATTAATTATTATGTGGAAGGTACTTGTCGAAACTCTAATACAGTCAGTGCTGATACAGATTAGTAGACGAAGATTCTTCTCTGATGGCCTCGTGAGTAAGGAGTCGCACTGTCAGCCTAGAGGCGGGTGGTTCCAATTCTCCAGCTTTTCAGAGGAGTCGGAGAGAATATGAAATCTGGAGTATTCCTCAGAAGCAAGGATGGTGAAACTTCATCTCACATACTTTGGGCATGTTGTTATTAGGAGGGGCAAGTCTTTGGAGAAGGACGTCTTGTTTAGAAAGGTGAAGTGTCAGCGTACTTGAGGAAGAGCAGAGACACTGCCGACCCGCACACAGTAAATGGCCTCTACTTAAGATGGATTTTTAAAAAGCCACACTTACTATAGGGAGTTGTGATAGTATTTAGGAATTCCTTTTCTGGTTGAACTCAAAACTCAAACCTTTCCTGTAAACCATTGGCACCATTCTTTCCCCCCACTTTTGAATAGTAGGTTAATTACAGCATTTTCCACATTTTCTTTCATGATAGTTTACTGTAGGGAAAAACCCCAAACACTAACAACCCACACCCCAACAACCAAAACTTTTTCCTAGTATGCCATTATTCTTCTCTTTCTCTCTTCTTTTTCTCTTAACTTTTAAAACATTTTTTCCCCTGCCTCCAAGGTGTCTGCAGCCGACTATTTCAGTCGCTCCAACCGTAGGGGGAGCGTTGTCTCTGAGGTGGATGACGTCAGTATCCCAGATTTGACCAGTGTGAGTGTTTTGCATGGAGTGATGAATTGTAACTAATCCATTCATTATTTTTAAATTGTTACTAGGTGTTATCAGGTTAAATACGACCCATAGCGACCATGAATATCATACCTGAACCCTGTCCTTTCCATTGCTGTCTTCACACATCCCAACACACTAGAGCCCATTACGGCGGTCACTGTGTCAGTCCACCTGGTTGAAGGTCGTCTTCTCTTTTGCTGACCCTCCTCCAGCTTTTCAACCATGATGTCCCTGTTTGAGGCCTAGCATCTCCTAGCAACATGCCCAAGTATGTGAGAAGGATTCCTGCCAGTCTTGCCTCTCAGGAGCACTCACAGCACCTTCTCCGAGTCATGCTTGCTGCTGCTTTTTTTTTTTTTACTCATAGTTGTGAGAGCTTGCTTGCTCTTCCAGCAGCCTGTGGGATATTCAGTATTCTTCTCCAACACCACAACACAAAGGCATCAGTTCTTCTGTCATCCTTATTTTAAAGTTAAGAACTTAGTTTATTGCCCAGGAAGTATTTCATTGTCTTTGAACATCATAAAATACATTTTGGGTTGTTTTAGAATGTGTGCTTCTAGGTTGGATTAAAAAAAAAAATCTACGTGGAAATTTGCTCTAGAAAATTCATCTGAAACTTCTGTAATTATCAATATTTTCTGTATCTTGCTTTACCTATTTCTTACCCTTTCCTACTTTTCCCCTATAATTATTTTAAAACAAACTTTAGACCTACAGTTTCACTTACAGGTGGTAGTTCAGTATGCTTCTCTGAGAATATTTTTTTTTCACCATTATGAGAAGAAAAAGAATTCCTTAACACCATCTAATAAGCAGGTCTGTGTTCAGATGTTCCTGTTCCGTTGTAACGTGGTTCTTCACTTCTGGTTTTGTGAAATCTGAGATTCTAAGTAGACTTTGAAAGGTGAATAATAAATAATAAATAATGTTAAGTACTTTGTAAGGTGGCACCGAGTTACCTTAACTGGGAAGAATGGGATTGATTTTAAATATCTGGAGTTCTGGCATTGCTTTGAAGAAAGGACTCTTGGTTGCTTTCACATTCACGAGGAACAGAATGGGCAGATTGTCCAGTTGAGAGGGCCCTGGGGCATTTTCCATCACGGAGGAACTCCAACCAGCAGATCTGGATCTACCTGATGGGGAGGGGCCAGCCTCATTTCCTCTCATGCTACCCACCTTCCTCCATTGCTGGCAATCGGTTTGTTTTGCTCACAGACCAACAGTGTCATGGTTACCAACACATTGGAGAGAATGAATGTCATTGTGTAACAGAAAAGTTAAAAACCTTTCTTTTTTCACAGTTTTTAATCATCATGTCAGTGAAAGTCTACAAAACAAATTTTTCTACTCAACCATTTATGCTTAAAAACCAAGTCTTTTGTTTTATTATGTAAATTACAGCACCTACATTATAATAGACACTCATTAAAGAGAGCTATTTATAATTAGCACCTCACTGATTATATGGAATAATTTTTTTGGAACAAGTTTAATTCTGGCAAATAATTTAAGTGTTTTTGTTGTTCAATGTGGTTGAGTTGGAATCAATTTCATAACTGACTCTCCAACAACGTTTCAGATGCAGTTAATCACATGAGGAGAAATTGTCATTTTTCTCCTGCTGAACAGTTGGTGGATTCAAACCATGTGCCTTAGGGTTGGCAGTGCAACTCGTCACCACAAGGCCACCAGAGGTGTAGTTCTTAGCTATTCAGGAAAACTTAACATCAAAGTTTAGATAAGGGAATCTCTCTTTATTCTCCGAAATACTGTGTAGTAGTTTTTTTTAAAGCAAACAGAATTAATTGATTTCATAGCCTTTTATTGGCTGACTCTGGGGCCTCATTGTGGACATTAGTTTGTCATTGCATGGCCAGGGACTTTAGGAACGCCAGGTTTCAGGGAGATTTTTTGTGTAATTTGAACACTGGGGACTTTAGGAATGCCAAGTTTCAAGGAGATTTTTGTGTAACTTGAAGACAGCAAGCACATCATGCAGCACAAGTCCTTGCAGGGAGACCTGGAGTCTCTGGCCAAGTCACTGCAGCCACAGTGACTGGACTGCAGGGTGGCTGCTCGGGGTATTTCTGCTGCCTTGACGATCCTTGAGGTTTGGTGCATGATTGGCTCAGACTGCGACAACCGACAGTCGGGTTCTAACAAGATAGTTAAAGTGCGGTGTATGATGCTGTAATGTCAGAATTTTAAGGTTGTTTCAAGTTGACCTCTGTTGTAAATGGGTAAGTTTGAGAGTCTGTTTTGTTTTTTGAAAGGTAATATGAAGAAAGATGTCAAATAGACTTAAAAGAATGTTTCTGTTTCTGAATGCTGCTTGTGTCTCTCATTAACTCATTAGCAGACAAGAATTGGGTTATAGGCCCGTTTATTCGATAATACGGGGGGGTTGCCTTTAAGAAAAAGTTTTAAGTATTAAGTCAGTGCATTTTGCTAGTATAGATAGTGAAAGAGGATTATTGTCTTTTTGGCAGTAACTGCCAATATTAAAAAGAAATTTTAGTCACTGTTGTTTTTTTAAAAAACAATTCATCTATTTTAAGAATAAAAATTAGTTTGTTATAGCAAGAAAGCATCATGAGTTCAAAACATAAATTCTAGATCTTTTACTGATCCTTTTCTGATCATCACGTGAATGATGATAAAGAACATGAAATGTTTTTTAATAGGAGGAAGTTAAGGGTGAAGGGATCTGAGTAAAACATAACATTTTATGCTTTAATTAACTAGAAGATTTTCAGACCTTTTTTCTAAATTGATCTAGGAATTGTAGTTGGGCAATGTTGGTTTTCATTTAGTTTAATCCTGTCTTACTTTTTGTGTTCCAGTGGCTGTCAGGACAATATATGCAGATAAATAATTAGCACTGGAAGGAAAACCCGTAAAATTAAGGTTAGATCCAGTTCTGAAGGTTATTGTCGTTCTCAGCCTTCAACAGTATCTTTTGCCTCAGAGTTTCTTTTTCCTGAGTTGGCAAGTGAGGTTTTTAAACGAGACCTTTAGGTATCTGTCTTTTCAAAATCCTTTCTGAAATAACCTTCAGGCCTACCAGAGTGTAGTTTACTGCCTCTGTAGTGTGTCCAGATAATGAGACATAACATGCAGCTCTTAAAATAAATGCAGTAAATATGTATGTGCTGGTGGGGTGTAAAATACCTGTTCATTAATTCAGCACATTTCTAGTTGGTGCTTTCACCCCAAAGGTACATGAGACGTTCAAATCCACCAGCTGGTCCAAGGAAGAAGGATGGACAGCCTCCTCCCATGCATTTTATTGCCTCTGAAAACCTGCTGGAGAGTCAGCTAGGGGGTGGTTCCAAACTGATGACACTTAACAACAGCGACAACAATTCATGGTAGTGGGAACATAGAAGAGAACAGGATTACCATAGAGCCTACTCAGAACCTCTGTGAGAGGTGGAGAAGATGACAGATAAATGAAGTCCCGTGTCAGGGAGTGGTAAATGCTGTGAAGGAAGATGAACTGCACAATACTTTATCCAATCTCTGATACTGAATCAGGAATTAAAAAGATACCAGAATGTGAGATGCAGTTATTGGGATTTTTAAAAGGTTGAAGATTGGCTGCTTTGGGGTGAGGTGTTGGACGTGATGGGAGGACACACTCTGATCTAGCGGGTGGCCTACCACCCATGTCCTTTGTGCAGTTAGAGTTTTAAGTTGTGTGGCCATTTGTCTTTGTCCAAATTGTTCGTCTCCAGTTTTCATAAACTCGTGCCCCTAAGCTTCCTTCCTGCCTGAAAAGTCAAGTTCCTTTGGTCAGTTTGAGTCTGTGAAGATGATTCTTTAAAAGTGGACCGTGTTCACAGCAGAGATTATTATACCTATTAGGCGAAACATCAGGCAGCTGACTTGGAGGTAAGTGGTTTGAACCCACCGACTCCAGTGTTGGGAGCGTGACAAGGCAATCTGTTCCTGTAGCGATTCACAACGTTGGAAACCCTCAGAGGCAGTGCTTCTTTGTCCTGTGATGTTGCCACAAATCAGACTTGACTTGATGTCAGTGGGTTTATTGTTAGGTTTAAAGGCATTGGGGGATACTTTTTTTTTTTTGAAGAAACATCAATTATTTTATTTTCCTGTAGGTACTGTTTTCTATTGCACCAACATAATTTCAAATTAAACCAAAAATGTTTAGAACTGGATCACTTGGCCCTTTCTCTTCTTATCGCCTCCCAGTTCAAAATGCTTGCATCTCTTAATGGCCAGCATCCTCTTGGACCTGCAGTTAGGCTCAACACATTCAAGCCTCAGCACAATCTTCTTTGTGGTTTTGGCCTTCTTCCGGAAAATGGGCTTTGTCTGCCCGCCATAGCCACTCTGCTTCTGATCGTAGCACCTCTTGCCTTGAGCGTACAGGGAATCCTTTCCCTATTGTACTGGGTCACTTTGTGCGGTTGATGCTTGCCACACTTCTTACAGAAAGTCCTTCGGGTTTTGGGTACGTTGACCATCTCTGCAGCAGAGTTGTCGATGCAGTGTAAACTGGAACTTGAGAGTGCGTGCTCCTCACCTCGCTCCGCTCGTGCTTAACTGGAAAGCGGGGGATACTTTTGGTTTGAAGGTTTAATATTATTTCAGGGCTGTCATTTTAGGGTAGTTGTTGAACTCACTGGTTCCACAAAGCCTAGATTTCTCGAATATTTGAAATTCTGTTCTGCCTCTTCCGCCTTTTGATAAGAATTCTATAGAATTTCTCATCTGTGCATTCAGTCATGGTAGCTAGCACTGTCCAGTTCGTCTGGTCTCAGAGCAAATGAGGAAGTTAATTAGTCACGCATTCTAGAGAAGTGACTTTGAAAAGATAGACTTGACTTGCTTTATTCCAGGTGAACTTTTATGCCAAATTGTTATCTTATATATGTGTCCTCATAATGTTTAGAGAGAAAGCTACTTGACTTTTCATTTTCATCCAGCTTTTCTTTCGGTATGTATAAGGTTTTTATATGAATTTTGCGACCAGTAGTCCTGAAGTTTATGTTGTTGTTAGGTGCTGTCAAGTGTACTATGACCCTTAGTGACCCTGTGAAACACGGATCCAAACCTTGCCCTCTCCTTCACCCACGGCTCTATCTCTGATATGCTCGAACCTATTGTTACATTTGCCCACAACAAGATGGATTAACAAATACAAGTTCTTATGTTAATGTTTCTACTACTAATGCTTAATTTTATGTGTTTGATTTTATGTGTTTTGAATATCAGAAGTTCTAAACTTTTGAGTAACCACAGCTTGCTTACTGTGTCTTCCTTAGGATAAGAATGAAGGTTCTTAACATTTTGTCTTGCAGATCTCAATTTTATTTCATTTATAATATATTTTAGGCCTGAAACATCATTGAATTTGGAGAACTCGGATGAGTCATTTATTTTGGAAGAAAATCTCCATACTAATCATCTTTCCTGATTTTTATCTCTGTTCTTTTTTAGTTGGATGAAAAATCTGACAAACAGTATGCTGAAAATTACACAAGGGTAAGTATGTAAATTCTTATGGGAATTAAGTTCTCAAGACCAGTTAAACTGACTGTCTTGTATTCTTTACTTTACTACAGTTGGACTGAAGATTAGCTCCCCTTCTTCCCTTCATCTACTTCCTGCCCTTGACCCCCCAAAATTCCTTAGATGTTAAGTCATGTGAAGCACTGGGAAGAGAAAAGACACTGCGTTTTCTTTCCTCGCGTGTCCCTTGTTTAGCTTTCGGCGGCTCTTTTGATTTTCATTCCTGTAGAAACTGATCCTGAGAAACCACTACACATGAAAATGAAATGCTTTAGGAATGGCGGAGGAAATTCTGAGTTTAGTTTTGTTTTTTCTGTGGTAGATAAGCTATTTCTTTGAGAGTAAGAATTCTTTCCTAGGCAATGTTTTAAATAAGAGTTTCTTTTTGAAGTAATTTTATAGAGCGATGCAGTGGAAATGACTCAATAGGATTGATTTTATGCTATATCTTAGACTAGATTTATCTAGTAGAAACTTAATGTGAAACACCAAATGTAGTCCTTAACATGTGTTTAAATTTCCTGGTCACATTGAAAAGATTAAAAAAGATAGGTAAATTTAATTTTTTACAATACACCTAATTTGACCCAGTATATCTAAAATGGTAAATTTTTTTTTTGGCTATGTGCCATCCAGTCTGAACTGACTTCTACCTGATTCTCCACTGGGTTTTAAGAGTTGGTAAATTACATAAGAATGGATTTGAACCATGTGCCTTTAGGTTTACAGAGCATTAGCCCCCAAAGCTCCCTGAAATGTTGTATTTCAGCATGTAATATGTAGGAAAAATTGTTGATGTGACGCTATGCATTTTTTCCTCCTTGCACTAAGTCTTTGCAATTTTGTATATACTTAATACTTCTGAAACACCTCACTTTTTACTTGCTACATTTCAAATGCTCAGTAACAAGTGTGTAATGGCCACATAGAGTCACTGTGTGCCGCTGTGTTGTGCTGATGGCCAAAATGCTGACCGTCTCCAGTGGTTTGAATCCCTCAGCCGCGCTGGTGGAGGAAGATGGACAGTCTCCTTCTGTTAAGATTTACAGGCTCAGAACCTCATGAAGGGTCAGTGGGGGCTGCGATAAACTTACTGGCAAGGAGCGAGTGGCCTTCATACTGCAAAGCACAGTTGGCTGCCATCTGTTACTTGATAGCGGACCCTTGTAACTGGAAAAGATGGAGCTCAGCTGCCTGTCACTGCAAACCTATTGAATCTTTTAAATGTACTTTATTGGGATACCAATGGTAGGAGAAAATGTGCCGCATGGATGCCTTAAAGACTTCTTTTTGTGGCCTCAGAAACAAGCCAGACCTCTTAAGGAGGTGGTCAGAGGGAATAGGTGAGGGCTGAGACAGTAGAAGAATCTTCTCAGGATCTGATAATGTGGTTTGTTCCGTGATGTCTCTACTGTGATCTGTCAGGAGTCCTGTGTTTGAACTTTAGGGTAGGTAGGTAGGTAGGGAATCCTTGGGCTTCCTTGCTGATGGTACAGTTTGCAGGTAGTTTTCTCAGAGTTTGTTATATTAGGGTTTTGTTTGGTGTGTTTTTCTTTTAATCTGGTGATTAGACTGTAAATCTTTTCCTGAAGTAACAGTCACACAGGTAGTTAATCAGTCAGATTAATGAAACTTACCTAGGCAGCTTTTACCATTGTCTTAACACTGCATCTGAGTAGCAGCTTCTCCATGGCTGAGCTCTTGCCACCATCATGCACATTTAAACGAATTATGCGGAGAGTTTATAGTGATAGTATTGCTGCTCAGGGACAAATAATTTCTTCCACTTGATGAACAAAGTTTAGGGAAAAAAGATACCTTTTCTTATGAAGCAACTTTAGGAACATAGTAGGGAGATTGCTAATTACCATACCAGTTACCACGTTTTTAAATGGCTTGTTTTAAAAAAAAATCAGTCTAATATGTTCATTCCAGTGTTGTGTACAGTATAGCAAAGGAGAACTTTGACTGTAAACAAGCATCTTCAGCAAAACCAGTTCCTTTCCAGCTGCAATTAGGAGTTTACGTTTGGTTGTGCTTGGTGTATGTGGCCCTTCTTTGGCCCTCCCTGAAAGCCAGGGTGGATTGCCTGTGGTCGGTATCCATGTCTCCTCTTCCTCCACACCAGGGCGCTAACTCTGTCTAGAGTCTACAGTACTTCCACCCACTCCTGGACGACTCCACTGCCCCACTTCTCATTCCACAGCGAACATGAGTCTCAAGAAACAAGACTTAAAAGCCCTGTTTCTTTCTCTTTAGCCCTCATCTCGAAATTCAGCCTCAGCAACAACCCCTCTAAGTGGGAATTCCTCCAGAAGAGGAAGTGGCGACACCAGCAGCAGCCTAATAGATCCAGACACCTCATTAAGTGAATTGCGGGTAAATGATGCCTTTGGTTTGGTGGGGTTTTGTTTTTTTAAAGAATCATTAGCTTCTTTGTAGTATACGGAAACTTTTGACTTCTAATAATTTACTAGAAAGAAGAGATCTTTAAAAAAAATTATAACTAATTTTTAAATGAAAAATTGTTTAAAAAATGTGATTTGGATGTTTCTGAAAAGAAAAGGCATAGTCTTTTTTCTTTTTCCTAAAAATTTGATAATGTTGGAGTTAATTCTGCTAATTTACAAATGCCAGAAAACGTCATAATATATTTTAAAGTAATATTATGTGGAAATAATTGGTCATAATTTAGATGGAAAATATGTGCATTTACAAGGTAACTGTACCCTGGAAATGAGTCGTGTCTCAGATTACCACAAGGCTACTTGAATGTAGTCAAACCTCAATTTTCCATGATAATAGAAATATAATAGTGTTTATTATAACAAATGCCTGGAAATAATTGCCTAGCAAGACTCATTTGAGCCGTTGGCAGTCTTATTAATAAACAGAAATTTTACAACTGTATTTTAATGCTTATTTCTGAGCCTGTTTGTTAGGGGATGGAAAAGTATCAGTATCTCTTCACCATTTGGCCTGTGAGATAGTAAATACATTCTCGCCTTCAGAAGCTCCTTCACTGTCTCATTGGGAAGACAAACAGATCAAAACCAATAAAACTGGATGTTATGGGACTAAGTTAAATAGCAGAAAACAGGACTGTGCAATGAATCTGGAGAAACTTCATCTAAATTAGAGTAAGAGAGGGTTCAACAGAAGATTTCAGAGGAGAGAAACTCTGAGAATATTTGAAAAATAATACAAATGAACTAGATAAAGAAGTTGAACGGGAAGGTTTTCTCAAAAGAGATGTATTTAGAGAGTAGCAAGAAGAATTAATGGGAGGCTAAACCTGACACACCGATGTCTGCCAGTCAAAGAGAACTTCAGTTTCTAGATAAGTAGAGAATATGAAATAGAGGAGTGAGACTGTCTGATTTACATTCTGAAAGAACTTTGACTGCCATCTGAATTGGCACTCCAGAGAATAGTAACCCTGCCTACATGTGATGAAAGAATCGCTCCAAAGAGGGAGAAGTCAGCTTTGCTTTGAGGCCAGACCGAATGATCGGCCTTGATGACTGATTGGATAAGGGGGGATGAGAGTACAAGGAGGGAGGAGAAATCATAGGTGTCTTTTAGGATCTTGACACAAATGATGGGGACAGAGGTATAGGAAAGGTGGTGATGAGGTTCAAGGTCATTCAGAAGGCAGGGGAAGAGTTGGGAGTTGAACTATGGGAAACTGATACTTTCTCATCCACTATCTTTGCCTCTTTCATATTCACCCTCTGAACCACATAATCAAACCAGAGAAAGAGGAAAAACTACAACCCTCACTTCCCTCCTGAAAAGTCACAGAGACAAAGATGAAACCCCGGGGTGCAGTGACATTTGTGTGGTGACACAGCACAGCCTAAAGCTCCTGCACTGTGAGGGATCCAGGAAGGGTAGTGAGGTCCTAGGGAAATCGTGTGTATGGAGGAGAAGCCAGGGGAGTTTCCAGGAAGGGGTGCAGGCCTGGTTAAGGGAGTGGAGGGGCTAAATGCAAGAAGAACCCAGTGGACCTCTTAAGTTTTTGTGGAACACTGATGTGACCTGAGGCCACCCTCCTGTGACTGAATACTGAGGGCAGGTGGAGAAGTTCACCCCAGAGCAGAATGGGAGCAGGTTGGACAGAAAGTAGACAGAGGTGGAACATTAAGAAAAGGTTTCTGTTTTCTTTGTAAAGAGGGGATTTTTATTGGTTTGACTGAGTAAATAGGGTTGAACTTGAAGGGAGAGAGCGAAAGACTGGCAGAACAGAGTGCAGGAGTAGTTGAGAAGGAGGTCAGATGAAAGGTGTGCTCCAACTGATAGCGCAGAAGAGGAGGGAAAGGTGGGACCTGAGGAGGGTCCAGGGGGAGTAGGAGCAGGAGTCTGGCTTTCCAAACAGGCTGCTTGTGAGGAAGTGGGTTAGGGAGGAGAGGAGGTGGAGGAGGTTAGAAACAGTGGCTGTACAGGAGAGATGGCACTGGCTAGCATGACCACAGCTTTGAAGGCGTTAACATTTATTAAGCTCCAAAAATGGAAAAAATTGATCAAACTCTCACCGTGTAGTGTAGCCAGTACTGCTGGGAGGGCAAAGATAAAGGTTCGGGGAGTTCTGGTGGCCCAGTGGAACTAATCTGTACTGCAGTTCCAAAGGCACACGGTTCGAATCCACCAGATGCCACAGAAGGAGCGACAGTCTCGTCCTGTACCAGTCAGATCTGATTTGACAGTACAAAAAAAACAAAAAAAACACAAAGCAGAAACAAAAAATAAAAGTTCACTATTTGCCTTTAGATACGGCATCTGGGGGGTGAGGAGGTGACCAGAAGACTCCCAGCCTCAGACTGAGTTTGCTAGTGCTTAACCCTGGCCACATGTTCTAAGAAAATAAGCTCCTTGAAGCAAGTGAAGCTTTTTGTATCCCAGCCCCTCCTTGCCAGTCCTCAGTGTGTGAGTTTCCGTTAAATAAATCAGTCCCAATGAGGAAGACAGACCTGTCAAGGAGGTAATTGAGGGGGCAGGGGAAGAGTAACACCAAGAGTGTGTATAACTGGCTTTTGGTAAGTGATCCTGACTGCGGTAATTTGTTTTTATCTAAAGGAATCATCCTGGATGGACCTTATATAACAGGGCCCAGTGTTATTATATAATAACAGAAGGGCATTATTTCCCATTTAAATTTGACCTGTTTCACTCTTCCTCAAAGGATGATGGTAGCATTTGGAGTAGATGCTTTTCTCATCCTTTAGATCATGTCATCAGGATGGGACACTCATTTGAAAGCGTGTTCAGAATGTGCATTTAACACTCCTCCTTTCCTTCCTCTCAAATTGATTTTGCTTAATAACCAAGTCATAGAAGATAACTTTGTATATAACCTCTTCTTAAAGTTTTAAAAGTCTCTATTAATCAGTAAAATTTTCTCTTTACAATGAGTTAATTTAATACAGACTTTATTAATCTTTGATGAGGTATTTAAGTGACTTAATGAGCTTTTCAGATTTTAAGTTTAAAAATTGTGCAGTCTGTATACTCCCACTCCACCCCCAAATAGCCCCACACCGCTTGCTAATTCAGTTCTCAACAGACGTTAACGTCAAGCGAGTATTTAACAATTTAGGTGGATTATCCCGATTCCCACCGAGCCCTGCTGTCACTTGGCCCCTCAGCCTTTTCAGTGGTTTGGAGTGAGTTAGAGGTACAAACTTTGATTTGCCTGCGTTTAGTCTGGGGCATATGAAAGTAATTAATGTTTCCATCTGAATGTTTTCAGACATATGATATGTACATGGTTTTATGCAATGGTTCATTCCTATGTCCTGCAGGATATCTATGACCTTAAGGACCAGATACAGGATGTAGAAGGGAGATACATGCAGGGCCTTAAAGAACTAAAGGTATCAGGGTCCATTGTGCAGCCCACGCATGCTCTGTGTATGCAGAAGTGCTGGTAGTGACGGTTCCATGAGATCATTAACTCTACTGCACATCGCTTTACTAACAGTGTTTGTCCTTCAAGCATGTGCTTAACCTGCAATGCATAGGGAAAGCGAATGTTCAGTCTTTGCTCATGTTTCAATGCTTAGTATAGTTTTTGGAAGGCTCAGCAAAAGAAACATACCGTGTTCAAATGTTAGAATGTATGTGCATGTCCCTTGTGTCTAACCATGCAAAGCTGCATTGGGCCAACTCCTGTAAAAGTATTAGAAAACTAACTGAAATTGAGACTTTATAATCCTTCCAAGCTAAATGAAATACTGTTCTGTATTTTTGACGTGAAATTCCATCAACATTTAAAGCAGGAGGAAGAAGCGACTGAGAAAATGTTAACCCCTCAGCAAGAAAGATCCCTAAGACATGGTGCCTGTTCCCACTTTGGGTTTAAAATTTTTACTTGTAGGTCACAAAAGATGGTAAAAATGGAGAGCTTTGAAGAATTTGGAGGTAAATGCGAGCAAACCAGTTTCTAGCCCCATTGTCCGCGTAAGGCAGACATGTGGCTCTAACCAGCATTTGGTTATCAGGCTCGTCTTTCTCCATGTTTTATTATAAAGTTCAAACCCAGTATTACATGGAAACCAAAGTTTCCTCTAAACCCATGTGTGTACCTATTTGGAATAGAAATATGTGCCAAGCCTATAAAAACCCTGAAAGCTAGGCATTTAGGTCGGTGACTGTGGCTTTGTGAAAGGACCAAACATAGGCCTCCTGGGCAAGGACTTCATCGGCCTCCTAGATGTGAAATGAAGATGCCCATTTCCCAGCCACATCCTCCATGCAAGTGGACGAGTCCAAAAAGGAGCTTAGAGTTATATGACACAGGACCACAGCGGGCGACTCAGGACCACAGCAGACAGGAAGCCTGCATACTGCTGACACCCAGCGTGAGGAAGACTTGCAGAGTTAGTGTGCTCATTTAGTCTTGATCTTCTCATCTTCAAGATCTGATCCTCTTTGCAAAGCCAGAGAGGTACATGTTCGAGCTGTGTGTGTTAGAGCAAGGGAATATTTCAGCACATTAAATATATTCATATTGAAGTCTCGTATGTAAAATAATGTCTGAGAAAAGTAGTCAGTTCAGAGCTATTCTAACTTGTTTATTTAAACCATTTTTCCTCCTTTTTTTTCTTAGCATTTTTCTCATTTAAAATCTTTCAATTGCAGTCTTTGAAGGATAGTAAAAGAATATATTTCATTTATTTGACAACTCTGAGCAGATAAGCATTTTCCTTGAAATTTCAGATTGTATTTAATTTTGAAATTGCTCTTCTAAGTGTCATAAAAGTATTACTTTAAAAAAAATTATCTGGCAAGTAAACATTGTGGTTAGATGTGTCATGTTTAGAGAGGATGACATTGTTCCCAAGTGAGCAGACTTAACTTGCCTGTTTTTCCCACCTCACTCACTTATTTGTTCTTCGTTTCCCCCCCTCTTTTATCAGGAAATGCGATCATTTCTTAACTTGTGTATATTGGGCACTGTTATCTAGGACATGTAGTAAAAAAATTACTGAAACATCCCTTAATTATTTCTATAAATTAAAACACTACAGTAATTAAAAAAAAAAACTATTTCTTTATGTCTGCCTGTTTGTTTCTCTGATGATTTCTTTCCACCATCCCTCTGTGAGTTTGTCACACTGGTGGCTTGCATGTTGCTGTGATGCTAGGATCTGAGCTGAGGGTATTTCAGCTAGCAGCAGGCAGCAGGGTCACTCTGGTGTGCAGGCTTCAGGGAAGTTCCCAGACGAGGAGCAAGACTGACCACCTATTTCTGAAAAAAGGGACTCTTGACATCCTACAGATCACGGTGGGTCATTGTCCTGAATGGTCCTTCATGGAGCCTGAAGGTGATCCCGAGTGGGAAGGTACTGCAAAGGATCACCTTGACAGAGTGAACGCAGCAGTGGACTTGAGCATAGTGGAGGTTGTGAAGATGGCCCAGGACCAGACGAGGCTTAGATCTGTTGTCCATAAGGTCACTATGGCTCTGACTCAACTCGAGGGCATCTAACAACAGCATAGCCTTTATTTGGCATGTTAGTTGCCTCAGTCTAGTCTCTGTTAGCACAGTTCTGCAATTTTCACAGCTATGTCCATTTGATTATATGTTTAAACAGACCATGTAGTGTGCCAATTTAAAGTGTGTGTGTATGTATATATGTATAGTTACAGCCCCACACACCTCGTTAGCAGTCATTCCTCATTCTTCGTCTCCAGCTCCTACCCTTAGCACTGGGCAGTCACTAATCTGCTTTCTGTTTCTGGATTTGCCTCTACTGGACATCTCATATAAAGACAAAAATATGATGCATTTATTTTGTGTTTGGGATCTTTTCTTTAACCTACTGTTTCCAAAGATTCTTCCTGCTTATAGCATGTATCAAATTGTGTCCTCTTTTTATGACTGGATAATGTTCCCTTGTTTGGAAATAACATATTTTGTTTATTCATTTTCCACTTGCATTCTGTCTATTACAGATAATGCTCTGTGGACTTGTTCACAGGTTTTGTGTAGATAGGCATTTCGTTATTCTTGGGTGTCTATTTAGGAGTAGGGTTACTTGGTTATGTGGTGTTCAACAGTTTGAAGAACTGACAAACTGTTTTCTAAAACAACTGTACTAATGGATGTGGAGTTCGGTTTTTCCATATCTCTGTTAACACTTGTTCTTTTCAGTCCTTTTGACTAAGTGATGGTTCTCCTAATGGATGTAAGCTGACACATCTTTCTAAAGTTTTGATTTGTGTTTATCTAATCACGCGTACTGTTGAGTATGTTATGCTTATTAGCTTTTGTTTCCTTCTTTGGGGAAAAAGTCTATTCACATTCTTTGTCCATTTCTAAATTGAATTTTCATTTTATTATTGAGTGGGAAAAGTTATTTCTATATTCTGGATGCAGTTCCTTTACTTTACTAATTATTCACAATATTTTCTCCTGTTTTGGGGATGTCTTTGTACTTTTTTGATACTATGTTTGCAGCACAAAAATTTTAGTATCTGTTTTTACTTGGGATGTCATATCAAGAAAGCATTCCTTACCTCATGGTTGCAAGAATTTTCTTTGATGTTTTCTTCAGGTTTAGGTCTATGGCATGTTCTCAGTTAATTGTTCTCTATGATTTGAATAGACATCCACCTAGAAATCTGATTGTCCTGAATTTGTTGAAAAGACTGTTCTTTGCTTCATGGAATTTATCTGGAAAACCTAGAAAATAAACTGCTTATCTCTCAATTTGGTTTCATTTCTTTTAATTAACACTAGTAATTAAAAAACTTGTTTGTTGAGGTGAAATTACTTTTCTGTGTAAAATGTTTTGTTAGTTTTTTAAAAGACTAGTTGTTAGATAGTAGTAATCTACCAAATTAGATATAGTTATTAAAAACGCACTAAAAAACCCATACTGATAAATTGTTTTAGAAATGAGCTTTAGACAGTTTGTGATTTCTTTTTTTGTGTTGGTGTTTTTTTAAAGTTTTGAAATGTAAGATTCCAGGCATTTTATAATATTCCTTTTTAAAATTACTTACATTTTAATATTTTCTAACAAAAGTTTACCCACTTTAATTAGCATTATTTTGTAGCAAAGGAAAGCACCGAAAACAAACACATAAAATGGCAAGATTCAGATGAGTATGAAGATTACTTCTGTGGAGAAAGACTAATCTGTTAACACATTATGAATAACATAAAGCTGGGAAAACTGCAGTAGTAACGTTTGTGAACATACCGATTTCTCTTTCTGTGACTCTTGGGAACATACGTTGTCTGCACACCCTCTCTTCCTTCAGAGCCTGCCTTACTCCTGCGTTTGATTTTCTTGGAAAGCAGAGAGCATATGAGGCTCTTAGAAAGGCGTTTTTGGCTCCTTATCTTCCCGTTGTACTGCATGATACTAATCAAAGAGATCCCCGCAGTCCTTGTGTTTTGCAAAGATGTGTCTCTGTGTGTGTGTGCTCACGCGTGTGCCCGTGCTGATCTGCGCCTGCTGTCTGGAAGCATTGAACTTCTGTGGCGTTGAGGCTGATGACTTTGACCTTCATTTAGGAATCTCTGTTGGAAGTGGAAGAAAAGTACAGGAAAGCCATGGTCTCCAACGTGCAGCTGGACAACGAGAAGAACAAGCTCATCTACCAAGTAGACACCCTCAAGGACGTTCTGGAAAGACTTGAGGAACAGCTGGCAGAATTTTACAGAGAAAATGAAGAAAAATCCAAGGTAATTGCGCATCTTTATCATGCCATTTTCTTGGTCAGAAAAGAAACATTTGCCATTTTAAAAGGGACAGGGTTGAGGGAAGATTGCTGCACGTTTGGGGCTGTTGTTTCAGTCAGAACTACATGGTTTCAAGGAAATCACCAGGACACAGCAGAGTATCAAACCGTAATTATTTTCAATTTTATCTTCTTAAGGAAAAGCGTATTAGTTCCTTTGTTGTTGTGTGCCATCAAGTCAGAACCAACCCTTAGCTGACCTTCCAGCAGGTTCTTAGAGGCAGGAAGCCCCATGGGAGATTGCCAGGCCTTCTGCAGAGCAGCTGGTGAATTCACTCCGTGTGTCTTTCGTATTGCAGTGCAGCCTCTTAGTGCTGGGCCACCAGAACTCCCTTCAAACCTCCTTCGGGCTTCTGAAAACAGAGTACAAGTCTAGTTTTATCTTTATTTTCTATCTTTTAATTGGGACCATTATAGCAAATTACTCATTTCCTCCTGATGTTATCTGGAATTCCACAAAACTCTTAATCTTAATGAGATGTTTCATTTTTGTTTGACCCTCTAAATAATTTGAGAATTTATTTTTTGAATGACTAGAGAGATATCTTTAATATTGCAGAATGGAGAGTGTTGATGTCAGAAACTGATAATTTTTTTTTTCAGAGATTTGTAAGTAGCAGTAAAAGGAAAGCCAAGTTTCAGGGACCAGATTTTCCCTTTAAAAGGGCATAGGTTCAGAGCTGTTGTACACAGGGTCACTATGAGTCACCGGCAACTTGATGGCACATTACGTCAACAACAGGACAAATTGGGTTCTGTTAGCTTAATGAGCTTGGATTTTTTTTCTTTAAGGTGTTGATGTCTATTTAAGCAGGGGATTAATGGATATTAATGCCAGAAATTTGTTGCCACTACTTTGTCGGTACAGAGTGTCTAGAGTATTGATGAATAATTACAAACGATTGTAATCTGAACTGGAAAAAAATAACGGAATAGAAGATCATCATGTAACCTCTGAGGATATTATGACTGTAGACGTTACAGGATTTGAACTGAAAATGTTAATTCCCGTCTAATTTGGTCATACTCAAAGGTGTTAGGATAAAAGAGGCAGAAAGAAGTTTCTGGATGACTTTCTGTTAACCGAGTAGTTTTCCTGTAAGAGTTTGATTTGATGGCAGTGGGTGATTTCCTCTGTGACTATTCCTGGAGCCCATTTTTGGAGATTCTGAGCCATCATATAGATTCCTTTATTTGCCTTCTCACAGATTTTTCCATGTCCATTTCTGGCTGTCTCTTTACTTTGAGCAGATTAGGAGAAAATCTCATGCTTCAGTGTTTAGTGGTCAGCATTAGTCATTGAACGTCCCCTGGTTGTGCAGTGGTGAAGCGCTCACTTGGCGTTGTGTTTTCACAGCGTTTCAGCTGTGGAAACCCTGTGGACATCGGACTCTTTCCTCTAGGGTTGCTATGAGTTGGAATGTGCAAGATAGCAGTGGATTTGAGTCGTTATTAAAATGAACTAATGAAAAACTATCGGGTTAGGCCAGCACAAAGGTATGTGGTTTCAATCCACTAGATTCTGTACAAGAGAAGGATGGGCAGTCTCCTCCCATGCGATTTATAGCCTCTGAAAATCCACTGGAGCTGTGAGTTACCACACATAACAACTTCTCTTCATGTTGTTGTTGTTATGTGCCGTCGAGTCGTTTTCGACTCATAGCGACCCTATGCACAACAGCCCTAAACCCTGCTCTATCCTGCGCCAACCGCACCGCCTCTGACACACCCATCCCGATTACCCCAGTCACCGAATCAATCCATCTCATAGAGGGTCTTCCCCTCCTGCACTGTCCCTCCACCCTCCCAAGCATGATGTCCCCCTCCAAGGACCCGTCCCTCCTGGCAACATGTCCAAAGTATGTCAGACGAAGCCCCAGAATCCTTGCCTCCAAGGAGCAGCCTGGTTTAATCCTCTCCAAGATGAATCTGTTCATTTTCCTGGCAGTCCATGGTACATTCAGTATCCTTCTCCAGCACCACAGCTCAAAAGCATCCACTCTCCTTCTGTCCTCCCTAGTCATTGTCCAACTCTCTGATGCATAACAAGCGACTGCAAAGACCATGGACTGTATCAGGCGCACCTTAGTCTCCAGAGAGACACAGTTGCTCCTGAGTACTTTAGAGAGGTCCCTAACAGCAGACTTTCCCATCGCGATACGCTTTTTGATTTCCTGACTGCTGGTACCAAGAGCGTTGACTGTGGAGCCTCTTCATAGCTTATAAAATACTTGGAACATTTTAAAAAATAAAACCCCTCACGATGAGCTGTTTTCATCAGCTTCGTTTTTCTCTTTATCATTTACAAAGATACAAAGCTATCATTTTACCATTTGTTGCTCTGTACTGCAGAGTTGAACCCATAGCTGACCCTCCTGCGGGTTTCTCCCCGGAGCACTGGTGACCTTTGGTGAACTTGGTGCCTTTGAGATTGCAGCACGGTTTCTTGCCACTAGGTCACTAGAACTCCCTCATTTTGTCATTTACGTAGATACATATCATTTATAAAGATACAAAGATAGCTTAGTAAGCATAAAGGTTTGTTTTGTTTTATTTTTTAGCATAAAGCTTTATTTTATGTTATGTAAATACCAGAGTTTTTTGGCCTAGAAAATCTGTAAACTCAAATCATCCTCACATTTTTTTGTGGCCATTTCTGGCTGTCTCTTTGCTTTTAGTAGATTAGGAGAAAATCCTCAAAACATAAGCTTTTAAAAATAGCCAAAAAAATCTGCCTCACATAGTGGGCTGTAGAAGACTTTATCCCTCCGCGTCATTATCACTCTGAGCTTGCTTGTTCCGGACAAATAGTAAATGGGGCCTACACAGTGGACCCTTCATATTCAGAGTCGAACTGAGAATATGCTCTGCAGTGTTTCATTATAGCAGCAGACGGTGACATCACACAATTGTTGAACACGTTCAACACAGTATGAACAAAAGTTTGACATTCTTGCTAAGTATGTTACTCTCTTCTTAATAGTTAATTATTTTCATAGAGAATTCTTTTTTAAAAGGCATTTGAGTCTATTGTGGATTTTAAATATATCACACAGGAGACAGAGAAATATAATGTACCCTATGAATAAGTCACCTTGCACCAGCAGTCAACCGTCAGCCTCCTTTGCCCTGTCTGCATCCCATTCATGATGTGAAGCAAGTCCACAGCTTCCCTGATTTTTTATTACATTTGATAGGCTTCTCTCAGTGGTAAGGACTCTTTTTTTTAAGGTGGGAGGATTCACAAGACCATTTATGTTTACCTAAAAGGTTGACTTAATTTTTTCATATATGTTGAATCATTGTTAAAATTTCCATTCCACAAATTCATTTTATATGTATTAGATGCTGTATTTTTCAATTTCTTTTTATTTGTAAGTTCCTTAATGTGTTGAAGAAACTGTTGCTGGTGTTGATCTTAAGAGTTACCCCCAGTTTTGGGAATTTTGCTGTTCCCATCCCCATAGTGTCCTTTTTTCTCTGTACTTCCTCTAAATATGTAGTTGGATCATGTGACTTGGTCATGGGTTTTTTTGCCGGTCTCCCTCTGAGGTGGCGCAGTGGCCTTTGTGTAGTGTCCAGGGGGGCACTGGTGGTACAGTCCTTAGGGAATTGTGCTGCTAACCCCCCCAAGAACTGTCCCTCAGGGGAGAGACGTGGAGCCTCTCTGCGGGTTCGAATGCACCTGTGGCTCCTCAGGGGAAAGGAGGACAGTCTCCTCCTGTGCGACTGACTGACCCTCTCTCTCTGGAGGGTCAGTTAGGAGTCATTTCTGACTTGATGGCAATAGATTTGAGTTTTGTTTTAGTAAGCCCAGATGTGTGGTTCTCTCCCTGTGACAGGTAGATGCTTAGATTGATCCGTAGAGTAGAAGTTGCATGGGTGGGATATTCTAATTCGCTTGCTTCTTTATTTTTAACAGCCCTGCTGAGAAATAAAGTCACACGGCATCCAGTTCACCCATTAAAAAATACATTCCCATGGTTTTCACTAGCACCACACTCTCTACTGCCCTTCTCCCATCCCCTTCCCTAGTCCTACCAACCACTCCACTTCCCATTTCTTTCCCGGTTCTGGACTTTGATGTGAATGAAATAATATGCTGCGTGGTCTTTAATGAGTAGTTTCTTTGATTTAGCCTGTTTTCAAGATTCATTCATCTTGTGACTTGTATCATTTCATTGTTTTATGGCTGAACAAGCAAAACAGTCCATTGTTTTAACATACCATAGTTTACTTACCTGTTGTGAATAATGCAGCTGTAGATATTCACGAACAGGTCTTCGTGTGGACAGATTTCATTTCTTTCGTGTATATGTGTCTCTGGGTAAAACTCCCAGACGGTTTTCCAGAGCGGCTAGGCCATTTTCCATTCCCTCCAGCAGTCTGAGATTTCCCTCCAGCAGTCTGAGATTTCCAGCTTCACCACATCCTTGCCAACACTTGTTGATTCTGACTTTTTTACACTATAGCCATCATTGTTGTTAGGTGCTGTCAATTTGAGTAACAACTTACAGCAACTCAAAGAAAAAAGACCGGAATCCTCTCCTGTCCTGGACGTCCTCACCGCTGACACACACCTGCTCACAGCTGCAGTCCCGTGTCGTCCGCCTCGTGGGGCTGGTTGTGACTTGCTTTTCCCTGATGATTGATGCTTATTAAGTGCTTATTGACCATTTATCTATCGTCTTTGGAGGAATGTCTATTCAGATCCTCATTTCTAAATGGAATTTTTTGTCATTTTATTATTGAGTATAGTAGTTCTTTATATCTTCTGAATATAAGTGACTTGTAAATATTTCTTCAATTCTTTACACTTTCTTCTTATTCTTTATTTATTAGCATAGGTACATGTTTAAAGAGAAATTTCTCCTTACCTATTATTACTATAAAGACTTTTTTCCTTGCGTGCATTTATGAGTTTTCGACCTAAAGAATTCAAAGCATTTTTTAGCATCTTCTAGTAGTATTGCTGTTTTTTTAAAAAATGCTTGTTGTTGTTGTTATGTGCCATTGGGTCGCTTGCGACTCATAGCGACTCTATGTACAACAGCCCTAAACTCTGCTCTGTCCTGTGATGTCCCTCTCCAAGGACCAGTCTCTCCTTACAGTATGTCCAAAGTATGTTAGACGGAGCCTCAGAATCCTTGTCTCCAAGGAGCCACCCGGTTTAACCCTTTCCAGGACAAATCTGTTTGTTTTCCTAACAGTCCATGGTATTCTCAATACTCTTCTCCAGCACCACAGCTCAAAGGCATCAATTCTCCTTCTATCCTCCTTGGTCATTGTCCAACTCTCTGATGCATAACAAGTGATTGCAAAGACCATGGCCTGTATCAGACGCACCTTAGTCTCCAGAGAGATACTATTGCTCTTCAGTACTTTGGAGAGGTCCCTAACAGCAGACTTTCCCATGGCAATGCGCCTTTTAATTTCCTGGCTACTGGTGCCAAGAGTGTTGACTGTGGAGCCAAGCAAACTAAAGGTGTGAACAGTCTCAATCTCTTCACCATCCATCCTGATGCTGCCAATTGGTCCAGTGGTGAGAATCTTTGTCTTCTTGAAATTGAGCCTCAATCCATGTTGGAGGCTGCCATCTTTGACCCTCTGCAGCAAAAAAATCCTTACGAAATGTATATTCAATCACTTCATTTTCATTCTTCCCACCTTTTGATACAAGTACTTCTGATGCATGAGTCTAGTTTTTTATTACTTCTTTGCCATTTAACACAAGAAGATGTTCCAGGCTCAGCGTGTGCATTTTCTGCCCCAGCCCTGGAATCAGTCACCAGGGGTCCTCGGTCTGGTCTTCGTGGTGCCATTTGAATGCCCAGTGTTCACTGCCCCCACGTTGGTTACTGTTTATAGGCCTATGGGTGCGTGTATCTCGGAAATGTGCACAGGAGGGTTTGTTTTTATTTTGAAACAAAATCCATCATGAGTTCTGAGTTAGTTCCAGTTGAGGCTCAGGACTCCAGGCCTTTTAACCTCCACTGTTGTACATTTCTTTCTCCTTTTCCTATGCTGCAGCTCCGAACCTCAGAGTCACTGGGGACGACGGTAATTACGTTATGGTCTGCCCTCATTGCTCTATCCCACGTTACCCAGAATAGCAATTCCAGTGTTACTACCAACGGTGTAATTACTGAGAACAGTCAAACGGGAATTTGGGTTTTGGTTAGTTGTTCTTGTTGCCAATGACTTTTTTTTTATTGCAAATACATTTTTATATTAAAATAATTTTTTAATACTTTGTAGATATATAATAGTGTGTATCATTATATGCTCTTAAATTATTTACTCTAAATTGTTAGATTTTTGTTATTTTAAGGAGACTGTTTGCCTGTATACTGTATTAAAGTTGATAACCTCTATTTTTTCTTCTTTTTTTGTTTAAAAACTGCTGACTCTTATTTCTCAACGTTACCTGCAGTCATTTCTCTGTGCTTATTCTTCTAGCTGCGCATGTCAGGTTCACTGAAGCTTATTGTCTATATTTAGGAACGGTTTGTAAAATGATCTCTTTAGAATGATGTAAAATATATGATGTAAGATATATAAATATGATGTAGCTCTTAAGTCAAATTGCAAGGCAAATCCAAAGAAAAACATCTTTTCTACCTCCTCTTCTCTATTTTCCCCCCCCATATATAGATATATATCGCCTTCCATTTCTAAGAAACGTAGCATCCTATGAATGTTGTTCTGTATCTTGATTTTTGTTGCTTTGTGATTAGATGGTACAGAGAGCATCTCGATTCGCCTTCAGACTAGTAATGTTTCTGTGATGTGGAAGTCCTAGCATTCACTTCAGTGGTTTCACACTAGCCGACATGTGAGTTGTTTGGATTCTTTTATTGTTACAAGCAGTGCTATCAAAAGAACCCAATATACAAGTGTTTTGTTACAAGCAGTCCTGTAAAAAGAACCCAGTATACAAGCATTTTGTAGTTCTATCAGTGAACCTATAGGAAAGAATAATGCTTTGCGTTGCTGTGTCAAAGGGTAACTTCCGCAGTCTTGCTAGATATTGGCATTTCCTCCCATAGTGTGTTTATATACCATTTTACATTCTCATCGGATGCATGAATGGGCCTGCTTCCTTCTACGTCGTAATTTATTTTTCCAAGGTGTGTTGCCAAGTTTTGGGATTTTCACAAGTGTTGAAATCGCTGTACCTGTAAAATCACATGTGTTCTGTGTCTAAGTGTATACAGACATATATGGGAGCCCTGGTGGCCTGGTGGGTTAAGTGTTGGGTACTGCCTGAAAGATCAGCAGTTTGAATTCACCAGCTGCTCCCGAGGAGAAAGATGTGGCCTCACCGTCCGTAAAGACTGCAGCCTTGAAACCCAACAGGGCCGTTCTCCTGGGCCGCATAGATCTGCTGTGAGTTAGAATCACCTCAGTGCCAGTCAGTTGGGTTTGGGTTTTGTTTACACACACACACGCACACAAACACATACACACTGTTTCCTGATCTGTGACCTGTGCAAACTGTTATTTGTTTACGACAGGAATTAGAAAGGCAGAAACACAAGTGCAGCGTGCTCCAGCATAAGATGGATGAACTTAAAGAAGGTATTCGGCAAAGAGACGAACTTATCGAGGTATGTGGATGAACTATAGAAATACTCTATTCTAAAAAAAAAAAATCCGATATTGTATAAGAAAAGGGCCTATTGTATTGTTAGAGAAAAAGCCTAACATGTCAATGAGTTCGTTCGTGTCTTTATATTTTGCTGCATCCCAAAATTTCAGAAAAGGAAGACTAAAATGTGGCATTGTGAACCCTAATAAGGCCTTTTAAAACCGGAAGTTTTTGTAAATGCCTTGGATTTCTAGATACTGCCTCTCCTGTGAGAACTTGCAAAGTAGGCTAATAGGAGAATTCTTATGCGGCATCCTTTGAACCTACAAAATCCTATCTATAGGGACTTGAGTCCAGAGGAATGAGAACTTAAGTTCACTCAGGTGGAGGTATTTCCAAAATGGATAAATTTGTTGAAAAATAACACCTCGAGGCGCTTTGTATTGGGAAAGGCCAAGGGCAGCTGGGACTGAGGTTCCTGTTGGTTATTGCGCTGAGTGTTGCAGTGCAAGCAGCATCCTGGGAATGGACATGGCCGTAGTCCACCAAAAAACATTTGCTGCCCGTTTACGTGTATTACCTTTAACACCTCCCTGCTTTATCTCTTGAGATTTGCACTTTTTATAAATACAGAGCGAAGCATTGAGGAGAGCTTGCCCGCTCTCCTGGGATGGTATCAGACCGTGGCGTCTAGTGACGTGGTGGTGACAGCTGGCCAGTCAGCGTTAGATGATCCGTGGGGAGAGGCCCACTCCTGAGCCACCACGCTCACAGCCTCTCCGACCTCCGTGCCTTGCCTTCTCCCCATTTCTCTTTTCTTCTTTCCCCAAAGACCAGCGTCATCGCCTCAAGTATCTTCTTATGAATTACTTAGAAAAAACAAACCAGAAAAGAATTCTCTTCATAGAGAAAAAAAATTATTCTGTCTCTTTGTGAATTGGTATTATTTCAGGTCATTTTTAAGGATAATTGAATTGACCATTGACTGTTGGAAGTAGGTGGAAACTTGTGAATCCTAAAAGTAGATACTGTAGATCTAAGTGTAGATACACTGTGTGCACCTATCTGATTCCAAGTGAATGTAGTTGCTTCTGGTAGATAGAAAAATATGTGGCAGGAAGCATGGTATCCAAATCCCTTCTCTGCTGTTATTTAAAAATAAAGTCCCTTTGTAATTTTGTTATGTTAAATATGTCAAGTATTTATATGTTTTTTTAAAATTAAAATATATACTTCCCTTTTTAGAATTTAGAAAAAGCAGTAAAACTCCCTTGAAGCAGCTTCTCAAAGACATTAAGATTGGTTAAATGTTCTTAATAGTTGGATTTAAGAGAAATAGTAGTGCTTGATTCTACAATTATCTATCTTTGTGATTCTCTAAAAATCTTGAGTGCTAGGTATATCAACTTTAGAAAGTTACTGCTATTTAAATTTTTAGATTTAAGCATCTTTCTAATGTTAGTACTCGTGTCTGTGTATCACTGAAAGACCTTGAATATGGCAAATAATGTGGTTTAGTCTTTAGAATCAAGACTCATTTAAATGGTAAACTTGATTGGAAAAACAGATGAGTAGGGAAAGCAAGAATTGATAATTTACCAATAACACAGAAGAAGAAAACCTCTCGAGTATTGCTATTGTTAAGTACCATGGGCCAATTTTTACTCCAGAAACCCTGCGTGACAGACAGACTGTACCACCCCCTGGAGTTTCTTCGTCGATGATCTTGGAATAGATTGAAAAGTCTTTCACATCAGTACCTAATCAGAAGAGTTCTTTGGGATTGCAAGACTGGGGTTTTTCTGAAAACCAGTGTGACAGCTTGGATGACAGTCTTGCTGTCCTAGAGCATGTGACTAGAAATTTGAAATGATTAAGCAAAGATTTTTTTAGCCTACTTGTATAACTAAAACTACTGTTCTTCTCTGATAAGAAATCACTTGTTCATAAGCAAACCTAAATTTCCTTCTTCAGAAATAGAAGTTGTTCCATATTTGGGAAAAAGAGGACAGGGGGGAAAAAAGGCAGTTATCAAAGGAAGCGCAGGCTTAGAGAGTTGTGAGACTGCAGACGGCCTGGCTGACTTACTGCCACTTAGCTGTGGTTGGAACCGTGGGCCCCTGTTCCCTTACTTCCTTTTGTAGGGACAAACCAATGACAGTCCTGTCGCCAGCGTTCTGGGTGTCATCTTTGCTTTTTAGCAAGTGAAGTTTGCCTCTCCTGTTCATCGTAGACTTGTTCCTTTTATTAAACTTTTTGTTCTGTTTGCTTCCTTCTAGCCCCCCTTTCCCCTTTCTGCTCTTTATTTTCTTCCCCTCTTCCTCTGCAGGAGAAGCAGCGCATGCAGCAGAAAATAGATGCCGTAACTAAAGAGGTGTTTGACCTCCAGGAGACACTTCTTTGGAAAGATAAAAAAATTGGGGTATGAGATAAAATTGGCTCTGGTGAGGAATAGACCAATGGAATTTAACGTAGAGATGCCCAAAGGCTGCCAGCGTTGGGAGTATTTTGACAGTAGGAGGTATGAAGAGTAGTGAGCAGGGCTGACATGGAGGGAGACTTATCTATAGGGCCGGGGTGGACCAGACATACCTGATAGTACACCTGGAAACAGCCCTCCTTCCCACCCTGCTCTGGGCTTGTAAAACCTACAAACAGGATATTTATAAGGAAGTTGCTCTTCATTCCTCTAGGAGTTTGATCCAGAAGCATCCACAGGCATTTCATTCAAATCTTCTTACATTACAGGAATTTAGATAAGAAGCTAAGATATTTTGATGGGAAAGGGAACTTGGGTAAAGGAGAAATTATTAGCATCTCATCAGTCCTTGGTGAATAAAATAGGAAAAGATTAAAATCAGTTCAATTACAGAAGTGGCTAGGAATGTAAGATTTGCCAGGGCTGCCAAAATGTGACTCCATCTCTAATTATAATCCCAGAATTCCCCAAAGAGGGCCCAGACAAGAGAAGTCTTCATGGCCTTTCGGTACCCTGCAGGTGAACCCTCCAAGTACACAGGAAGCTGAAACGTACAGACCAAGTGGCACAACAGCCTATGTTCTAACAGGATCTCTGTTGTGGAGTAGAGGAAGCTCAAAGGCTGGTTATTCGAGGCTTCTCAGGAAGGAGCGTACTGCTGAAGTTAGGTGGAGTAGGAAGAAGTTGGCAAAGGTATCTTAAGAGCACCTGGGATTTTCGTGAAGCCCCCTGGATATACCCTCCATTGTTAGGGATATGCTCAAGTCCAAGATGGAGTCAGCAATGTTCAGTCCTTTACCCATTCCGAAAGATCTGACCTTCTCATTAATAAACATGTTGTTGTTGTTGTTGTTGTTGTTGTTAAGTGCCGTCAGGTCACCTGGGACTCATAGCAACTTTATGCACAACAGCTCTTAACCCTGTCCTAAGTCAATCTTATTGTCTCTGACACACTTAACCCCATTACTCCAGACTCTGTAAGTCTATCTCCTCCAGAGTCTTCCTGTCTTGGGCTGTCCCTTAATCCTTCCAAGCATGTCCTTCTCCAAAGACTGGTCCCTCCTGGTACTGGAGGGAAATAATGATTTCTAAAGAGTTGTGTAGACCAAAACTTTCAAGACATGTAAAGCTTCCTTTTAGAGTTTGTGAAACAGAAATAATGAGTTTCCAAAAAGGACTGGAAAGCATTCTGTCGTGGCCAACACAGCGAAGCAGGGATGAAGTGAAATTTGCAAAATGTGTCTGGAATGATGATGACCAGAATGAGGACGATATACAGTGAAGGCCCTCAACTGGGCAGCCTGGAAGAGGAAGTAGGCCCTTTCAGGAATGTGTGGCAGGAGGTGTATGCCACGGCTGTGGAGGGCATTCACAGCAGGATCAAGTGCCATCTCTGCACAGTGCACCCCTTGTTCAGAGTTCACCATGTGAGACACTCGGTAGCTGTGCAGTGCGTACACGCTGCCCTTTTTTCCTAAGGGGAAGATTGTTTCTTGTCATCAGGACGTCAGCCTGTCGTTTCCCCGTTCCCCGCCCCCACATCTTGCACAGTCTGTCCCCTCCCTTTTTCACTTCATTGGCCTCCGTTGAACTGGGAAACTCTGATCAAAGCCCTGTTCTAAAATTCATGCAAAGCCAGAAAAATAATCTGACCCTGGTTTTAACCTCTAGCTATTGAGGGATGGTTATGAACTAATTTCATTTAAATTTTTACATGGAGAAATTAAGGTGAGATATGAAAAATACATTGTGACCCAAAGTCTGCAGTGTGTGAAGATTATTTAAATCTGATAGATACCTGGAATAGGCCTTCCTTTAGGCCTTATGCATCATTCTCTTGTGTAAAGATACACAGATCCATCATTTCAGATTTATAAAACAAGGCTCCAGGAGTTGACGGCATACCAGTTGACATTTCAGCAGACAGACACTGCCCTGGATGTGCTCACTAAGTTGTGCCAAGAAATCTGGAGAACAACCAGCTGGCCCACTGACTGGAAAAGATCGATATTTGTTCCCATTCCAAAGAAAGGTGACCCAACAGAGTGCGGAAATTATCAAACAATATCATTAATATCACATGCAAGCAAGAGTCTGCTGAAAATTATCCAAAAACGTTTGGAACAATATGTCAGCAGAGAACTGCCAGATGTGCAGGGTGGCTTTAGAAGATGTCGTGGTACTAGGGATATTATAGCTAATGTTAGATGATCTTGGCAGAAAGCAAAGAATACCAGAAGAAGGTCTATCTATGCTTCATTGACTATGCAAAGGCTTTTGACTGTGTGGATCACAACAAGCTGTGGCTGACTCTGAGAAGAATGGTAATCCCAGAACATTTGATTGTGCTAATGCGAAACCTGTACTTGGACCAAAAGGCAGTCATCAGAACAGAGCAAGGAGACACTACATGGTTCAAAATCAAGAAGGGGGTCCGTCAGTTCTATATTCTGTCTCCATACCTTTTCAATCTGCATGCAGAACAGATCATCCGAGATGCTGGGCTGTACGAAGAGGAATGTGGCATCAGGGTTGTTGGAAGAATCAACAACCTGCATTATGCAGATGACACAACCCTGCTTACTGAAACTGAGGAGGACCTGAAGCGCTTGCTGCAGAAGGTCAAGGACTGCAGCCTCCTATATGGATTGAAGCTCAACATCAAGAGAACAAAGATTCTCATCAGTATGGATGGTGAAGAGATTGAGATAGTTAAGAGTTTTAGTTTGCTTGGCTCCACAACCAACACTCTTGGTAACAGCAGCCAGGAAATCAAGAGACGAATTGCATTGGGAAAGTCAGCTGTGAGGGACCTCTCAAGAGTACTGAAGAGCAACGACATCAGGCTGGAGACTAAGGTACGCCTGATCTGGGCTATAGTTTTTGCAATTATGTTCTATGCATCAGAGAGTTGGACAGTGACTAGGGATGATAGAGAATTGATGCCTTTGAGCTGTGGTGCTGGAGAAGAGTGTTGACTATACCATGGACTGCTAGGAGAACAAACAGGTTTGTCCTGGAAAAGGTGAAGCCAGAATGCTCCTTGGAGTCAAGGATTCCGAAGCTTCGTCTGACATACTTTGGGCATGTTGCAAGGAGGGACTGGTCCTTGGAGAGGGACATCATGTTTGGCAGTGGAGGGGTGGCGAAGGAGAGGAAGACCTTTTATGAGACGGCTCAATTCTGTGACTGGAGGGGTGCGAATAAGTACGTTTGAGATGGCTAGTCTGACACAGGATAGAACAACGTTTAGAGCTCTTGTACATAGGGGCACTATGAGTTGCAAGCGACTCGATGGTGCATAACAACAACAGTCTTAGTATTTTGAACTGATTATCTTAAACTAGCCTTAGGAAACTATGAAGTTTTTAGTTCAATAAAATAGCCTTCCCCATCCCCACCCCCTTTCTACTGAAAAACTTCTACAGGTCAAGATACAATTTGTTTATGTTTATGCTTTTCTTGGCACTTCCTGAATGAGTGACTGGATGTCTCCATTCTGTATTGTATCACATAATGTGCTCCCTTGACTTGACTTTGTATTTTGAGAAAATCAGCAGAGAAATCATGTATACTATCTACTCATTCTGTGAAATAGACTATCTTGCAAAAAAGCAAAACAAAACTCATGTAGTACAAGGTCTCAGATAGGATGTTGTCACTGAAACAGCTCCAAGATAGGACAGGACCATTAACACAGGGGCCCTCTGTTAGCCACGTATACTACGTCCCATCGCCCGCCCCAAGCTCCTGGAAGCCTCTGATCAGTCATTTTAAGAATGTTAGGTAATTGGAATCTTACTGATCATATATACTTTTGAGATTCACTTATTTTTTTACTCTGCAAAATTCCCTTGAGAGTCATCTAAGTTCATTGGTTTGTCCCTCCCTTGACTTTTAAAGGACACATCCAGTATGGCCAGTGACTACCCGATGGGTCTCTGATCTCATTTACCAGATTTAAACTTAGTAAGCGAGAGAAGGAAGCTGTCTGTTGTCCCAGGCAGAAGTTATATTCTGTAGTTCTTCACTGAGTCTAGTGTATTCTGTTCCAATCCTGAGGGGCCATGTGTAGAAGAGATACGTACGAAGGTCCAAAGGACTTGCATATGTGTAGCCCAGCATATGACTCCCTCCCAGTCTGACTAAAGGTATTTGCGCCCTGGGTCACTGTGTGGCAACAGACTTGTGGCCAGCAAGTGCCTTTGCAGTTAGGTTTGAGGAAATGAGTTAGATTTCCACAAGCATGTACTTTTATCCAAAAAAAGAGCTTTACTCAAACCAATATAAAATTTAAAAAAAGAGAGAGAGGGAGAGAATACGAGCATTACTGTAGAAGCGGTTGTTGCTCCAAACACAAGGTGGTAGTTATCTGGTCTGGTAATACAAAAGGTTTCAGATCCGGCGTGAATATATTTGATCCAATTATGAGGTATTTCTGTAACCTCCATACTTTGTGGTAAAGCGGGTGAGTTTAAAGGATGTCTTTTATATCCCTGTCTGTAATTATGGGAAGATAAAAAAGGCCAAAAGTAAAAATAAAACCAAGTATTGTTAGGCGTGGATGAGGAACAAATGACATGTAGCAGCATCTGCTGGAATTCTTGATTTGAAATTGGTCTGTTCCTAAGAGGTCTGTTCTATTCAGTGGTGGTGTTTATATAAAGCATGTTGTGACAATAATCATTTGCCCAGTTACGTGTGGTGGTGCACAGCCTAACGATGCATGCAGATACCAGGAGCCAAAAATACCTGACCTCACAGAGAATGAAGTGACTTGTCAGCAGATGGGAAAGTATGGTGTGTGCTTTGTGCTGCTAGTGCTTCGTTTGTCCCTCCTGGAGGAAAGTGTTAACACTGGCTTGAAGTGTTACAATTAATGCCTTACGTGAGTAGACACGTAATTCTTAAAGGCACACTGAAGACACATAGACTGTGAATAAAAATTGTCAAAAGGAAGTTAGATATTTACATAGCAGTTTGTGAATGGTTAGGAGAAATGCTTGGATGCTAACACAAAGATGAGTGTTCTCAACCCACCAGCAATTCTGTGGGAGGAGAGATGTGGTAGTCTCCTCCTGGAAAGAGTCCATCCAAGGAACTGTGGGGCAGCTTCACCCCATCCAGTAGGGTCACTGTCAGCTCGAGCCCGCTTGACGCACACACAGCGAGAGTAGGGCTTGCCCCACAGAACTTCTCCAGCACCGTCCGGGGTGACAGTGCAGTACTGTTGTGGTCCTGACTGGGCCGTGATATCATAGGGAGGGTGTACAAGGGCTTTAGAACAACAAAACCCAAAACTGGACTCAGCTTTGTGTGTCTTTGCCACTTCACTTTGTGCCTTGTGGGCCAAAACTAAGAAATTGTATGTATATAACATACAGGGAAAACAGATATATTGAGCATTATATATACATACATACATACATACATACATACATACATACATATATATATATATATGCACACACACACACACACATATAGATATGTTAGTATATATAAAAACAATACCTGCCATTTAATTGGCATTACATAATAATTGTCATCTTTTATTTATTCCCAGCATGATAACATAATGGGACCGCAATGATGTAAAAATTGCACAGCGCCTCAGGCATTTGTAACTAAGCATTTGGCCCACGTCTGAACTCAGGTGGCTCTTTTCATGTAACTCCCTGCATTAGGGAGCACGCTCACAGAAAACATTCCACAGACAGACAGCAGCGCAGAGACAGGCTTGTCGCCAAGCCTGGGTGTCGGCCTGCTGCAGACACTGCTGCCGTGGGCCTCTTCCCTTACAGTCATGGGTTTGATTCGTCAGACTGTTGACCAGACTGTGTTCCAGGTTCTGCACTCTTCTCCGCTCTAACGGTTGTAAGCGTTGGAGGATTAACAGTGAAAACACCAGCTTGCTCTTTGAGACTTGAAGGCAGGTGGGCAGAGCGTGTGCCGAGGTCCGAGTCCAGAGCCCTGTTGGGGGCCCGCACGTTGGCTTTCACTTTTGGTTTTTTCACATTTTAAACATATATCAGAAAACAGAATGAGTTCTATCTTAACTAACCATGAGCTAATACTTGAGAGTCCTTTTAGCAATTAGGTATTTTGTATTCAGTGTTCGAGGGAAGTATTTGAGGAATATTTTACTTGGAGAACAGTCACTCCAGCTGATATGTAACTAAAATGCCTTATGCATACTTCTAGAACCATTTTTTTTTCTTTTTCAGACTAGTATATTCTTGAATTAGACATTTTAGTTTAAAAAAAAATATGGGTTTTTTGTCTTGGGTTGGTTTTTTTTCCCTTTGGTCAAACGAAAATATACTGAGGTCAGTAAGGGAAACTTACATATTGCTACTGTTTTCATCTTCCATTTCCTGCTTTCTTTTTTTCTCCATAGACTAAAAAAAAAACAACCAAAAACCCAAACCCCTCCCTGCCTAACGTAATGAGCACATTCTGCTGGGTTTGTGCATGAGAACCAGTGTGTATGAGGAGAGGTCTCCTGGAGACCCCTCGCTGTGTTAACTCCTCATCTCTGTCCACATCTAACCCCCTGTATCTGAGCACCTGACCGCTTCCTTGCTTTGAGGCCACTGTATTTGTTTGAATGAGGTCCTTACTCTGCTGCCTTTCACTTGCTCTTTTTCTGCCGTTCTTCCTCTGCTACCCTGCCTAAAACCAGGCCCTAGAGAAACAGAAAGACCACTTTGCCCGCCTTAGCTCTGAGCGAGCTACCCTGAGAGAGGAACCGGCTGAGCCGAAGGGGACAGTGGAGACAGGAGAGGTATGTCAGCTCCAGGCATGACCCTCCGGGCCTCTCAGTACGCCCTCTCCTCCTTCCTGTCATCCTCTGACTTCACGTAGCCTGCATCGACACAGCACTGTTCATTCCCTTAATCCACGCTTGGTACATTTAAGTCATCTCTTCTGCAGAGTTGTGTTCCGTGTAACTGATTTCCGTCAGGTGGCACACTGTCTTGTTGCCCGGGCACCTGACAGCACACTGTGTCCACGCGGGCTGTTTTGTGTGACGCTGGTTTCTTCCTCCCGCAGAAACATGGCTTAGTTATAATCCCCGACGGCACTCCCAACGGTGACGTGAATCACGAAGCAGCGGCTGGAGCCATCACCGTAGTGTCTCAGGAGGCTGCCCAGGTCCTGGAATCGGCAGGAGAGGGGCCGCTGGGTAAGCTCTGCTGCTGGGTTGGCCGGGGTCACGTGGCCCTGTTGGGCTTCCGTGGAGTCAGTTTCTCCCTTGGCAAACAGAGCAACACAGGGGCTCTCTGAACCATATCTAGATCTTTAACAGGAAGAAATCAACCTTCATTTTCTTCATTCATTCTCCGTCTTGGGATGCCAGCTGCCTCAGGGTCGTATAAGGTGGTACACGTAACTAAAGGTCCCTGGGTGGAAGCCCTTGGGGGTATGTGTGTGGCCTTTTCACTTAAGTAGAAACCTCTGAATAGAGTCCAGCACCCTCCTTGGAAAGCAGTGGCCTGGTGGGAGCTTCCCAAGAACATTCCAAGCTTATTTTTCCCAGGGCATCTGGTACTTATCGTATAGTAGGTAGCTTTTTGCCATCACATCAGAGGGATGTGAATTCCAGAATAAGGCTTCTGAGCCTCTCAAGTTGGATCTTCGAAAGTTGAACCTTTTGAGACTCTTTAAAAAACATAGAGCTGTCCATCCATTGCCTCCACTGAGGGGGTGACTGCAGAGAACAAAAAATCACACAGGTGCTGTATCACCAGCCTGTTTTTATTTACTCAGTGATAACTTTTTTCTTTTCTCATCTTGTTTTAATATACAAGTTGGTTTCCTAGAGCAGTGATATATAACGTTAGAGACAGGCTGGAAAATGAACTGCAAAGTCATTAATGCAGAAACCAAAAGTGGGATCCACAGGGTGGAATGAGGCCGTTGGCAGTCCTGAGGGTTTCCTCCACAAGCTTGGAAGAGCTCAGGGAACCAGAACTTGTGTTTGACCCTGACCCTGGTGGCTTGGAGGCGGTGGCTGCACAGTGTGAGCCACTTCCTCTCCCTAGGCTCGGCTGTCTCCACAGCTGGAGCCGCGTCTTCACGGCACTGGGTTAGAGCAGCCCTCACCGCAGTGCAGGTGTGAGCCCTGGGGGTCCTGTCATCAAGCTTCAGATGAGGCCCTGGCTGTTGTCAGCTTGTTCGCCCCCTCGCCTCCCCGCTTGAGGGACTGAAATGCTGCTTTGAGCATTGTGTTCCTATATTTCCCCTCCTCGTCCCTTTTACACTTTCACCCTCATCTTCGTTCCCATATTTTCTTTTCTCGTGCCAAGGCCTTAAGCCTGTTGGGAACACCTTTGAACTTGAGTTCACTGTTTATTGGTGAAATTGTGCACATTTTACATCAAGGAAATGGTGGCCTCCTTTGTACTACAGTTTATCTTTTGAGTGGAAAATCACTGCTTTTGATTTGGGGTGCAGATGTTCTATTTGACGCCCTAATAAATACCAGTGATGATGTAATTTTTAGTAACATTTTGAGAAATTAAGTACTTTTCATAACATGCTTCAAGTTTTCGTTTCCTTTGATACTCATCACTGTAATCTAATTTGCTAAATAGTCTTTACTGTTAACCAAGTATTTGGAGAATTATTTATACGGCATCACTATAACTTTATCATCTTTTGTTTCTTTTAGATGTTAGGCTACGAAAACTGGCTGGAGAAAAGGAAGAGCTCCTATCCCAGGTAAACACACTCTCTTCCTTGGAAGGTCATAGTAGTAACTGGGGCAGCTCGAGGGTGAACTGTTAGCCGTTTACACTGTCCACTAGAAAGTGAGGTGCTCATTTCAAACACGAGTCATCAAATGAAATGAAATTTATCTGGCTCAGTAAACAGAAGACTAGTTCACCTTTTGCCTCTTTGTTGTTTCCTGTTGTTTTAGGAAGCTTATGGACAACTTAGTTGAAGGGACCAAATGGTGTGGACAGACTGTTCGGAGGACAACTGTCCCCCGGCCTGTCTCCTTCACTCTCCCCCACCGACCGCTTCTATTCAGCCTTTTCCGCTTATCCTTCTGGTGTGTGCTGCCTTTGTGTATTTCCACGGACACGCTCGGCTGCTGCTTCTTGCCTGTCCTGTTGGAGATATTCTCTCACGATGTCCCTCTGTACTAGGGGAGGGCTTCACCATCTCTGATGCTCTGACCATGTCCCTCTGTACTAGGGGAGGGCTTCACCATCTTTGATGCCCTGACCCTGGGGCCCACGTGCTGGTCCTGCCCTCACGTCCCCGGGGCTCCGTCAGCACTGCTCAGAGTGGAGACACACAGCCTTCCAGAGAGGCTTTGCATTTCCTTCATGAGTCAGTGTTTCTCTTGAAGCTAATATTGTGACCTCTGCTCTCATTTGCTTGGTTCTCCACGTTCTTCTCCTCACTCATTTAGCGGCAGCCTCCCCTCTGGTTAGTTCAAGTCCTCTCCTGGGGTTTGCAGGTGCTGGGCGCCCCTTCCCGCTCTGTGTCTGTAAGTCGCCGAGGGTTCACAATCTGCACCAGTCGTTCGCTTCCTCCGTGGAGACACGGTTCTGTTTACCATCGTGGGGCCTCGTCCTGCAGTGGGGGTTGCCTCTCTTCCCAGAGTCTCATGCCTTCTTCCTTGGCATAGTTTGTCATTTTGATCCATCCTCAGTTACTTTCTGAGATAAGAGGTATAAATTAATAATTTTTTTACCCCTACCTGATTAATCTTTTGGGTACATAAGGAATTCTGGTTGGCAGTCATTTACCTTCATATTTTTAAGAAAATGCTTCATTGTCCAACCTGTTTTGAATTCTGACAGCCAAATTTTTATTTCTGAACGCTTTTAATTGTTTTGTTGCTAATTTTTCTCCCTTGCTATTTTTCTAGCTTAATCTCTTTCTGGACTTTAAGCCATTCAGTATTTGACGTATACCTTTCTCGGTGCTTGTCAGGGAGCTCTGGTGGCCTAACGGGGAAGGAGCAGCCCTGCCAGCCCAAAGGCAGGTGGTTCAAATCCACAGCTATTCTCTGGGAGAAAGATGAGCAATCGCCCCCGCCCCCCCCGACTTACATCCTCTGAGAACCTCCTGGAGGGTCAGTTATGAGCTGCTCCCAACTTGATGGCAATGACTTTGCGTTTTGAGGGTTTTTTTAAGGCACTTGGGACTGAGCAATAAATAAATAAATAAATGAGGGGTGGGCAGGAGATTGCTGACCTCTCAGACCTTCCATAGTGAGAGGAGACCGTATAAAAAGCAGTGAATGTTGTTACCACCAAGCTACATAGTGTAGTAGGTTTGTGTGAGTGCCTTGGCTGTATGTTTCTCCAGCCACATGCTGCTGCATTGGTGCAAACAGGGAACAGAAAGGTTTTATCAGACAAGGGTGGAAAGAGTGTGTGAGAGAGAGGACTGTACGTTGACTTTTCACCTTAAATGGTAGAAAGAATTCATAGGACATCCAGGAAGCAACAGTGCACAGTGCAAAAGAGGCGGTGGGATCAATGGAATGGAGGGGCCATCTACACTGAAGGATTGTTGCCATTGGGGTCCAAAGTGAACAAGCGGAAGAGATCAGGGATTGTGGGTGGGACCTATGAGACCAGAATTACAGAGGAGTTGCCATTACCCAGTGAGAGCTAGTGTGAGTGCGGAGCAAAGGCTGGGGCCAAGAATAGCGAGAGCCTCAGATGGGAGGAGGACCAGAAGGAGGTCAGCCGCAGAAAAGGTCCCCAATTTAGACGTGCATTGAAATTGCCAAGATCTAAGAGTGTGGTGAGAACTGAGGAGAAGGGTGGCAGTCAAGAGAGCTCAAGGTTCTGACTCGGAGCTGGGGTTTTGCAGGAGGCTGGTGAACAGCTTCACACCAGCAGTGGGAACTACGAGGACACCTGTCTTTTTTGTGGGGGTTCTGTTAGGACTGGGAAGAGGGGGACCCCCAGCCTCTCTTTGTGAGGGCTGCAGGGAAGCGTGTTTTCAAGGGAGATCCATGGTGATCGAAGACAGTAAAGGGACTCTCCGAGCAGAGACTGGGAATGGAGGGCTTTGATGCTGAGACTGCTGGCTCCAGTGGGAGTTTCGGGCATGTGTCCCGGGGGAGAGCTGGACCCAGAACGGGAATGGTCTGTGCACGTGGACTCCCTTTACGCCGGTGAATAAGGCAGATTAACTAGCCAGACTTTCCAGTTATTTTTGTACCCAAAATCATGTCTAAATAAAAATTTGAAACCTATCTCTGAAACGAAATGTAATATGTAAAAAACTCTGTTGCGTCTAAATAAAAATTTGAAACCTATCTCTGAAACGAAATGTAATATGTAAAAAACTCTGTTGCCCATGGATTTCTCCATTTTTAATACAAATAATACAAATAAAACTCACAACACCCCAACCAACCATAACCCACCAAAAAAAGCTATTCCCAAACCTATACAAAATACGACTCTTGAGCATGGTGCCTGTTTTAACCGGCATTTCCTCCTCGGAGCAGCTCGTGGGTTCACCTGCTCTTCTTTGCCCAGGATGTCACTCACTATGTCACCAAGGCTCTTTGCTCCACAGTAGACACAGAACAGACTTTGAAGGAATGAATAATTTGTGTGGCTGATCTAATAAGGGCCTGCCTTTTCCAACCCCTTGGCCGTAGAGCCACGCACCCCCTTATTTCAGGTCCCAGATCTGCTCATGAGCCTTTACTTCCCTTTCAGATTAGAAAACTGAAGCTGCAGTTGGAGGAGGAACGGCAGAAGAGTTCCAGGACTGACGGCAGCGGGGGTGACCTGACGGGGCTGCAGAACGGCTCAGACCTGCAGTTCATCGAAATGCAGAGTAGGTCCTGGGTGCAGGCCGGGCAGGCTGCGTGCAGGCTGGAGCCCCAGTAGCACAGGCAGGCAGAGACAGGCAGAGGCTTTATATACCCTAGGGGCTGGGGCACAGGCCATTGTTTTTGCCTCTGCTGGGTCAAGCAGGTCCTGGGAACCCTTCATTAACAGTGAAATGCCTCTAACACCTCCACACTCCTCCACACCCACACGTCAACGTGTGTAGAAACTCCTGTCCACATGACGCAGCTCCTTCTCACAGAGACGAGCTTGGGGGCTGTTGGAGTTTTTTTAATTAGGTAATGCTTTTCTGATAATTGGGATTGAAATCTTTGTGCATTCCCCACTAAATAAATATTCAGATTTATGTTACATAGAAGAGCCTTCTTGGTTTAAGGCTTAAGAGTTAGTGTTCCTCTGTTCTGTTAGGGGTCAGTCAGCATTCCCTGACATTATTTTTGGTTCTCAGACCGCTGTTTTGATATATTGAGGTAGGTGAAGGAAGGGGCTTGACCAGAGGCCTGATGGTGATCTTGACAGCAGAGAGGACGTGAATCTGTCCAGTGGTCACTGACAATCTTAGGGAGAGACGAGTGGTCGATTTGAGATTGGTCCAAAGCAGTGAGTTCAACAGGGTTGGTACTCAGGGAGGGTGGCTGGCAGTTACTGGAACCGCTCGCTTGGGCAGCTGCCATTCCAGGCCTCATGCTGGCAGAAGGCAGGGTGAATGGAGTACCAGGCTAGAACAGAAGGACCATGGGCAGCACCGTGGAGGACTGAGCCTGCCCGGGAAAGACAAAACCCGAGCCAGGAGAGGGCTGCGAACAGCATTTCCAAAGGGACTTCAGAACACCCACGAGGTAGTTGAGACTGCAGTTCCTACTGAAAACAGGAAGGAATGAGTGATTTGGAGAGTGAGGAGGAAACAGCTCATTTGGTAATCAACATGTGACTGGAAATAAAAATTTATAAAGATCTTGAAGCTTCTGCTTAAAGCCAAGGAAGGTGATGGTTAACTGTCCCCTTGATTGAAGACTGCATGTACTGTTCGAGCTTTTCTGTTTCCAGGGTTAAAGTTACTTGTTAGGTTATTTGACTTTTCCCTCTGGTTAGTTGGCTCCTTTGAGTCTCTGGTTTCTTCTGTCATTTCTGAATTTGGGTTTAGGTGAAGGAATTTTTGTTTTCCTTGTCATTTTCTACTTCAGCAGTTTAAGTCATTTTCCTTGTAGGTGAGATGTATATTTCTGTGTGTACATCTACCCATAAGACATTACTGTTGTATGTTATAGAAAATCAGTTCATGCTACTTTAGTTCAGGAAATAACGAAGGCTGCACTCTGTGTAAAGCACTCGAGCAGGCATGGATTCCAGGATGTTCAGGCCAGGGCCACTCTTCTTGTGTGTATATAATGACATTAGGGAAGTGAGATAATGCCAGCCAGAGATTACAAATAAAAAGCACTAAGCCTAGTGGCAAGAAGCTGTGCTGCAGTCCTGAAGGCACATGGTTCAAGGCCACCAGCTGCTCTGCGGGAAATGGATGGGCAGTCTCCTGTGTGATTAACTTCCTCTGAAAACCCGCCAGAGGGTCAGCTGTGGCTTGATTCTGACACAACAGCAGCAGGGAAAGAGCAGTTTACGCCTACAAAGGAGGGAGGGAGGGAGGAGGTGAAAAGTGGGCATTACCTTGAGAGCGAAGATGTAATCGCGGAGAGGAGCGGAGGGCATGCAGAGTGTGGACCGGGCAGCAGCAGACCGTGGGGCAGTGGTGGTTCAGGGCTGGGTTCAGAGAGACCAGAGGACCCAGCATGGAGTTGGCGCTCTCTGGGCCTGAGGTCTCCGTGGGCCTGGGGTCTCCATGAGCCTGGGGGTCCTGGGGACTCCGGGGGTCTGGTGTCGGGCAGTGCTGCAGCACAGGAGGGTTTCTTCTTCCCCATTCCCTCCTTCCCTCATAAGGAGTGAGGAGTGAACTTTTTTCTGACTCTTGATCCAGGAGGACAGTGTTGCAGCCCAGGTGCTAGAGCGTCCTGTAATGTCACCCAGTCAGTGTCACCTGTGCAGCAGCAGGTGCTGTGGGAGGTGCCTTTGGGATTTGGCAGCCAGGACGCCGAGGCCTCTTCCCAGCCGGGGTGTCTGAGGACTCAGCTCCACTCTGAGAGGTAACGCCTTTGTCCTTTTCTCTTCCAGGAGATGCCAATAGACAAATTAGTGAATACAAATTTAAGCTTTCCAAAGCCGAACAGGATATAACCACTTTGGAGCAAAGTGTAAGTACTTTTGTATGGTACCAAGTAATTGTACATTTTCTTTGGAAGACGCCTGCTTCCGGCAGGTAAGTGGCTGGTCCCATGAGCCCCTAGGTTTCTGTGGGCTGTCTGTGCAGTTAGATCTCTGCAAAAGCCAGCAGAGAACACCTCCAACCTCACTCCAGCCTTTTGTTTTCTGTAAAGTGTAGGTAACCATAACTAGGATTCTATCTGTTGTTGATGTCAAGAAGATGGTAGTTTGTAACAAAATCCCTTATTGCCCATTTCAAAAAAGTTTAAAAATGTTTCCATTCAGTGAGTCTCCTACAATTTAAACAAGATGGTTATCATAAAACCTAAGATGGGAAATTGGCCCAGTAAAGGCTCTGCCGCCGTGACTCTCTCTGGGGACGTGCCTTTATTTATAAATGGCAGCTGAGTTCTGAGAGGGCTCCGACTCCCCTAAGGAATTATTAATGTTGGCTTCTGGGGATGTGAATGACTCGGGCCACCATCTTGACTGTAGGAGACCGTTAGTTGTTTCTTACTGCCCAGCACCAAGGCCATGTTCTCGCGCTCACAGGTCAGCCGGCTCGAGGGCCAGGTGCTGAGATACAGGACCGCTGCCGAGAATGCGGAGAAGGTGGAGGACGAACTGAAGGCAGAAAAGAGGAAGCTGCAACGAGAGGTACTCGGGCTGATGGGCCGTTGGGAGCACATTCCTAAAAAGAAAAACTCCTGTGGAAGGAATTCTTCTGGTGCATGCAGACTTGGATACAGGTCTCAGCAGTAAGCGCTGTCACTTTGTCCTCTGCATGTTGCATGTGGACCTGCATGGTGACAGCATTTACCTTTGTCTTGGTCAGTGACATAACCAGAAAAAGGTTACCTACTTTGTTACCCATCAGTTCAGTGTCTCTGACTCGTGGATTTCCTTCCTGTGATTTAAGCAAACCCACAGACGATCTTCGGCGTTACTGTCTATTATCGCTGTAACTGACGGAGGCCAGGCAGGCCGTCACAGCTAGTGGGGCTTCATTCCCAGATTCGGGGAGGTGCAGGGGTGCTTTGATTCAGATCACGTGACGTGACTGACCCCTTCCTCCTCCAGTTACGAACAGCGCTGGACAAGATCGAGGAGATGGAGATGACCAACAGCCACCTGGCCAAGCGGCTGGAGAAGATGAAGGCCACCAGGACGGCGCTGCTGGCCCAGCAGTGAGGCCGCCGTGAGGCCCGAGGGCCGCTCCTGGAGCCCTGCCTGGAGGGACCGACTTCGTCCGCTGACCCAGCTCTGTACTGTCTTAGTGCTGGCGTCAGGACAGCCACCTCTGTCTTTTATAATTTATGAGAGAATGAAAACAGGTTTGAATCTTCACAAATGAACACTTTGGATCTTTTTGTTTATAGTTTGATTCTAGACTAGAGCCTGGTCCATGCCGTTTTCATTCTTTATTCCTGTAATTGTAGAATCAGGTTTTCTCAGCATTTTTTCCTAGCCACCTCAGCGACGGGGCACCCCAAGGCCTCGGCGTGGCTCCCGGGACCCCAGCCCCGAGCGGACCTTGAGAGGCTCCCCGGAGACGCCTGAAACCCAAGTGCCTTCTCCATGCTGCAGTTCCGAGTCCGTGGTCTCCAGTGGTCAAGATGCCTGCCTGTCAGATAGCCTCTCTACTAGTGAGCAGACTGTTCACGGGTGTGGAATATGTGTTTCACTCAAATTTCTATGTTTGGAGAAAAAAGCCTTTTTTTCCTTTTTTTGTAAAATATTTAAATTTATATAAGATGATGTTAGAAAAGATATGGGAAGTGTATATAGAACTGGCTTTTATTGGATGGAGTAGGGAGACGTCCAAGGCCTGATACTCTTAAAGTAAGAGTAGGGTCCATCAATATTAACTGTGCTGTACTTCATCAAGTATCCCATCTGCTGCTTCTGTGTGAAAATAATGAAACCTCGAATGAGCCTAGTGAGGGAGGGGTGAGGAGGCGGGTGCGAAATCTGCCTGAAGAGTCTATTAAACACCCATTTGCTGACCGCCGTTAGCTGCTGACACAGTCCTTTTGTTACAGACGCATTTAAGTCAGTCAGCGGAACCCTTCCTTCCCTGCCGCCTGTGCTGCTCTCAGGTACACAGAACTTCCTGTTTGGAAGCCCTGTGGGCCAGTCCTGTGCAGCTGCAGAACCGACCTCCCAGCACAGCACAATCCTATTACATAGAAACATCTTCATTTTCCATTTAAAAATAAAAAAACCATTTTATTATCGTGCTTTAAATGAAACTGCACAGAAAGGGAGTTTTCCTTTCCAGAATTCACACACAGCCTACACCGGCCATTTCCACAGTGTCGGCCCTCGCCCCGTTTCACCCTGTGCGCTCAGCGTCCACTCACCCTCTTCCCTGTCCCTCTGCCTTCTCATCTTCGCTTCTGGAAAATGCCTATCGTGTCATCCAGTTGCCTGGTGGAAGGAGCACCTTCCCCACAGGTGTGTACACACACACACTCTCTCTTTCACATGAACACACCACGTATGTAGGACTCTTTGTTTCATGTGGTTTTAGTTGTCTTTGTGTTTGTCTATTACAACCCAAAGTTGATTTGGTTTCTTTCAAAGGAATTTTATTTTTCAGTGACCACTGTAAATATATTGTTTTGCCAACTGTCTTGCAGAATTCTCTTTGGGTAGAAGGAACTGTCTCCTTGAAGAAAGGTACCATCCACATGCAATAGCCCTCCACTGACTCTAGCCATTTTGCAGGCTTTCTGATTTTTTTTGCTCAGAATTAAGTTCGATCTAGGAAGTGATTATCTTTCCTTTAAAATCTTGACACAGAAAAACTACTGGTAAAAATCTAACAAATCAAAGACTTGTAAGGTAACCAAACTAATTTTGAAACTAGATGGTAAAGTTAATGGAAATATCTAAAAACTATTTCCCCCTTTTAAATAATTTATTAGTCTATTTAAAAAAAATATGTAAACCAGTCTTTTGAACTTGAGCTGATTTCCTGTAAGGTTTTTTTTCTGGAAGTAGCAACATTTGGGTGAGTGTAATGAAGCTATTCTGAAATGCACCTTCTGCTAGCAGCCCCATCTGTGTCCAGCACATTGTGTGGCCCAGCTGTGAGGTGTGGAGAGCCCTCCTCCCCTCCTCACCTGTGCCCACTCAGCTGACACTCCCCCAGACCAGGGGCTCACTCTCCTGAGATCTCCAGTTCTGCATTTTTTGGTCAGTTTGGTTAGAACCTGTCTTACTTGCTTATGTGACACAGAAAGTGTCTACTTAGGGAACATTCATTTCCAGGTTAAATGGCCAGACTTCTTCCCAGAATCTCCCAATACCACAGGCATCATTGCTCCCTTCGGCCGAATGCCATAATCCTGCTCCTGCCAGCAACTTTAAACCAGAACATCTAGAAATGTCTTTTCTTCCCCAGCTGTAGAATTGACAGACATTAACAAAGTGGGCCAGCTTAAAAATGTATGGCCAGTTTCAGACTGGGTCAATACTATTTTCTTTGCTTATAAAGACACTAACAGATTGTAAACCCAGACTTTCTCCATAGTTGGTATACCTGAACTTGTCGTTTTTAAGTGCCATCGCGTCATAGGTGACTCATAGCGACCCGACGAATGAAGGTCCTCGACACTTGCGTGCCTGACTTTCATCCTCTCCAGGTTCATAGGGTTTCTGGAGGCCAGCTATTACGGAAGTGGATGCCACTCCAGCTTCCAAGCTTGTTTTAACCAGGGAGCTCCACCAAACACTGTCCACCGTGGGTAACCATTGATGCATTTGACACATCAGTGTCACAGTGTTCAGCTTCACAGCAACCACAAGTTACCACTGTACAGCAAGTGGACACACCAGGGCTATACAACCTAGAAGACTGTTAGACCAAAACCAATGAAAAACAGGCCCAAGAACCTACATAATAAATTACTTACCACCTGTATTTTTAAATCATCCCTCGGGGGTGGGGAGGAATCCGCTCACAGCATGGTCCACAACATCTTCAAGGCCTTTTAGAGAACCTCTTCTGATGCCCAAGGGGCTTTCAAACTATTTGTGGGATTTTTCAGTACAATTAAGTAGACATTAAGTTGGGGTACTTTTGAGAATTTATTCACCATCCAACATGGATGAGAGGAATGGAACGAGTAAGGCGGCAAATACCAGGCCCCGATATAGAGGCAGGACAGATGTGGCCTCCGTCAGTGACCGCATTTAACACCTCTCAAAGACTCTGTAGAGATCAGGCAGGTTAGCAAGCTGCAGGATGTTGCCATCTTCTGTAAAGCGCTTAGGGGGTAGGAGGTGTGAGCGGAAGGCTTTGTAGATGACGTGCTCCACGGTCCATTTCCAGGGCTTCGGAGCAGGGCCAGGCATGTCGCTCTGGAAAAAGTTAAGATCTCATCAGCCTCAGACCTCAACCCTCCAGATTCCCTGTCACATCCCAGTGGACACTGGCTGCCTGGCTGGCGTGTGGGGGAAAGTCCCTGGTACCATTACTGGAGTAGCTGGGATGTGACATTGGCATGACCTTACTTTACTGGTGGGACCCTGCCAGGTGTCAGGGAAGACAAAACCAAAGAGGCTGGGGACAGTGAGGCAGAGTCGGAGGACGGAGGCTCCTCATTTACAGGCTCACAGTGGGAGACATCGCCCTTCCAGGCCTGTCCAACTCCCAGTTTGAGGTCATTCTGGAAGGACCTTCTCATCAACAGAAGATACTGAAACTACTAAATACAAGTGGAGCACGACAGAAAAGCATGTAGGTGGCGTGTAATCCCAGAGTTCTGCAGAAGGACAAGTTTCAAGTCTGTGCTGTGGGCGGGCCTGCCGGTGCCGGGGTGCCAGGGAGCGTTACGTACCTGCAGGCCGGACAGGGTGGATTCCTCGCTCATGTACTGCTTCCGGATGGAGTAAAACAGGGCACATTCTTTACTGAGGCTTTCGAAACATTCCTTTTCCTCATCCCAGTTCACCTGTTCCAAAGAGAGAAGGCAGTACTCAACCCTATTGGTCTTTAAAGAGATAGTTTTTAATTGTGATTTTAACGAGTTTACAGAAGAAGTAAATTTTCATTCTTTCATTGTTGCACATTTTTCCTCCCTCGTTCTTCCCCACTTTTATTTTTTAATAATATTTTTGTTTCTAAGTAGAGGTCTACTAAAGGAAAACCAAAAAACCTTCAAAAACTCCAACCATGACCTCTAGCCTGAAAAGCTGTAAATTGTGACTTCTGAATATTGCTGAGGGGCTGGGCGTCCTCAGCTCTGTGACCCTCTGGTCTTGATCACACCAGTCAAGGCTGGGCTGTCTGCCGCGTCCCTCCCATGCACGCCTGTCCTGTGTGCCGAGGACAGGCCAGGTCACTTACCTCAGTGGCGAGGCGAAGGATGAAGATGGGCAAACCCTCCAGAGGCGGCACGTAGTTGTCAATCAGGAGGGGTAATCCTACCAGGTTCCCTTCCTGCTCAGGGGGGACAACAGAGAGCTGAAATGCCGTGGTTTCCCCAGCGATCCTCTACACCTTGTTCCCACGCCTGTTCCCCGGGCCTGGCTGCTGCACTCGGCTGGGCACTGAGGGCGAGAGCTAAGCTCCACAGGAACTGCTGTCCTGATGTGGAGCAGAAAAGCTGCTGCATCTGCTCATTTTCCAAAGCGCATTATCAGGATGGAAGATCAACGGGCTCCGAGGAAACAGGAGACCAAGCGCCTTGGAATAACTCATGACTGGTCTTCCGAGCCTGGGGGGCTTCAGCTCTCCCCCGACAAGGCCCTTCACCCTGGGGACAGGAATGGGCGTGAGGGAATGCCCGAAGAGGTGTGTAACCCTGAAATGCAGATGGGGCTGGGCGGTGCCCCTGCGGACCCAGCCGCATCCTGATCTTACTGCAGCTGAGAACTCGGCGCTTCTCTGCAGACTGAGGAAGCCCGGCTCTCACCGTGTCAATTTCCAGGGAGAAATAGTCGGCGAGCATCTCGGCCTTCTTCTTGAGGAACTCCACGATGTACTCGGCAAGCCCTTCCTTGGGGCCGTCGTCCTCGGTCCAGCCGCTCTCCGGGCTGTCTAACGCGAGCATGGCGAGCTCAAAGAGGGGCGCTGGTTCCTGGGGAGGGCAGAACGGGAGGCTCACGTGTGTACGGGCCCCAGGACAAAGCCTCGGTTCACCACGTGCCACTGACAGACCAGCAGGAGTGCAGCCTCCCACGGAGCCCTCTCTGCCGGCTCTGCCCAGCAGATCCCCCGGCCATCGGCGCCCGCCTGCCCCTCAGTGGCACCAAGGATGGGATGGGTAGAAGCCTGGCAAGGTGGCACTTTCCTTTCGTGTAACCTTACAGACGTGTTTCTAAAATTCACCTGACCGATTATTCATGTCTATTATTTCACTTATCACCAAATGACGAGGGTGGAGTTAGTTAAATGAACCAAGTGGCAATTCACGTGAGATGAGGAGGAACACTTCTTGGGTGAAAACTGTGAATAAATGTTAGATGGCGCCCAGTCTGCGAACTAACAGCACCCATGTGACAGGGCAGGGCAGCCCCGTGGGCGTCTGTCTGGATAATCTTCCAGGACAGACCTCCATGTCTGTCTCCTGCAGAGTTGCTCGTGGGTCTGAACGGCCAGATTTTTCTGTTGCTTGCCAGGTGCTTCGGCACTGCACCACCAGGGCTCCTTGATCAAATAATGTGCCTAAACTAGCTTCATTTCTCCTCCCCTGAGAGTGGTGATGGTACATATTTTACATGTGTCATAAACTCAGAATATATACTTTTTTATGATACAGGAATCAACAAAAGGCTATAAAAATAGCAAACATTTGTACATCCAATAAAGAGCTTTAAACAGATCAAGGAAAAACTAACAGAACGGCAAAGAAAAATAGACAAAATGTATAATTAAAAGCAAAGCTGTCTGTAGCCAATTACTAATTTAACAAGGACAGAAAATCTGAATGTCCCCATCAACTTGAAGTTCCCAGGTGACAAATGTCTGAATTGTGTATAATCTGGAGTTGTAAACCATTCCCTATAAAGCCAATTATATAAAAATCCAAGGTACATATAATAGTTTGTAATAACACAGAGTGCTGTTTTATGAGTGTCAAAAACATCATTACTGCATTATGTTACAGATGTTCTAATACTTTAGTGTACACTGTATACTATGCATTAAGGGAAGCATTTGACTGGCAGACAAACTGTATCTTATCTGCTGACTGTCTGGACCCACAGCTGACCTTCCGCTAGGTTTTCGGCAGCAGCTGCTCACAAGGGAGGAGACTGCCCATCTTCCTTCCATGGAGCAGCTGGTGGGCGTTCAAAGGGCCATAAAGGCAGAGCACAACTCACCTGTATTCCAGGGAGTGCAAGAACTTAACATTTACAGAACATTCTTGTCAGTGACAATGAAGACAGATTCTTTTCAAGTGCACATAGGACCCAGATAAAACTGTATTGAGGGGCTCAGAATGTGTTCTCTGGTCACAATTAAATTAGTAATTAATAACATCTCTGGAATATATCCAAACAGAACTGAAAACATCTAAGTAACCTATGGGCCAAAGAAAGAAATCAAAAGGGAAACTAAAGTATCTTGAACTGAATGAAAAGGAAACCATAATACAGCAAAGTGGTGAATGTGGCCCTTTCAGCCACCAACAGTCTTTTGACTTCCAAAAAAATGACTGGCTGAGATAACACATGTGACCCCCCCCACCAAGGGGACAGAACAGCATTGCTAATAATGCAAATAAGGTGAGTGGGACCATGCAATTAAGGTGTATGAAGTCCAAACAGAAAAGGTCAGGCTTGTCACCTTCCTAGGCTTAAAAACAGCAGAGGGGCCATTAACACCATCAAGAAAGATGAGCCAGGAGTGGAGCACGTCTTTGGACCAGGTCCGTGTGCTGAGAACCTCCTAGAGCCAGGAGGTGGTGAGGAACAGTAACAACAGAATGCACGAGCTGGTGAGAAGTGAGAGGAGGCCGTGAGTCCAGCAGAGAAGCAGCAACGACAGAACCAGGGACCAGCATGGGATGGCACAGTGGCCCTCTAGCCCATGGAGAAAGGCAGCTACAGTGGGCATGCCCATCACTCCAAGAGAACAAGAGTGTTAAATACCTTCAGGCAGGAAGCGTGGTGAATTCTCTGAGCACTTGGTGGGATCAGGCCTGCTGACCCACAGAATGAGAGTATCATCGGGCTGAGGCTTCCTACTGGCACCTCTGGGCACCTGGTCATGAAGTGCTGCCAGTGCAAAGATACATGGTTCAAATCCCCGCTGTTCCACAGGGGGGAATAAACCTCCTGTGGGATTTACTCCACTGAAAACCTACTGGGGGGTCAGCTAAGCGCTGTCAGCACTCGCTTGAGCAGGGAGGGGCTGAGGGAGAGGCCTACGTGGACATGCTGAGAAGCTGACCAAAGACCGCATCCTGAGTTGTTCCTGATCCTCAACGATAACCTCTTGCCTCTTGCTTCCCTAGTAAAGTCCACAACTATTGTCTGTGAGTTCTGTGCGGCCACTGTAGTAAATTATCAAACCCAGCAGATGAGCAAACAAACAAACAAAAAAAAAGAACAACCCAGCAGAAAGAGAAACCACTGGTAAGTTAGAGTCCACATGTTTGGCCTCCACCTCATAGGAATAAGCCTTCAGCTGACACTAATGGTGATTCCTCTCCCGTGGAGTTAAGTCAGCTGCCCCATGTGGTACCATGTCTATAATCAGGGTTTAGGGGATGTTGCTTAAAGCAGTGCTTGTGTTAATCTATAGCACTAACACACGTAGAAAAAAGGGAATCATTTACACTCATGTCCTCAGCTTCTACCTTAAACTCAACGGAAAAGAGTGACATTAAAACCAGAATAAACAGAAAACAATCAGAGTAGATATTAATGAAATAAAGAAGAAACAAAAGTTCTCTGAGATGATAACTCTCTGGCTAGAATAAAAAAGATGCAGATTACCAATATTAAAAGTGAGAACAGTTCAATCACCATAGATCTACAGGTACGAAGAGGATACTAAAAAAAAAAAAGTACTAGGACAACTTTATGCCAATAAACTTTAAAACTTGGGGGAAAAGGACAAATTTCTTGAAAGTCGCTGCTGAGTGAGCTCTGGTGGCTTAGCGGTAAGGGACTGCGGCCGTGGGAGGAGGACGGGCAGTCTCCTCCATGCAGTTCACTGCCCTGAAAACCCAGTGGAGGGGCGGCTGTGGGCTGTTCCAACTCGATGGTACACCCACCACCGCCAACACCACCTCCAGAGTTCACTCCTGACAGGGACAGCCTGAAGCTGTTAGAAAAGATCGTTGAAGAAAGCTCTCCAGGCTCAAATAAGTGGCATCAGTGGTGAACAAAAATTCTAAAAATAATAGCACTCTACCCAAACTTTTCCAGAAAATTAAAAAAATAAGTAACATCTGGAATGGAGTTGATGAGAATGTTCAAACATTATAAAAAGTGTAACCAATGTCTCTGAAAAACGTGTACTAACTCTTAAATGGCAACCTTCACTGTGTAAACTTCAGTTAAAATAAAACTGCTGTTGAAATCTGACAAACAACAAACGGAAAAAAGAAAAATGATCATTTGAAAATTCTTTCCAGCTAAGGGAAAGCACAGGACAAAACAAGTGCTCCTCATAAAATCTCAGAAAACAGGTCAAAAAGGGAGGCTCTCAATCTGATAAGAACATCTGTGAAAACCCACAGCTTGCATCATCCTTGATGGAAAAACAACTCGATGCTTTGCTCCCCTCGCCCCCCACCCCAAAGATCAAGAACAGGTCTTCTCACCCCACTCACTGGTGACGGGTGGTTCCTCTCAGTGCAGACAAACGAGAGAAGGAAAAGTCATCCACACGGAGCACAGATGAGATGATCGTCCAGGCAGAACACCTGATGGCTTCTACAAAACTGAGCTCTCCAACTAGCCAGTTTAGCAAGGCTGCAGGATGCAAGGTCACTGCTGACCCAGAGGCCATGCTTCCCTGGCAGCTGAAGCCCACCAGCAGCTCCACAGGAGGACGGGCCGTCTCCCCTGTGCAGTGTGTACAGCCTTGGAAACCCCAGACGGTCACTGGGAGTCAGAACTGACCTGACAGCAGTGAGTGCACACGTGTGCAGTGAGCACTAGGAAATTCCAAAGGAAAATCCCCAAACGAAACCAAGTTTAATGTACAAGTATCAAGACAGCTGCTGTTCTCCACACGGAACTGCAAAGGAACACCAACAAAGAGATTCTCCCCAAATACAGACTTGACACAATCCCCAAAACTCAGCAGGCTTTTTTGTGGAATATATCAGATGAAAACAGATAAAAAACTATTGAAGTAGGTGGTATGATTTAACTAAAAATGAGGCATAAAAAAAGATACTTAAGTCTTTTTATTTCTTTCTTTGATTTAAGAGAGTATTTCTGTTCTCATCCCTTTCCAACTATCCTTAAGTAGACATGAATTAATGCCATAAAAATAACATTTCTTAAAGTAGGCTAACAAATGACTATTCTGCTAAAAAGCACAGAACTGTACAACTTGAAGATAAGTCCCTATGCAAATCACAGACTACAGAGCGTGTAGTCTAAATGTATTTTAACAAGTTTAACATGCCACAAGTATCACGAGAGAGCTATTTTCAGAAATGCTTATAGCAACTGGTAAAGATTCAGAAGTGGGCAACAGAAAAAGAAACTTACCGATAATCTCAGAACACCAAAATTGGCAAAATCATAAATGAGTATCTGGTAGAACAATTCTTCACTGAAAATAAAAATGAAGGGGCTTTTAGGAAATGCTGAATTCATGCTTGAGAACCAGGCAGTTGGAGACAAACGGGAGAAGGAGGTGAGGCTGGGAGGGTGGGGTCTGGGACCTGGTCGGCACCCTCACGTCTTCCCTTCAAAGTGTGGGATCCCCAGAGTCTGCCTAGCCACGTCTCTAAATGCACGTGGAGGGAGAAGCTAGGTTCTGGCTTCTTTCCCGTTTCTACCTCTCTCATGCTGTGATTGGTTCCTGGCATAATGGTAGTAAAATTTAAGGTGTTCTGAGCTTGGTTATTGTCCCGTCTAACATAGAGCTCTGGTGGCCTAGTGGACAGAAAGTGATGCTACCAAGCCAAAGGTGGGTGATTTTAATCTGCAGCCCTCAGGCCTGGTTTTAATGTTTTGGGTCAAACATTCTTCTAAGTGGCATAGCACTGGTCTGTCCACTTGCTGGACAGAGGTACAGCTCGTGGTTGTTACAGAGGTAACTCATGGTTGCTGTGAAGCTGAATACTGTGACACTGATGTGCCAAATGCAAGAACGGTTACCCATGGTGGACAGTGTTTGGTGGAGCTCCCCAATTAAAACAAGCTTGGAAGCGGAGTGGCATCCACTTCCGAAAAAGCTTGCCTCTGGAAACTGTGAACTTGGGAGAAACGATGAAAGTTATATAAGTGTTCAGGTCTTTGGTTCATAGGGTCACTATGAGTTTTCTATGAGTCGATGACACTTAACAACAACAACAACATTGTCCCATCTATTTAAAAGACTCTTATAAAACACCCAATAACTCCCCACTAAGATGTGACTGTGAGAGTGGACAGGAGACTTTCTAAATAATCACATGAAGACACAAGGCAGGTGATATTCCCAACACAGCTGTGAAGAATTTAGACTGACCAACAGAAAACGGGATTCAAGATACTTTTTTCATTCTTAATGTCATTTGAACTATGTAAGTCTTGCTTAAGACTTCAGTGCCGTCTCTCGACTTCAAGCGCCATGTTGTCGACCTCCATGCCATGTGGGCCAAGCGGAGGAAGAAGCGAACACACAGGCTGAAGCGTACGAGAAGGAGGCAGGCGTCCAAGTACTGTGCCCTCATTAACATGTAGAAAAATGCCACGCCTAAACGGGGTTCCACAGACACAGGGGTTACTCTTCGAGCACACGGAGGGACACAATTCAGTCCACGGCATCTTCCCACCTCTGGCTCTGCTTTTTCGTTCACCCACTGACTCACCTGAGTTTGGTGGTGTTGAGAAGGTATAACTTGGTCTGATACTGAGCCAAGGCCCACTGCGGATTCACACAGCCCACAAAGGAGTGGTTATGCAGCATCTCGCGGAGAGCTGGGGAGAAAGCACAGGAAAGCAATGGACCCCACAAACAGCTTCTCAGAGCCACAGCATCAAACACCAGAAACAGAGCTATAAGTAGGCCGAGATGCCCGCGCTGGCCCTTCTGATGAAAAGCCAAAGGGTGGATAAAATGTAAACCAGACTTTTTAAATGCAGTAAGGAACCACCAATCACTTAAGGCACACTCAAAGATCACACTCCCAGACAAAGCAGGAGCCCAGGGGAATGGTGAGACTCTTGGAGCTCAGGGACCATGAACTTCAGCTTGGAGGGGATGGTGTGGGCTGTCCAGTCAGAGCCGACTCAACAGCTGGCCCTCCAGCGGGTTTTCAGAGGTTAGGTCTGTCTTGGAGAGGGTGATACCAAGTTTCTCCTTGGAGGCGAGGATTTTGACGCTCCATCTCACATACTTTGAGCACGTGGCCAGGAGAAACTGGTCCTTGCTTGGAGACTGGAGGGACAGCACAGGAGAGGACGACCCTGGATGAGATGGATTGACACAGGAACTGGGGCAAGGGAGGTGGGTGTGCCAGAATTAGTGAGACTGGCTCTGGATAGGAATGGATTCAGAGCTGCTGGACAAAGAATTGCTATGGGTCGCAGGCGACTTGACAGCACGTAACAACAATAAATCATGTGGGAGGAGACTGGCCATCCTTCTCCTGCGAAGCAGCTGGTGAAGTCAAACCATGTGCTTTTGGGATTGCAACACAGCTTCTTATCACTAGGCCACCAGAGCTCCCTGAGGGTGTAAGAGACAGAAGAGAAAAGCCTGGAACCGTTTGAAATAGGGAGTCCAAGAGGAGACCCCTTGCCCAAAATACAGAGAACTCTCTGATGGCCTAGTGAGTAAGGAGTTGTGCTGCCAACCGAAAGGCCAGTTCGAATCCCCCAGCTGCCCCTTGGGAGAAAGATGGGCAATCTTCTCCCATGCAATTTACAGCCTCTGAAAACTTGCTGGAGGTCAGCTATGAGTTCTGACTCGATGGCAATCAATTTGAGGGTTGGCATTTTTGTAGCGTGGAGAAGCAGACATGTAAACATCTTCTATACATGCCCCTCTTCTCTTCAAAGGGCAGTAAAACACTTGCCTCCTTTTGGGTTGGAAGAGGAAACAAATTATATGCACACATCCACAGAAGGCTTTTACAATCAGAATTTGCTCTAGGTAGTGAATGGAGATTATAGTTTAAAATGATCACCAGACCCTCAAGAGAATCATATGCCAAGTTGTCTCTTGGAAAAGTCATTTCAACGTAGTCCTCAAAGATTTCCCAGATAAAATATTAAAAACTAGTTGCTGGTGTAGCCAGTCAAATAAATTACAAACCACAGAAAAGAAAGCAACAAGAATTAGAAGCCAGGAGGAACCACAGAATCAGAACAGCAATAGTTCCAAAGATTGGGAAGTCCAGCAAACACCCAAAGGACCTTCAGTATGCTTAAACTCACGTTCACTGACGTTGGCTCATTCTGACCACCAAGTCTCTGAGGCTGTAAATTTTAACCGAAGGAGGTGGCCATCTTTCTGCTGAGGATCTGTTGGAGGATTTGAACCACCAGAGGTGTAGCTTTGGGGGGGGGGGGGTCAGCAGTGCAACCCTTCGTGGATTCTGCCATGAGAGCTCTTTAAGAGAGAAACGGTGTAATTAAACCATGTTATTGTCATTTTGTGCCGTCAAGTTGCCTGCAACTCATAGCGACTCTATGTACAACAGCCCTAAACCCTGCTCTATCCTGTGCCAATCTTAGTGTCTCCGACATGTCTGTCCCCTCTTATCCTCTCCCGCTCTGTCCCTCCACCATCCCAGGCATGATGTCCCTCTCCAAGGACAGGTCCCGCCTTGCAACATGTCCAAAGTGTGTCAGATGGAGCTTCAGAACCCTTGCCATAGGAAACTTATCAAAAACAATCCATGAGATTTCTGAAAGGAGTAAATAACACTTCTGAAAGTAAAAAATGAAATCATTTAAATAAAAATCAAGATAAACTCAAGAGTGGAGGAAGTAGAATAGTTTAGATTGAAAATACAGATCAGTTGTGTAGGGAGTTGTGCTGCCAACACAAAGCCAGGGCCTCTCAGCAGTTCTAATCCACCGCTGCTCATTAGACAACGACAGATTAGACAGATGGAGCTGGAACGAACTGGAAAACTGAAATAAAGAAATCACTCAGAATGCAGCACAGAAAAAAAAGACAGAGCACAGGTAAGACGGCTTAGGAAGCATGGAAGAGAAATACAAGTTCCAGGGGAGAACAGGGTGGGCAGAGACATTTGAAGGCTCTGAATGAAAGAGAGCTGAGAATATCCCAGAAGCAACAGACAAATCCTGAGCTCTGTGAAGCCCAACAAAATCCAAACATGACACAGATTCCAAAGGACACCAAAGACAGAAAGATCTTAGAAGCACTCAGAAAGAAAAAGAGAGATTACTCATGACGTAAGAATGGTTTCGGTGTGCTAAGAGAAAAAAGCCTGCCAATCTAGAGTGCTATATCCAGTAAAAAGACTAAAAATGAGGCAGAGGGAGGTCTGTGGTCTACTGGGAAGAGGCTGAGCTGCAATCCCAAAGACACACGGTTCGAATTCACCAGCTGCTCCACAGATGGACGGGCAGGCGATTTACCGCCTCTGAAAACCTGCTGGAGGGTCAGTTACGGATTGGTTCTGACTCTATGACACATAACAATAACCACCACCCTAAAAAGAAGGATGGATGAGGTAAAGGAAAATGAAGAGTTTGCCACCCCAGCGCCCACTGGAGGCTGAGCTTCAGACAGAGCAGAAAAGGTCCAAGCCAACTAATTGTCAGGACAGGCTAAGTGGGCATCAGGGATGCAAGGACAGAGGACATGTGGGGACAGAAAGGGTGTGTACAACACACTTCCCTTTGCTTCCCTTGAAGCTGTGCCCACACGAACTCTCTAGTTGTTAAATAAGTTCTGTACTAACCCCTCCCCCAATAAAGACACTTATTTTCTTCATTCTTAAATAGTGCTCCTCTCTGTTCCCACTGGAAACTCAATGTGTCTACAGGATGTCCTGCGTGGGTGGAAAATGATCCTTTTAAAAGCTGGAAAACATAAAATAATCTTGAATAATGAGGCACTGGAGAGAAAGAGAAGCAGGCTAACTAATCCATGAAGGCAGGGTCAGAGACTTTTCCATACAAATTTTCCATGGAATGCTCTGACGCATCCCCAGCTACTGCGGGCGGCTTTGCCAGCGAGGGGCGGGGAGCTGGGAATGCTGCTGACCCAGCAGAGGGCTGTGCAACTTCCAGGCTGTACACGAACCCACAAGAGGCTTCCTAGTCTCTTCACAGGACCGGCATGTCATCCCTCTCCTAACCGTCTCCACGGCACCAGTGTCAGTGGGGTTCCCGGCTACTCTGTTATCAGCACAATGCAGGGAAGGCTTTCTGGGCCTCAAAGCCCATACACACGTCTGAGTTCAGAACTAAGACCTCAGGCCAGGCCAAACCTGAACAGAGCATTCAGTGGCCTGGTTTCCGATGTTCTTCTGCAGAGACGCAGCTGTCCATGGGCCTCCGTCTGCCGGTGCCTTTTGTGTGAGACGATTGGGAAGCCTCCCTGGCCCACCTGAGGCCATCACCTCCTGGCAAACTATGCTTATTTCTATCACAGACCCTCATGTGCCAGCTATGCTCTAAGCCTCCCCACAGTGATGTCCTCAAGGCGCAAGTCCTGGCTCGTGCCCTTGCTCTCTCCCTGAGCCCGCGGGCACACTGGACACTTGAAAACTCTTTGCTGAACTGACTTCAAGTCTCCAAAGAAACTGGTGTGCAGTGACAAAACCATGAGAATATGTACCCGTAGATCCAGGGCTGTTCCCCAAAGCAGCACATTCTCATATTCAAATGAATTTAGCAAGGAACTTACAGCATTCTTTGTCTTCATGACTTAACAGATCAAAATCTGGGAGTAGCAATGGGAAAACTGAGTCATCAGTAATCCCCAAGATACCACATCTCCTAAATTAGCCTCAATTCTGCACATGTGACTACCAGCGGTGGTCACTAGCGGCCCCGGGAACGTCTCTGATTGCTGGGATGTCCCCATTACCCTGTCCTCTCTGTCCTGCGTCCTTATCTTTAAAGCATCTGCTCCGCCTCCCTCTAGAATTAAATGAGATCATGTGTATGGTCCAGGCCATGGTCTGCATAACTGCTATTCATCAGAGCGCTGGACAGTGTCTAAGGATGACAGAAGAACTGATGCCTTCGAGTTGTGGGGCTGAAGGAGTCTTGAACATACCACGGACCACCAAGAGAATAAATGGGTCTGTCTTGAAGAGGGTGAAACCAAGTCTTTCCTTGGAGGCTAGGATTTTGAAGCTCCATCTCACCTACTTTGGGCATATGGCCAGGAGAGACCAATCCCTGGAGAAGGACATCATGCTTGGAAGGGGGAGAGGAAGCCCCCAGATGAGATGGATTGACACAGTAACTGGGGTAATGAGAGAGAGTGGGTATGTCAGAGTCAATGAGACTGGCTCAGGACAGGGCAGGCGTCAGAGCTTCAGAGGGTCATTATGAATCACAGGCAACTTGGCACATGGTAACAACAATGCCACAAAGTGTGTGAACACACAACTTTAGACATTTCCATTCACCATCTCAGCCATGGCAACAGACTCTCAACCTGATGCCTAATGTAGCTTTACACTGCACTGAAAATGGACAACTCCTGAAACTGTGACTTGACATCTGCTTGGCTTAAGAGACACGAGTCATAAAGAAAACGTGGAAAATCCCACCTCTGAGGGATCTGTCCAAATCTGAGGAGACTGCTAACTCAATCTAGTGCCGTCTACCCCTGTCTGTCATCTTACGTTCTAAGAGCTCCCGGCCTGTAAGCTAACAGCAGAGAGTGCAACCAGATCAGCTCTTCACGGGAGTGAAAACACACGACACTTGGCAGCTGTGTCTAGAATGGCGGGACCTGAGCCCACGAAGTGCTCACCCTTCCGAAGGGTGCCGAAGCCCACGGCCAGAGTCCGCTCCAGCTCACAGCGAATTGACAGACACACGGGAACGGCCTGAGCTTTCCAGGCCTTGCATCTTACAGAGTCAGCTGCCCATCTGTCTCCCTCAGAGCAGCTGGTGGGTGAGCAGCTTAATCCACCGCGCCACAAACACGCCTTCTCAAGTGCAGACACCCTGAGTCCTTCCCACACGTAAAGGCGTAGACTGGGAGGAAAAGAGGAGGAACACGAAAAAGTAAATTGAGAGCCCCCTCAATCAGCTCTATGATAATAATCCAGAGAACAGACTTAACAGGCTCCTGAGTGAGAGGCACTATCTTCAAAGAACAGGGAACAGGAGCAGGAGGGAAGGAGCGGTGGGGGGGGCAAGCTGACACGTGCTAATGAGCTACTCCAGTGTTTTAAACGTTAATTCCAAATACACACATGGGGGGGGGGGGGGGGCTGGACTTTATAAAAATTTAAAACCTACCCGAAGTATTCTACACACACATCACAATCCCCATGAAAAGCCTAAGGTATTTTTAAATAAAAATGGCCAGTCAACCCTCAAATTCAGATGAAACAGCACAGGGCTAGAGTAGGCAGAGCCAGCTTATAAAAGAACAAGCCCAAAGACTCGCACTCTTTGATTTTAAAACACTATCAATTTAAAACTAAAAAACTATAAGCCAAACCAAACATGATTCAGACTCACAGCAGCTCCACAGAACAGAAATGTCCTGCAGTTTCTACGGCTCCAGTCATACGTCCACAGCACCACCGTCCCTCAGAGGGCTCGTGGGCTCAGACCAGTCACCTTTTTTGGTCAAGCATTGGATAGGTTCATGGCTTGAATCCGTCAGCTCCTCCGTGGGGAAGCAATGAGGCAGGCTGCTTCCTTACACACTTCCAGCCCTGGAGACCACGGAGGAGCCGCTGTGTCCCGCAGCTGATGGCAGTGAGGGGGGTGTGAATGCCTTACTCCGTCCAAGCTGCTTCCCTCACATTAACACTCCAGTCAACACAACCACCTTCAAGGTAGGTAAAAGAACCTTCCCTTGTGAGAGAAGAAAACAGTGTGGCCGGAGTCTGAGACCACAGCAGTCGAGGTTCAGGTGTTTGAGCCCGGGACTCCCTGAGCAACACAACAAACATCCCATTTGGCCCATGGAGTAAGAACTGGACTGAGTTACACTGTGTCTTGTTTCAGAAACAAACTGAAGATTTTCCAAACGAAGGGTATTTTCCCTTCTCTTCTAACTGAAAACTGCTGACGCTTAAATGATGTCAGGAAGGAAAGCACGGTCTCCCTGCACGCTGGGATGGGAGCAGCCACCTGGCATCATAAACCTCTCTGCGTTTCCGGTCACTTCTGCTCAGCCCTCCGGCACTCAGAGCCCCAGGGCGGAGCCCAGGATGGACGTACCCTCATGGCCACGCGCGCCGATTTCCTCCTGGAGCGTCAGGACACTGGTGAGGTTGATGATCCTCCTCCGGGGGGTCGAGGCTGCGGTCATCTCCTTCTGAGAAGTGTCTTCCACCATTTCCACATCAGCGCCCTCCCGGGGTCTCTTTCTGCAATGAAGAGGAGACGCTGGCAGGCGACTGCTTCTCTTTCTCACGAAGTTTTCAGGTGAGCGCGTCTTGGGCACTGCACTAGGAAGAAGGCAGGCCTCCTCGGGGGCGGCGCTGAGCGTCCACAGGACTGCTGTGCGGGTGCTGGCCGGCAGGGTGAGCCTGTGTTCTGGTGACACTCAGCTCTGTTCACCTGACCACAGGGCTGCACTCACCGGGACTCGAACTCTAGGTCTCAGACAAGTGGGCTGACCCAGCAAGGCTCATCCATTCCATCCAGCCAGCCACCCGACATTGTTCTGGGCTAATTCATCTCTTCCCTCCGTCTAGCCAGCCACCTGACCACTGTTCTGGCCTAACGTCAGAGGAGCGTAAACCACTGACAAGGAACAAGACAAAGGGCCTCCCCTAGGTTTCTGTTTTGTTTGTTTGGGTTTTTTTGGGGGGAGGGAAGATTCAAACAGCAATCGACAACAAGAAAACTTCATTTAAGTGATAAAATACCATGAAGAAAACAAAATAATGGAATGGTGGAGAGGTGAGAGGCAGGGGAAGATCAGACCAAATGGAAAATGAGGGGTTCTGAGAGAAGGCAGCCTTTCCTGTGAGGCCTGAGGGTCAAGAAATCAGAGCAGTTCCAGGACGAGGGATCAGTGAGGGCACAGTGGGAGTTCAGGCCAGCCACAGATCAGTGCAGCCATGAGCGGGAAAGGTGGGCTGGAGGGAGGGCACCGTGCAGGGTACCTCAGAGGGTCAGGACGGCCATAGATCAGTGCAGCCATGAGAGGGAAAGGTGGGCTGGAGGGAGGGCACCGTGCAGGGTACCTCAGAGGGTCAGGCCAGCCACAGATCAGTGCAGTCATGAGAGGGAGAAGTGGCTGGAAGGAGGGCACAGTGCGGGGTACCTCAGAGGGTCAGGACGGCCATAGATCAGTGCAGCCGTGAGCGGGAGAAGTGGGCTGGAGGGAGGGCACAGTGCAGGGTACCTCAGAGGGTCAGGCCAGCCACAGATCAGTGCAGTCATGAGAGGGAGAAGTGGCTGGAAGGAGGGCACAGTGCAGGGTACCTCAGAGGGTCAGGACAGCCACAGACCAGTGCAGCTGTGAGCATGGGGAGATGGGTTTGAGGGAGGGCACATGAGGGGCTAGCTTTATAGCAAAAGCAAGAAAGGCCACAGAAAGGCTTCAAGAATGTGTACTATATGTTCAAAAAGGATTCTTTTGTGAAAAATCACTATGTGTTAGTTCTCCACGTGATAAACAGAAGCGTGGCACTCACCTTGCTGGGCTACTACCAGCATTAAATAAGCATATAAGTGATCTAGCTCATAATAGCTACTCAGTAAATGCTGCTGTTGTTGGGTGCTGTTGAGACAGAGGTGACTCACGGCAGCCCCCCAAGAGGATTTTCAGAGGTTGTAGACTGCAGGGAAGCGATGATCTCGTGATCAATTCAAGCCAGGAGTCTCCGCATGGCCAGCACAACTCCTTATTGACCAGGCCACTGGAACTTCCTCAATAAACTTTAGCTTCATTTATTATTCTCGGGAAAAAAACCCTTAGAGGTTACTCATCTACAAATAACGCCTCTGAAATGAGCAAACTGGAATGCAGAAAAGTTGATCAAAACCTTTCACTAAAAATAAAGGCTCAATTTTGTGAATTTTTTCCTCTGAATTTTTAACTACTGCTTAGATTGAAGATATTTCAAAGAATACTGTGGTGTGTGATCTCAAAGCCATGGTCAAAGGCAGATCGTGGATGAGGCCACAGCACGGCCCACGCAGAGGCACACGGTAAAGCAGACCAAGAAAAGACAGAAACTGTCCATAAAAAGCAAAAGATATGCACATCCATGTTTACTGCTGCTTTGTTCACAACAGCAAAGACTTGAAAACAACTCAAGTGCCCTCATCAAACGAATGGATAGAGAAGCTGTGGTATATTCACACAATGGAATACTACGCTGCGTTGAAAAACAAGGAACTCATGAAATATTATTCAAAATGGGTGACCCTGGAGGACATTATGCTGAGTGAAGTATTCCAGTCACAAAAGGACAAATACTGCATGGTTCCACTGTTGTAAAACAGGACTGACATTGGGATTGAGGGGAACCTGAGAAAGATGGGTTCAATAATGTATACTGCCTTGAAACAGATGAGGGAGAGAACTATTTAAAAGGGATGTGTGATTAGGAATTATTGTCATGACAGGAGTCCAGAATGAAGGCTGCATAGTGGAGTGAACTTGAGGGGAGGGATTGTATACAATGAATGTATACTTTTCAAAGAGAAAAATGAACTGGGGGCAAGGGTGGGCAGGGAGAAAAATGCAACAATGAATGAATGGAAGTCCAAAATCTCTGTAAATCTTCATTAAAATTAATAATAATAATAAAGAAAAGCAAAAGACAGAAGGTGGTGTCCTTAAAGGAGGGAAGCTGAGCCTGTTAAGTCAGGGCCTACCTGGGCTTTTCGGGGCTGGAAGTTGGCCCTCTCTTCTCTGCTGTTTCTGAAGTCTCCATGGTTGACTCCTCTCCCGCGCCCTGATTCTCTGCAGCCGCCTCAGCGGGGGCTGGGAGTTCGAGCATCTCCTCATCTTGTGGCCTCACACTGCCACTGGGACCACCTGTGCGCTCTTCCGGGACGAGGGCCTGGGGCCGGCTGGACGGGGCTGTGCTCACTGGCTGCAGAAAGGCATCAAGTTTCTGTTCCCGGGAATCTGTGCGAACCATCTGGTGTGCGTAGACCTTGTCTCCACTTCCAGAAGCAGAAGAAGAGGTCACCCCCATTGTGGATTTAACCACCTCTCCAGAGGGGCCAGCGAGTCCTGGCAGCAGGGTCTGTGTCAAAAGAGAAGACACAGAAGACTCAGACTTTCAAGTATAGACGTCCAGGTCCCAAAAGGGGCAATGAGAGAGAAAAAATAAAAGTCAAATATAATTTTCAATATTACAGGAGCAATTCTGCCTCAAATGTAGGGTGAAAAAGGGAACATAAAAAGCACAGAGGATAAGTGATAAAATGGTGGCACAGACGCATTATTGTTCCAACCCTTACTCCACAAACATAGCAAGAAATTCCCTGATGACATGGTGCTCAGCTCTGAGGAACTCGGAATCAGGGAGCAGAGAACGCAGCAGGGAACTGCACAGAGGCAAGAGGCAATTCAACCAGTCACACGTGGTCCGAAAGCTGTTTCTCCCACGGTCTTTGCCTCTACCCTAGTCATGTCGGCTGCCAGCTTCTGCAAAATGGGGGTGTGGACTCCCCAAATGAGAGCCTGCTTCCCTAATTACCATAGCTCCTGCTGTACCCCATACCTTTGCTCTAAAATCCACACGGCAGACCTCTCCAGAGTTCTGTGTGGAGCGTGCCAGGATCCCCCACCCAGAGGCTGTCAGCTGCAAGCCGACTATGAGTTGCTACCGAAAGTCTGTGCCGTGGAGACTGTTCTGACAACCAACACTCCACCTGCCTCCCTGCACTCACAACAGCTCAGCCATGAAGTCAGTAAGACAGACCTCTGGGGAGTCAGTTCTGGTCTGTCTGCCTCCTCTTTCAGTCGGCACTAAGACTGATGCTTCCAGAAAGCAGGCCTCTTTAGTGGAGGTTATACCCACGGCTAGTATTCTACATTCAAGTCTCTGACAGCAACAAAACAGACTTCCCCAGGATCCCTTCCGGCTGTGAAAGCTCCACCGCCAACCAGTAACAGCTGGACAGACATGAACTTTCACAGCAAGTTCTTTAAAACAGAATCAAGAAGTAGATCACCTAAGTGTAGACAGTTCCCCATTACTGCAACTCTGAAACCACGAAGACAGATCTCTGGAAGGTCCTCCTGGGCATTGCCAGGCTCTCCAACTCCTGCATCGGAGGGAAGTCAGCCTGCTTCCCTGACAGCCAGTTCAGAAACAACAAGGGAAGAAAGCTTCGGGCAAAACTAGAAGGCAAAACCCAGTCTTGAAGGGAGCTTGATGGTTGTAGGTTTTCTCACTAAAAATCATGGTCATGGAAACAGAAAAAAGATAGTAAGACTCAGCAAGAGAAGACTGCACCCTCTGGTGGAGAAATTGATTAGTACATGACATCTTGTTCCCGTTATGGTGCCTATTGGCGGACAGACTGACCACAGAAAGATTTTAAGTTGAAAAACTAGATCTATAACTACTCCAGGGATGAGAAGGGGCTATCACAGAGAGGTAGAGAAAACAGTCAGCAAAGGGTGAAGACTCTGCCTGCCTTAGAGTTTTTCTGCAGAAAGTAGTACAAGGAAAAACCGTCAAACACTGCAGGAAACAGAAAATGACCAACAGAGAAAATCTCAATGTCTCAACAACAACATCATCACAAGACACACAAGAACAGAAACAGAAGGGCCCCTGCGAACAGAAGCACTGCTGTTGTTGTACCGCAGAGCTGGAAACGACTCAGAGCTGAGGCTCCAGGGGATTCTCAGAGGCGTAAATCACGCGGGAGAAGAAAGCTCATCCTTCCTCCATGGAGCAGCTCGTGGCTTTGAACCACATGCCTTTGGGATTGCAGTGGAGTTTCTTATTACTAGGCCACCAGAGCTCCCTGTAAGCATCTGAGCATGACCAAGTAATGAGAGGAAAACCAAGAGACAAAACAAAAAACCCAGAAGATTATAGGAATATGAAACATAATCAAAGAACTAAGGGGAAAAACACACAAAGAGCCAAAAAATTTAGGGGAAACAATGCACAAACAAAATGAGGATCTGAAAAGAGGGATGAGACCTTGCAAGTGGAAGAAACAATAGCTGATTTGAGAAACACAAGAGAAAGACTTGTTGTTATGTGCTGTCGAGTCACAATAACATGAGAATATGAATCACAATATGAGAAACACAAGAGAAAGACTTACCAACAAATTTACTCTGGTACAAGAACAAATCAATGAATTGGAGGAAAGACAGTTAAAATTACAGATATTAAAGAGCAACACGAATAGAGGCTCAAGAAGGATGAGTATCATGCAATGGAATCAACAGAATCCTAACAACGAAACCAGTATGTCCACTCTGGGAATCCCAGAAGGAGATGAAAACAAAGAAAGAGACAGAAAAACCACCTGATGGAATGATGTCAGGATTTCCCCAATCTAAAGGCGGACATGAATGCAACACTAGCAAACAAAATCCAACAGTATATTAAGAGTTATACACTCTAACTCTTAATTATAGAATAAGAGTTTTTTGAGGAATGCAGGGATGGTTCAATACTAGAAGTTCAAGCAATGTAGTAAATCAAATCAGTCAGGCAAAGAAAAAGAATCACATGACAATCTGTATGGTGCGGGGCGGGGGGAGAATTTCATAAAACCCAACACCATTTCTTGATTAAAACCTTAAGGAAGACTCATATAGAACGGCAATTCCTCAACATGATTCATGGCAGATGTAAACACCTAACAATGCACTTAATGGAGAAGGACAGTGTAGGCTCTTTCCCCTTGAAATAAGGAACAAGAGAAGGATGTGTGCTCTCATCATTTTCACTTAATATCGTTTAAAAAGTACTAGGTAGAGAAACAAGACAAAGAAATAAAACTGAGTTATACTGGGGGGGGGGGAAGAGGCAAAAGATTTTCTATTCGTGGATATGACACCCCTACATAGAAAATCGAAAATCCTAGAGCCCACTAGAAAACTTCTAGAGCTATTAGCGAAATTAATAACATTGACCTCATATCCTGTAACTTTGCTTAATTTCTCTACTAGCTCTAGAAGTTTTCCTAAACTCCTCCCAGGTGATTTTTATGTGAAGCCAGGTAAAGAACATGACCCAGAGTGAATTTTTACAACCTCAAATGTTCTCTTATACCTCTCGGTCTTAGCCTTGGGGTAACAGTGGTACCAGGAACCCATCAAAACAGAATGAAGGCTGGTTCCCAAGCTCAGGCTTCCTTTGGCTCCACTCGCCACACAACCCTTTCAGATATCACTAACAGATGATACAGGGACTCCCTCCCTCTCTGCCCCAGTATCTGCAGGTATGTGGGTGAGCGGTGGCAGGAAGACCCAACTGGGTTGTCTCACTAAGCAAGCTTCCCAGCTGGGACTGTTTTCATGGAGGGCATACATTCACCTGGGAATTTTAAAACCATTTCTTTTTAAGTAGAGAGGTGCTCACAGAAGATCTGCTTGCAGGACCAATGGAGTTTAACTGAGAACTTAATGGAGGGTAGCGTTCCCGTTCCTGAACCTCCAGTGTTTGTCGTGCCTACGATGAACTCACCCTGCCCTGAATAAAGAGCTGATGACGATCATACCATCTCAGAACCGAGAGGGGTCACAAGACCGTGGACTGCTCGCCTGGCTTACTGTACTAAAGGGAAAACTGAAGCCACTAACAGGCGAAGGATTTTCTAATCATACGCACTTAGGTCTTAAGTACTCAGAAGACGAATGGTGCCAGGCCCTACGTCAGAAGGTTTCCACGCAGAGCTCACCTACTGCTCACAACTGTCCTCAAGTGGAGGCGGCCAGGCTCCATCTTTACTGAAGGAGATGCGGATGAACAAGAAGATGCCATGGGTTGAACTGTGTCCTTCATAAAGTATGCTGACGTCCAGCCCCTTAACCTGGAAATACGACCTGACTTGGGGACCTACCCATTTTCACAGGGTCATATCGAATAGGGTTGGTCCTAATCTCTTCAGTGGCATGTCTTATAAAAGGAGAGAAAGATTTGGAACCATGTAAGGATCTGTCTACAAGCAAGGAATGCCAAGAAATACCCGGGACGACCACAAGCCAGAAGAGATAAAGAATGACCCACTGCAGCCAGCAGACAGAGCACGGCCGACACCCTGCGCCTGGGCTTCCAGCCTCTACGTGAGAGCTCTGTTCTTTACCACCACCCACTCAAGGCTATTTCACTGTGACAGTTCCAAAGCAGAGGGTGTCACACAGCCAGGACCCCAGGTCTGTGTGCCACCAAAGCTCCTGTTCTTTCACTGGGCCCTGCGCCCTCTCTGAGCAAGCCCCTCCACTCTGCCCTGTGCCCAGGGGATCAACTTAACTTCTGAACATCTGCAAGGGAACAGAACCAATGATAAGAGTCCCATTTCTTGGAAGTCTGTCTTTACTAAGATTCTGAATAAGGATGAAGGAAGGAGAACTCAGGCCTTATGACTCATGCCTGATATAAACAGCATAATGCCGTCCCATTAAGGTTCGAAGAAAATGCTGCCCCAGGAAAACTACTAAGAAAGGTCTACAGCAAGGGGCAAAGATGCGAGCGGTCCTTCCTGGGGAGACGCATCGCGGGTGGAAAGCAGGAGAGAAGGGCGGGCGAGGAGAGCTGACCTGGGTAAAGTACAGCCGGGAGGAGAGCTGACCTGGGTAAAGTACAGCCGGGAGGAGTTGGAGCCCAGGAGCTTGCTCTCCACGTGCTGCTGCACACGCTCCAGGATGCTGTCCTCGTGCAGGAAGTGAACCTCATGCTTCGTGGGGTGCACGTTGACATCCACATTCTGGGGGCTGATTTCTAAACTAGCAGGGGGAAAGCGAATAATTACCTCAGGCGGTAAGAGTAGGAATCCGTTTACGTGGTGGCCACGAGACTTGGTGAGGGCGACGTCACAGTGGTCAAAACCTCAAGGCCAAGTCTGAGTGACTGGGTTCAAATGCTGGCTCTGCAACTAAGAGCCGTGGAGCTTTGGCAAGTGGCATCATCCTCCTCTGCCTCAGTTTCCTTGCTTAAAGAGTAGAGCTACTAGCATTACCCAGTTCCCAGTTAATGTTGTTATGTACCACTGAGTCAGAACTAACCCATAACTGACCCTCCAGTGGGTTTTCACAAGCAGTTTAACTGCATGAGAGAAGACTGCCCGTCTTTCTCCACAGAGCAGCCGGTGGATTTGAACTCCGTGCCCTTGAGATGACAGTGTAGCTCCTAACCAATAGGTTAAGTTCACGTAAAGTGCTTTGCATATACCTTATACGTTTATTCCACAATTAACGTCATCACGCCAGAACCAGAAGAATGTCTTACGATGTCACCTTAAACAAGCTACATCTGTTTTATCAGATATAAAGGCAAGGTAACCTTAAATCTGGCCCCGCTTACTTTTCTAGACCATATAAGAATCAAACAAAGATTTTTGTTAAAGAACTTTCTATACTAAAAATAGTCTAAAAGTCAGCTATGACTCTGCCATTTTTTAGTTTACTGTCTCATTTTCCATGGCCAGCTGGTAACGGAGCTTGCGAAGGGGAAGCTCTGTCAGCAGAGGGCGCTGGAAGGATGCTGGAGGAGGAAGGAGCCCACCCCTCCCTCTGGGTTTCAGAAGTGTGGTCCTGTTACAGTGCCAGGCAGCAAGCATGGCGCCTTCTCCTTCTGGGCCATTTCCTTATGTGGCTCTGCAGCCACTGAAGGACCATGTCACCAACTCTCCACCACCTGCTGTAACACGGCTGCATCGTTTTGCACCAGGTTTTGATCTCAGCCTTGGGGCTGAGGACTTCCAGGTGAAGGGTGGCTCACTATCATGTGCTCCTTCTGCCTCTTTGCCTCTTACCAATGGTCCCTGGGTGCAGAAGGGTACAAGTCAGAGTGCTAACTGAAAGGCTGACAGAACCAATCAGAGGCTCCTGGGGAGATAGACGATTTATCGCCTCGTAAGTGTGACAGACCACAAGCCAGAAATTATTGACGGCAACAGGTTGGGTTAGGTTGGGTTTGGGGTAACTTCTTACTAGTCAATCCTCCATTCTGAGAATTCCTGGTTAATAGTTATATTAAGTGTCCTCTGTTCAAAAGACTGAAGGTTTCTGTCTTTTGTTGGTAAGATTCTAAGATGAACAAGGGGTACCGTAACTAATTTATTTTCTAGCAACAAATGTAAGGGATCCAACAATTTCATTTAAACTCTATTTCCTTATGATAGAACAATAAACTAAAATTCACTTTCAAACACAAGCGCAGTCCAGATAGCATAAAGGTTTTAAGACTTAAGACATTTTAGTATAACCTCTATCTTGTATAAACATAGCCCGTGCACTGAGCGATATTTCAACAGGCTGGGATAAAACAAAGCTAAAAACAGTAAAAGGGCAAACTACCGAGGAAGCAGGAAACAACGAAAATGAGATCTTTCGTAAACTAGATTTTAGACTCTAAACTCTTTTTAAGGTGCCCACAAAAAATATCTGTTGTTGTTGTTGTTTTGTGCCATCGAGTTGCCTGCAACTCATAGCAACCCTGTGTACAACAGCCCTACACCCTGCTCTGTCCTGTGCCAATCATACTGTCTCCGATACACCCATCCCAATTGCCCCAGTCACTGAATCAATCCACCTCATAGAGGGCCCTCCTCTCCTGCGCTGTCCCTCCACCCTCCCAAGCATGACGTCCTTCTCCAAGGACTGGTCCCTTCTTGTAACATGTCCATAGTATGTCAGACAAAGCCTCAGAATCCTGCCATCAAATCCATTCCAATTCACAGTGATCCTTCAGTGGGTTTCTGAAGCTGTAAATTCTTAGAGGAAATTGCCCCTCTTTCTCCTGTAGAGTGGCAGGTAGACTTGAATGATTAACTTTCTAGTTAAGAGCCAAACGTGTTTCTTACTATATACTAAGGTTCCTTTTCAAGTTAAGGAAACACCATTTTCTGTATTTCAAACACCTGGTATGACACCTGGCCTATGCAGTACCCAAAAGAAGATTGAAGAACTGTTGAAATGAACATTGTTGCGTTTGACCACTAGCTTGACTAGCCATAGCTAAGTCTCCATGGCCCAAAAAGACCGCCTTTCACACAAGGAAGAAAGGCCAGCCACTGTGGGGGTTCAGCTTTGCAGCTGGCTCTACCTGCAGTCCTAACACTCAGCGTGGTGGACACACACTGCTGTCTCTACACTGCTAACCAACAGTGACTCCCACAAGGTTGACACCTTAATGGACTGAGACACGGCAGTCACCTTTTCATCACCAACACAGTGACTGGAACATAGCATGGTTCCGCTAAATAAGTCAATGAGTCACAGAACACGGCACCTTTTACCTTTAAAAGAACAGAACACCTATTGCCAGAGGCAGTTGCGGCTCATTCTATTTGGAAGCCTGATGTCCTTTGAAGAGGAAAGCCTGGAAGCCCCATCGGAGTCACAGATGAAGAGTTCAGTGATGCGTTACCTGAGATACAGAAATGGGTGTGTGTTCTTGGGCAGATATGCCGCATATACCGTTTCTATAGCTTTTCTCAAGGAAGCCGATTCGACCAGACGATCTAAAAAAGAAAAAGGAACTCATCAGCTCAAAACGTGCAGAGGGGTGAAGTCATAAGTGCATATTCACCCCATGCTATGAAATGACTTCAGGGAAAATACTTCCAGGGTGGCAGGGATGGGACCCAGCAGCTGCCCAGCCAGGCCCTCGGGTCTGTCACAACTTCCTAGAAACACAATATGGGCTTGGACCCCTCCTCCCTCACACAAGCAGCAGAGACACAGAAAGGCTCCGACAGTCCTTTCCCTCCACCAGCCCACGCTGGCTGCCTCTGCCCCCGCTGGGCACATGGGCAACAGGAAAACAGCTCTTGGATTTTCTACTGTATAAGCACTTATCAACTACTGAGCACAAGTGCCAAGTGCTGGGGGAAATACACCTGTGAAGAAATGACTTCCAACCCCAAGAGGCAGGTGCTGTGATAAGTGACAGGGCAGAGTGTCAACAGCAGATCTCCAAGGCAGGTACAGAGGTGAGGAAGGAGAGTGAGCTTTCCCGGGCATCTCAGTACAAAGTTGAGAAGGTGTCAAGTTCTGAAGGTAACTTAGGAAACGAGGTGGGTTTGGAGGGAGCAGAAAACAATGGCTCTGGAAGCAATTACATAAATGTCAGAAGAGGTATTTTCAGAAAACGTGGTTCTTTTCTCTCCTGACAGCTCTAAGATGACTTGCTGATGGATGATTGCAGCCAAGGACAGGCCACCTCCTTTTACCTCCAAAGAGAACGGCAGCTGTGACTGGATCAACGAGAGGACTCGCCCTCCTGGACTGTCCATCATACCCACGGTCCCTTCAGTAAACATCCTCGTACTTCATAAGCACGCGTCTGGAGCACACAGGCCTGGAGCAGTGAAGACCCCTGATTCAAGGACGGCCGGGCCTCCTTCAGGGATTTCTGAACTTAGCACCTGCCAAAGGATATTCTGAGCAAGGCTGCAAGAGTGCAGATTACTGAATGATAAGCGTGACCTCCACCTTGAAATCATGCTGACGCAAAAGGACAAACGCTGTACGATCTCACGTCTGTGAATCACACGACGACACAGACTCCAAAATTGTTAGTGGTGACCAGACAGAGGACGAGGAGAGGAAGTGAGGGGGATGTCTGTTTAGAAAGCTCTGAGTTCAAGTTAACGGTGAAAGAAGAAATGGTTCCAAAACATGCAGAGTGGAATCAAGGTCACCGAATTTTACATGTGGAAGTGACTGGACTTGGCCAAGCAGTATGTTGTCCATATTCTTTCACCACATTTGGGGGAAACCACCTCTGATTTCTGGTTGCTACTGGAAACTTAGAATCATGGACAAATTCGCTAATGTCAAAGCAGAGACCCCGTGGTGCAAAGTCCCGTGAGCCAGCAACACTCGTCAGACAATGGTGGGCTATAAAACATGCTTGATTGACGGCACTGCCACCTGGCTTCTTGCCATTAATGTAAAGGCGAAATAAACAATGAAGAAAACAAAACTAAGAAAATGACAGATCTTTCTAAGCAGTAACAGTAAAGGACCAATCTGTATAAAATGAAGTACAAAGGAAGACACATCTTGTTTCTACATCGGAGCACGCAAAACTGAGTCAGACTCTACTGAGACCATTCGTGGTTGCCCTGTCATTCTCTGCGCAAACCAAATCTCCGTACAGACACAGACTGCAAAACGGTATTTACTTAATGAGTAGCAATCACACTTAACAGTGAGTCAGCCAGGAGAGGAAGACTGGGAAGGACTCTGAAACAAATTCGAGTTAGCTTCCTCCCTCATTTCCACTACCGCTCCTTGGAGCCTAAGTAACTTGGATTTTTTAAGGAGAAAAATCTCAAGCGGCTTAGCGCTCAATTTCTTGACTTCAATGGCACTGTCTGAACCTCCAATAGCCCTGCATTCTGCCTGCTAATTTAACCCATGAATATTCAAGGTGAGAACAATGTCCAGTGCAGGGGCTTGCTTCTAGAGGCTTCCATGGAAGCTGAGGAGGAAGGGATGACTGCATGCAAGGCCCTCTCCGGGGCTCCTTCTTGGAGGAGAGAAGCCAATTGTGCAACTTTCAGCAAGGGGCACACCTCATATGGCAGAAGGCACACTTAACCCGAAGGCTAAGCTTCCTAAAACCAGACTGAGCGCAGGGCGGGGTAACCATGGCGGTGGACTAGACATTTTTCCTGGTTCCTATAGAATCCCTGGCGGATGGATCTTCCCAACTTGGTCCTTTTTGACTTACGATTGATGAAAAGTAAGAATATGCACTTCTTCACCGAGTAGTTGGCATTCGATATGTAGCCATTCATTTTGAAGGCCAAGGTTTTATCCTCACACTCAACTTCTATTAATTCTCTGGTAAGAAAAGAGACATTTTAAGACTTTTAAAAACACTAGGAAGTGCAAACATTATTAAAAGGATCAGAGTTAGAAAACACAGGGCTTCTTCTCATAAAGTAGCTTTGCCAAGGTAAGACCCAGGTTTGCACCTCGGTCTCCTGAGCCACAAACACACCCCCAGTCACTCATCCACCCCTCCATCCCAAACCTACCCACCCATCAACGTACCTAACCATCATCCATTCACCACATCCACACACACCCATCTATCCCAAACCTACCCATCAACATACCTAACCATTATCCCTTCATCACTCACCCATCCACCCATCCATCCCAAATCTACCCACCCATCAAAGTACCTAACCATCATCCAATCACCACATCCACACACACACACACCCCAATGCATCCCAAACCCACCCATCAACGTACCTAACCATCATCTATTCATCACACACCCATCCACTCATCCCATGAAATTACTCATCCATCCTTCCATCCATCCCAGACCTACCCACCCAGTTTTCAAGTGCTTATGCTATTGGCCTGGTCCTTCTTGAGTTGCTGGGATATAAGGACAAAGCTAAGCTCCGGGTCCTTACTTCACTGTGACTTAGATTATCTTAGGGAGCTCTGGTGGCCTGGAGGTAAGGAAGTGCGCTGTCATCCCAAGGACACACAGTTTGAATCTGCTGGCCTCTCGCCAGGAAAGATGCCAGTCAACTTCCATTTGATTCATGGCCTCTGAAAACCCTCTGGAGGGTGAGCTGTGACTTGGTCCTGACCAGACAGTAAACAACCTATTATCTCAGTCACTTAGTTGAAAATAACGCCTCAAAGTATGTTAGTAACCCAAACAAAATATAAGGTCTCATCTCTCCTGACTTCTTTACTTACAAAGAACGAAGCTTCTCTGTGATGTCGCTCAGTTCGTATTTACTGGGAAGGGGCAGTAAGTAGGTGGCCATTGGATGAGCTACACTCGTTTCTGATTTAGAGTGTCCCCAAGGTCTGTTTCCTCTGCCTGGAAAACGTATCTCCAGCCGGTTGTTGTTGTTTTTAGGTGTCACTGAGTCAAGTATGACTAACAGTGAACCTGTGAACAACAGATCTGAACCCTGTCCTGTGTCGTCATGATTCCTGATGTGAGCCCATTGCTTCAAAGTCTTCCCTTCCTCTGCCCACCCTCCACCTTTCCAAGCATGATGTCCCTTTCCAAGGAACAGCCTCTCCTAGTAACGTGTCCAAAGTATATGCGTCAAAGCTTCCCCATTCTCATTTCCAAGGACTTTTCCCAAGACATGTCTGTCTGATCTTCTGCCAGCCCATGCGACATTCCAGCTAGTTAATGGATTCTTCCACTGTGTCCTGTACTCTCCCCCTCCCCCGGAAACTTCTGACACAGTGAGCTACTGAATGGCATAATGATTTAATGCCTCTTTGTAACTGGAATGTGAGTTCTCTGAGATCAGGAGCCATTTCTCCTTTGCTCACTCCCCCACACAGCAGGGGGCCTGGGCGTGACCAGGCCCTCACGAAGGACCTGCTGGACAGATGGTGAGGCCTTCTCACACAGTGATATGTGCTGTGACCCAGCGTGGAAGGTATGGTTGCAGCATTCCCCAGACAATGAACCATCAGACCTTTCTTTCCAAAGCATCTGAAGAGGCTGCCATGAGGGAAACCACTTGGGAAATGCTGGTCCAAGTCACTTCTAATTTTTAACAGTCCTTAAGACTATTTTGTTATTGTTGTTGTTTGGTGCCGTCGAGTCGTAGACGACTCATAGCGACCCTATGAATAAACAGTCTGAGCACTGTTGGTACATAGAGTTTCCGGAGACAAGCCATTTCGCAAGTGGATGCCGCTCCTGCTTCCAGGCTTGATTTAGCCGGGAAGCTCCAGCCAACACTGTCCACCATGGGTGCCCATTACCACGATTGGCACATCACTGTCACAGGCTTCAGCATCGCAAGAGTTACCTCTGTACAGCAACGCACAGACCAGTGCTATACCACCTAGAAGAATGTTTGTCTTAGTAAGACTGTCTTAGTAAGTAATTTTAACATCTAACAAATTTAAGCTCTTCAAGTTATACTGTTAGAATGATGTGCTCCCTTTTGCTTTGGGGGTGAGACAAACAATAAATACAGGCACACCACAGAGACATTGTGGGTCTGGCCTCTACAACTGCGGTACAGCAAACACCATAACACAGCAAGTCACACAAATTTTTCCATCTCCACGTACATATGAAAGTTATATTTTCATTATACACTGGTCTACTAATTGTGTAGTAATTATATGAAAAAGTTTTAAGTATTTTGAAAAATACCAAAATGTTGACACAGAGATAAGAAGTAAGCTGTTGGAAAGATGGCATTAGCAGACTTGCTTCTCGAAGAGTCGCCATAAACTCAAAATTTGTTAAAACAAAAAACCCCTACAGTCTCTGTTAAGTAAAATAAAGTGCAATAAAAAGAAGTATGCCTCCCATTAACCAACAAATGGATAGAGAAGTTCTGGTATATTCACAAAAATAGAACACTATGCAGCACTGAAAAATAAGGAACTCATGAAATATACAAAATGGGTGACCCTGGAGGACATTATGCTGAGTGAAATATCTCAGTCACCAAAGGACAAGTATTACACGGGGCCACTGCTATAAAATGGGAATGAAATCAGAGTTGGAGGGAGACTGAGAAAGATGGGATAAATTATGTATACTGTGCTGAAACGGATGAGGGAAAGAACTGTTTAAAAGGGACATATGATTAGGTATTATTGTCATGACAGAAGTCTAGAATGAAGGCTGCACAGTGGAATGGACTTGGGGGAAGGGACTGCATAACAATGAAAGAGTTTTACTTTTCCTTTTTTTTTAAATTGTTTTTTCTGTTTGTTTGTTTGTTTTAAATTTTATTATTTTGTGTGTGTACCGTCAAATCAGATCTGACTGGTACAGGAGATGATTGTTCCTCCTTCTCCAGCAGAGCATCTGGTGGACTCGAACTGTGCACCTCTGGGATTGCAGTACACCTTCTTGCCACTAGGCCACCAGAGCTCGCCAGAGTTTTACTTTTCAAGGGGAAGAATGAACTGGGGGGAGGAGTGGGCAGGGAGAAAAGGGCAACAATGAATAAATGGAAACCCTAAGCCTCTGTAAACTTTCATTAACATCAAATAAAAAAAAAAATCTCTAAAAAAATACATTATATAGAATAAATTTTAAAAATAAAATAAAGAGCTATGTCTATAATCTATTAACACTTACTTAGAAAGGAAACTTTAATTAAAAGCAAACTGGCTGATCCCTAATGAGCCTTGGCTTTGCGGGCCCTCTGGGTCGAAACGGGGTTCTGGAACGATTGCTCCGGCTGTGAAGGGTCTTGGCAAACGGGAGCATCAGAGGATGATGTGATTCTACTATATTACAAATATCCTGCAGACAACCCTCTCGAGGAAACAACACTCACGGTCTCCAGAGCCTCCAGGAGAGACATACACGGAGACAGCGCACGGCAAGGACCCAGATTACACGGATGAGAGACTCCAACAGCAGGTCTGAAACTGATTTAATTAAGGCAGGTGCTCTCTTGACTGAACCCAAAATAACACAATGAAATGACAGACCAAGGCATGAAGGCAAAGGGTTTTTTAAACAGAGACTAACAACATACCGACTGACAGCATTTCCAAAGATGGAGCGAATGTTGTCCACGGTGGTGGCATTGGGCAGGGTTCTCACATCGGCCGTGGTCTCACCTTGCTGAGAAACAGAACCAGACAGAAGAGATCACGGCTTCCAATCTCACAGCGGTGATAGAACATCACCCCCTTATCTCTACAGATAAACAACAACAATCCCCTTTCCTTTTCTTACTATCATCATCCCCTGTAAACCAAGAACTTACCTTTTTAACAGAGAAACTAACGCCTGAATTGTGTATTGAATACCTGGGTGAGAGGAGGGAAAACAAGCACTCAGTAAGTAGAGAATGATCGAGTAATACATGTGACAGTCTCCTTCCACCTGGATGAACAGCACTGAGGGATTTAAACAAAGACAACACAAACAAAAACATCATACTCAAGATAACACACTTGACTCACAGGAGAATGGCCAGCAGAGATGACATGGAGACAAGGATGATAAATGTGACTGAATTAAAAAACAAAACAAAACTGGGTTCTGCTTTGCTTTTTATGCGTTGTTGGCTACACTGTAGAAAACCTAACTTGTCCTGAACTGTCTCGGGCAAGCCTTGAGAACCTAGGTCTGCCTTTTCTGGTCCTTCTGGTCCCCTGGGTCCAGTTCCAGCAACTCCCTGGGCTTTCGTAGTTGGCCACCTCCCACTCTGGACACTCACCCTCAATGACCTGAAGGAAGGCATTTAACAAAATGCGTTTATTCACTGATAATAACATTTTACTTTACAAAACCAAGAATCCAAACAGCCCCTAGAACTCCTTATTTCCAGGAGATCATGGCTATTCCAACTTTTTGTACAGTTTTGGCCAAAAAACCCTTGATGTATAAACCACCTACGCCACTGTGTTATGGACAAATGTTTGGCTCGTATTAGGTCTTTTCAAAATATGAGAAAATAGCACATTCTCGTGAAAGTTCAGGCACCCCTGGCAGATTAAATCTATCACACACATAACATTTTCACCTGGCTGGAACCCTACCCTGTTCATCAGCTAATCTTCACCTTGTCCCATCCCGCTTAACGTTCTTTTGGGAACACTACTGATCACGCGGCTTTCTCTCCACAGAACTAAACACATAACTGAGTGAACCAGCTATGCCAACCAGCTGTGTTTTCCCAGGAAACAGGTTCTCGAGCAGAGTCAGGATGAAGTGTAACAGCTGGGGCAAGGTCACTACATGAAAGCCCTTGAGGGAGGCTGGCTTTCTGCCCTCAGAGAGCCGTTCACGAAATCTCCATTCACTGGGAGAGAACTCCCAGCCTTCCAATAAATTCCTTTTGGATTCACACTATCTAGAGTCCGTTTGTTTCATGTGCCATCAAAGCACCCTCAATGCTGAAGAGAGCAACTGCTCTTCCCTGGGGGGGAAGGAGCAAGGCCAGAACTGGTGATGAAACCTTGACTAGAAAGGATTTCTGGTCAGAGAAGAAGTGATGCCTTTGAACTGCGGTGCTGGGTAGGAGTGCTGCATCAACCACAGACTGTCGAGAGTACAAACCAGTATATCCTGAAGGAGGAGCAGTCGGAGCGCTCCCTAGAGACATCACACAGTGATGACGCTGCTCTCCACCTCGCTCGGCAAACTATTCTCAATTCAGAAAAACCTGCACACAATTCTTCAGTGAGAGATTTTAGAGAGCCACTCCCATAGTCGGGATTGTACCTGCCAACAACTTCCAGAATCTTCCCATACTCCTCACTGGGATTTTTCAAAGCTTTCCTCCTCGTGGTGATGTTGTAAAAGAGGTCTTCCACCTGAAAGGAAGAGGAACGTTTCGTGTGAACCCACAGAAGTCCATGGAAGAAAAGACCCACTGGTGGCCTAACGCCGACTCCTAAGACAATGAGGGAATCCAATTCTACTGCTCAAAGCACAACTGTAAGTGCCTGAGGAACAAGGGGCAACTGAGAGGGCAGAGCTGACAAAAAAACGAAAGGATGTTTTTCCTCCCTCCAACATTCATTTGTCATTCTTCAAATATTTCTTGGAGCCTATTCAATAAGAGAGGAAGACTCAGCGAGTGACACAGTGACTCTGACAACAGGCTCGTGCCCACTAAGGTGAGGACGACGCAGCATCAGCCAAGGTTCAGATCTGCTGTTCACAGGGTCACTGGGGGCTGAACTCACTACATGGCACCTGACAACAACATCCCGACGTCAGGAGCCACTGGCCAGAGCACAGGGTCAGTGCTAAGCTGAAAAGCTGGCAATGCTTCTTTGCCCACAGGCCCGTTAGGAGCAAGTCCTACCGGTCCACGTCTAAAAGCTCACGGCCACTGAAACCCTCCTGAGCACGGCAAAATCGGAAGCAAGCAGGGTCACCAAGAGTCAGCTCAGTGGCAACCTGACTGGCTTCGTCTACGTCAGACTTCCTGCTTCATGCTGAGAGGAAGAAGACAAAGCACAATCTTGCCAATGAGAGGAGACAATTTGAGGTAAACACGTAAATTTCTGATTATATCACATGGCACTCAGAGATATTTTTCTAAAGACTATAAATTTTTTTTTTTATTTTTAAAATTTTTTTGTTTCTTTATCATTATATCAGATCTGACTGGTACAGGAGGAGATCGTCCCTCCTTCTCCAGCAGAGCATCTGGTGGATTTGAACCTCACGTCTCTGGGACTGCAGTGCAGCTTCTTGTCACTGGGCCACCAGAGCTCACCAAAATACTAAAAGGTTTCTTAAGTAACTGCATGCCTCTGGAAACTCCATGAACTTTGATGAATGACGATAGTTATAGAAAGGCTTCCGGCCTTTTGTTCATAGGGTCACTAGGAGTCGTGCTGGACTCGACGGCAATCAACAACATCTGTAACAATAGGATCAAGTATATTGGAGATGATGAGGACGGCACAGGACAGGGCAATATTCAGACCTGCTGTTCACAGGGTCCCTGTGAGTCGCAGGTGACTCAAGGGCACCGAACACAACAATGTAAGAATCCTGGAGACTCTTTGAAACGATAAAGGTGTGAACAGGCTGCCATGTCACAAAAGCCAAAATGTATTTCATTCCTTTAGAACATGACCACTTGGACTTTGTAGTAATCTATAAAAACTCATCCTTTCTCTCACAACTCAAACACATTTTTACTTTTTCTTTTTCTGTGTCCGTTAACATATGTAAGAAAAATACATCACAATAAATAAATATATAGAGATATATTATAAATATAGATAAATATAAGTATCTCTATATCTATAGAGAATGCAACAAGATGACTAGATTACTCCCACCTCAAATATACAGGTGTGTAGATAGCTCTGTGGAGCATTTATTTTTCTTTTTTAATTGAGATTTTAATGAAAGTTTATAAAGAACTTGGATTTCCATTCACTCAATTGTTGCACATTTTCTTCTCCGCCCCCCCTCACTCCCAGTTCATTTTTCTCTCTGGAAAAAAAATTTCTTTCATTGTTATACAGTCCCCACCCTCAGACCACTTTACTATGCAGCTCTTTTTCTGGACTCTTGTCATGCCAATAGTACCTAATCATATATCCCTTTTATACAGTTCTCTCCCTCGTCTGTTTCAATGTTGTGTACATTATTTATCCCCTTTTTTCTTAGTTTCCCCCAACCCCCATGTCAGCCCTATATTTGTCTTTTTGTGACTGAGAAAATAGTCATAAAAAACACTTTATCAAAGATTTGCCTGCACCAACTTACCATGATCTGCGTCCCCTGATTGCCTGCACAGGGTTTTGGAGGGGCTTTCAGCTTCCCATCTGAGTAACTTGCTCTAGTGAAAAATGACAAGAAATTCTTAATATCCAAAAGGAATGTAAACAGATATGTACCCAAATGATAATAAACAAATGCCAACAACAGATTAAAAAATGTTGTTGTTGTTGTTATGTGTGGTCGAGTCACCTGTGACTCATAGCAACCTTATGTACAACAGCCCTAAACCCTGCTCTGTCCTGTGCCAATCTCATTGCCTCTGACAACCCATCCTGATTACCCCAGTCACTGAATCAATCCACCTCACAGAGGGCCTTCCCCTCCTGTGCTGTCCCTCCATCCTCCCAAAATAAAGCCATGTTACAAAACCGATTATCTATTTACAGAAAATTGAAACAAGATGGATCAAGGACCCTGTGTAAAACCTAAAACTATAAAGTGCATAGTTTTATATATTTCTATATTTACTATAAAGTTCACAGGGAAGGCTAAGCAATCTTCTCCGTGTGATTAACTGCCTCTGAAAACCAGCCAGAGGGTCAGCGAGGGGTCAGACCTGACTCGATGGGACCCAACAACAATAAAGTTCACCAACGGAAATCCACCAGCCACTCCTCAGAAGACAGCCAGCCAGTCTTCTGGTGGAAATGACACTATAGCAGCGAGTCAGTAAAGCGAACAGTAAGATGGGCTCGGTGTTTCTGCACTCGTTTATTAAGGGGCTGCCATATCTCGGGCCTGCGGAGGCCCTGGTAATAACAAAAAGCCCCGGAAAGTTTTTGATCAAGCAAGGAGACAGATTTTTATCTAAAGTGTACAACTACGGCCAAAAGTGATGGCTAAAAGGAAACATCCAGCCTGAGGTGGGTGGAAGGTTAATTCGTTAATTCACCTGAGCTGCAGGGAAGCACACTTTGAGGTGGAGGGAGCTGGAAGGCAGAGGGCAGAGAAGGTCTAGAACACCAGGCGGCTGGGAATTACAGATGGAAGTAAATGGGAAGGCGAACATGGGAGGGCCCTGAGTGTCACGTGACTCTGGATTTCATCCGGTAAAGGTGGGAAAAGGTCCTGAGCGCAGGTATGACACGGCCCCAGAGGGATAGAAGCAGAACTTGTCTCCCAGGATTAAGAAACCATTAACCCCTCCTGAACGGCAAAAAATGAATTTGTTGTCTTGAGTCATTTCAGTATTTCATGTCAGTGGTAATTTGGGACAGCAGCCACAGAAAGCTGACACATGAGAAGATCATGTGATGACAGAATCATTCTCTCGCTGCAGTGACGGACACTGGAACCCACCAGCTGCTCTGCGGGAGAGGTGGGCAATCTCAGCCTGCAGGAGTTACGGCCTCCAAAGACCTGCTGCAGGGCCAGATACGGGTCAGTTCTGACTCAACGGTACCCAGCAACGACGTGTGATAAAATGGCACAGAATGACACACACTCATTTTATACCAATAGCAACTGCCTTGTTTTGATACTCTATTTATAGAAAAATCTAATCTCCTTTGGAAGCCACTGGATGGGAGAGTCCAGAGATCCTCCTTGAAATATATTTCTGCAAATTCTTACAAATCTTTGATACATAAAAACCAAACATACAAATAAGATATTCATTCACAACTGTCCCCCCCTTTTGATACAGAGGATTCTAACATACAGTTCACCCAGTTCCTATGGTAATTATAATTCACATAGAATCAAATTTCCCAAGTATTCGCACTGTCTACTCGCCTTCCAAAAATTCACTGTCAACTGAAAAAAAACCAAGAAACCAGTCAAACTGGCCCTTTGCTGTAGTAATTTTCTGCAATCTGAATGGTAAGGAAATAACATGTCTCATTTCTGTCATGCATTTGATTACCCTTGGTTAATGCTTATAGAGCTAAAGGTGGGTTTTGATTGCTTAATTGCAATTGTTGTTTTTTGGAATGTTCCATACCAAGGAACCATCAGCCTCAGGTATGTGCCAGCAGAGCTGGGAAGGCAGGCTGGTACTCATGGGACAGGCTGCTGGAGGCTCAGGAGCCAGCAAAGGTATCAGGGGACCTGAGCATCCCAGCCACAGGGCCTATGTTCAGCCCTGACAATGATACACGCCCTAAGGAAAGGAGAAAAGGCAGAAACAACCACAGTTACCGTTAGAATTCTTTCTTGTAACAGACACCTGAAAGGGACTTGGAAAATGTTCAGTGTTATCTTTTAAACATCTAGGAAGTAAGATCATCACCGAACCCCCATCCCTGTGGATTATCTACTACATGAGGAGGAGAAAGCATACTCAGCAGCCCAGCCCTAAAACATAAAACCAGTTATTGCAGCAGGATTACTCTGAGAGCCAACCAGAGATCACAGCTCAGGTTCAATATAGAAGAATAAAAGGTCAGCACAATACCTGTATGCACACTTTCCGTCGGCTGTTTTGGTTGTGATTGTAACATGAGCCACATGGCTTATGCTGGCCAAAGCCTAAAGCAGAGGGAGAAAAGGGAAAGGACAACTGTTTAAAGAAGAACTCACTACTAGGTGAGCTCTGGTGGCCTAGTGGCAAGGAGCTGTACTGCAACTCCAGAGGCGAGTGGTTTGAATCTATCAGATGCTCTGCTGGAGAAGGAGGGACAATCTCCTCCTATACCAGTCAGATCCAATTTAATGGTATGCACACACACAAAAATAAGAATTTCTTTGTTTGTTTTTAAAGAATTCATTGCTAGAGTTCTCATCCTGGCCACCTCATCAGATGAAAAGGTAATTCCCATCACCTCTTCCATTTTGTCTTAACGTGAGATAATGAATTCTTTGCTCACTCGCTTTCTATGACATGTGGTTCTATCTATAACGTTTCTTCTTCAGAAGATTTAACTCCAAGTTCTGCAATTGTTTCCAAACCAAACACTTCTCCCCAGTCTGGCATCAAGAAAATAATGAAAGCACCTTGCTTAGCTTTAGGCTGCTCTTTTGTGCCACTTTTGTTGTTGTTTTTATTAGGTGCCATGGAGTTGAGTACGACCTATTTCATACTAAATATTTGTAATAAACCAAATGCTACTTCAGGTTATGAGGGAGGCGGATACAAGCTGGAATTCACCCTGAAGCACTAAGGCAATCCTTAAATGTTTACAGGGGTAGACACTAAGGCAATCATTAAGGGTTTACAGGATTCTTGAATTGTATTTGCTAAACCCTCCCTCCTGAGTCAAGCATAAGGTTTTCAATAGAAAGAGCTTAGCTTCATTTGCATTGAATTCTCTTGGTGATTTGCTCCCTGGAAATTTTCAATAAATACACAGGGAAGCTAAGGTTGGTGCTTTAGTTCTGTTCCCCTCCTGCCGTACCTGTTTTCTCCTACATTCTTGGTGTTCTGTCTCGTTATTAATACTTATTAATATACTTTACTCTCGATCTACAACAAGGACCCACAGCGACCCTGTGAATAACAGATCTGAACTCTGTCCTATCCTGTGCCATCTTCATCCTCTGACACACCTGAGCCCATTGCTACAGTCTCTGTGTCGATGTAACTGGTTAGGAGTTCTTCAGAATATGCCCAGCACATTTTCACATTTGGCCACTTTCGATTCTGCCACCTTTTGGCTGTGTGTCTTGACCACGTTCTTAGCCTCTATGTGCCAATGTGGGCAAAGACTAACTGCTGTACCGTGGCTGGACAAAAGATTAAGCAAATCTGCCATGGAAGAAGGGAGGCTGAGGGGCTTCGAGGCAAGGATGGTGAGACTTCATCTCATGATGTCAGGATGGACTAGACTCCTGGAAAGGGGGTGTCACGAAAGAAAAGTGAAGGGTCAATGATGGAGAGGAAGACCCTCAATGAGACAGACCAAGGCAGTGGCTGCAGCAATGGGTTTGAGGACAGCAGAGGTCTTGAGGATGGGACAGGATCAGGCAGAGAGTCACTCAACTGTTGTCCACAGGGTCATTATGAGTCAGGGCCAAACCTCAAGGCACCTAACAACAAAGGAACGGGGAAGGAACACTTCCTCTGCAGAACTGTTATTAGGAGTAAAAGAATGAACACAGCCAAATGCGGAGAAGCAAGGTGGCACACAGAAAACCTTCAGCTCATCTTCTCTATAATGAAACAGTAAGTCCCAGGGGTGCCGTATAGCTAGACAAAGGTTGAAGGGACCATGGGTTTGGAAACTGGCCAAGAGAGTGGCAAAGCCAGAATAAATCTGCTTTCCTAGGGTATGAGGGCCTGAGGCCTGCTTAACTGAGGAACAGCCTCATGGTCAAAAGCTTCTAGGAAATGACCCCCATCTGGAACAATCTGGGGGTCACTGTGAAATGGAAGATTCTTGAGAGCCCTTGAGTTTTATTTAAATTTCAGAGAAGGGGTCACAAGCCATCCATCACATATCATATGTATGCATCGTACAACAAACTACAGACAGAAAATTAAAGTTACAGGGTCCTTCCCCACCCTATACATCCAAAATAAGTACTCGTAAAAAGTTTCTTTGATTGGACTGGCTAAGGACGACCACCTGAAGGCTCATGGGTTTTAAGTGCTTGGGGCTCATTGAGGCTTAAGTGAGGATTTCCTTGCAATGAGTAGAAAATTTTTTCTTCTGTCCCTTGTCACAAGTTTAAGACTTCACAGCTTGTAGCCATTCGGGGGCCACTTTTAACTTGGACTAGTGTAACTCTTTCATGCAATAAACTGAAAAGAGCCATGGGGGGAAAGTTTCTTTGCTTTCCTAGAACCTCTAGACAGGATGCATTCTGCCAACATCTTGATTTTAGCCCAGAGAGGCTCATGTCCTCTGGTGCACAGAACTGTAAAATAATTCACTCGCATTGTTTTAAGCCAGTAAGTTTATAGTCATTTCTACGGCAACAATAGCAAACTAACAAATAAATGCTAACAAATGGCAGACAATGTCCAGGGTGATTTCACCTTTCCTTTCATTCTCAGCTTACCTCACCCCGGAAGCCGTACGTGGAAATGCGGGACAAATCCTCAAAGGTCTGCAGTTTACTCGTCGTGAACCTCTCACACACAATGTCCAGATCTTCTTTCTAAGATTAAAAAAACAACCAACCAACCACCCTCTAACATCTACATTACTTGTCCTTCCAAATCTCTGCATATGTTTCTTTTCTTGATTGAATTCAAGAAGAAACTCTTTTTAAGTAAAAACATTTTAAACTAGAGATAACTCCGTTGCAGGACACCCAGAAACCCACAGTTTGGCCTGGCTCCTTTCTCGATGGGCTAATCCTTTTTTCCAACTCAGTTGCTGGTTCTGCCACATCCCTTTCATCTCTAACACTGAAGCAACCCAAGTCTACCTCTCAGGACTGATCTACACACATTCCTTAAATTATCTCATCCCTTTCCCGGCTTTTAATGCCATCAAGATACGGATAACTCCCACATGTTTATCTCAGCCCAGACCTCTGTCCAGTGCTCCAGACTCACAGATCCAGCTGAAGGGCATCCCAGGACCCAAAAGGAATGCCTAACCCCCATGCAGCCAACCCGCACCCCAAGCCTGCTGTTCTCAGCTCAGCTCACTGTCATCTATGCTTTCCAATTCTCAGACTCAAATCATGAAAGCATTCTCGCTCACTGCTCACTTTCACGGGTTAAGTAATGTGTTCTTCAAAATGTGCTGACGGCCTTACCACCCCTACATCTGAGGAGATTACATCCTATTTGCAAAACACTCCTATTTGGAAACAGGATTTTCTGTCACCTTAATGAGCCCGCATCAGCGTAGCGTGTGTCCTAAACTTGATCACTTCTAAGTGGGCAAGAAGATTAGCCATAGCAAGCAGGAGTGGGCAAAGCCATGTCTGGGTCACCAAGGAAAAATGGGCTATAGAAGCGGAAACAAGGATTGTCCTCAGAGACCCCAGAAAGTGTGCCTTCCCTTCAAGCCTGTGCCCTGAATTTGAGTGAAAGAATAAATTCTGTGAAGGCCACCCACTTGTTGCATCACTATTACGAAGCCCAAGGACACTAAGGAAATTAGGCAATTAATAAGCCACCTCAGCAGATTCTCAGAGCTTTGCCTTCACAGTCAACCCAGAATCTCACCGTTTCTTACATCTCTCCTGCACTCAGGCTCATCTAAGGCACCATCTCCTGCTGCCCCAGTCTATCTACAGCCTATTTCCTGCACAGCAGATGACGTGAGTCCCATAGAACTCGTAAATTATGTCCCTTCTTTGTGTAACACCCTTTACCTCAAGCAAAACCAAAATGTTTTCTAATGGGTTGCAAGGTCCCAGGTGATCTGCCTAATTGTTTATCGGGTTGTTTGAAGCTCCACCTGCCATTCTCCCTTGTTAATCCGCGTTCAGATTCAGACATACAGGTTTCCTTGGCTCTCAGACCTGACAGACATGCTTCCATTCTGCAGTCTTTGCACAGGCTGCTTCCTCTCCTTGTAAACGCCTCCTTTAAACAGCCTCAACTCACTCCCTGACCTCCTTCATCATCTGTCCTCAAATATCACATCCCTGAGCCATCCAACTGAAACTGGCCCTTCCCACCCCGGCACACCAACCTTCCTCTTTGTTTTCTTCATAGAACTTAATGTCACGTTATTTATTGTACTAAAAAGTTGACAGTTTGTACCCAGCAAGTGACTCCTCAGGACAAAGGCCTGTTATTGTGCTTTAGTAATTATCACTTTCAAAATATAAAATATATATATAATCTCCTAAAAAAACCTTTCGGGGCAGTTCTACTGTCTACTGTGTCATGTGAAGTTCTTATTGGTCAAAAATCAACTCAATAGAACCTAACAATTGTCTGCTTATTCCATCCCTCTAGAAAGTTAAAACTAGAAAAGAACAGGTATTTTCTCCTGTTTTGTTCACTGCCGTATCCCCTTGAATGGTGTCCAGCAGGGAACAATTACTCAATAAATGTTTACCGGGAGTGTTGGATGTTTCAGTTCAAACACAACCAAAACCACCCCTCTGCAGAGGTCTGGTTTGTAGACCAGGAGAAGGTAAGTCCCTTCCTGCACATATCACAGGGATAACGTGCACACACACCCCGTTCTCCTCAAGGCTGCACTTACCCGGATCCCGGTGCCGTTATCTTGGATCTGAATCAGTTTCAGGCCTCCGTCTTTAACAACCACTTGGATACTTGTGGACTTTGCATCTAAGCTGGCAAATCACACAGAGAACATAATCAGTCTGCAACTACTCTAATGAACCAAAAGTTACCGAGCTCAAAACACAGTCCAGAGAAATGCAAGCGTGTTTTTCCTTCATCTTACAAGCTCAGTGACAAGACAGTACGAGTTTAGGTTGAGAGAGAAAAAGAAGGGGGCAGAAGAGGGAAACCTTCATTTCTAATAGGGCATTTAGCACCAGCTCAACAGAAAAGATATGGACAATCTCCTCTCATGCAGATTACAGCCTCAGAAATAAAGTGAGAGGGTTCTGAGCCAGCTAGCAGTGAGAAGCTGCACTGCCATTCCAAAGGCACACAGTTCGAATCCACCAGCTGCTCTGCGGAAGAAAGATGGGCAGTCTCCTCTGGTGCAATTTTCTCCCTCTGAAACCTACTGGAGAGTTGGCGATCACTCAGAAATGACTCGATGGCACACAACTACATTAATATATTAAAGTAAGAACAATCAGATGCTATACAAAAATCTGTTTATAGAATTAAGTACAAGCCATGGCACATCTGTGTTTAGCTGTACATTATTCTGGCACAGTACAATAGTATGTCCAATTTATTCTGTTAGTTCTAACAGCATAGAAAAAAAAAATCAGTCTCTATAAACCACAGGGGGGAAAAAATGTTTCCAGATTTTCTGCTCCTTTTTTCTACCTTTTCTTCTTTCCCTTGTTCATCTTGAACCCAGAGCTTTTCCAAGTCCCACTAGCCTGACTGCTTATGTTTTTAAAATATCTCTACATCTCTGTCATTCTTAGCTGTAGCCTTTAACAAATATGTCTCACACACACACACACACACACACACACACACTGTCTGTTATCTTAGTGGTAAGGGCCTGTGTTGCCAACCTGTAGGAAGGTACGTGATCATCTGCATTCACCATCAAAAGAAAGACGAGCCATCAGCTCCCATGTGATTTACTGCCCCTGAAAATCTGCTGGAGGGTCAGTTCTGACTCAACAGTACACGCGATCAACAACTGCCTGTTGGCAGTACTAACACCTCCAATCAAGTTTCCGAGGCTGTAAATCTTTACGGGAAAAGACTGTCCATCTTAGAGCAACTCGGATTGGAACTGCTCACCTTTCTGTTAGCAGTTTAACATGTAAACATACCATGCCACCAGGGCTCCTTTTGAAGTGCATGGACTGCACCAACAATAAATGTTTAACGTTTAGGCGTAATACTGGACATCTTTTTGAGGTTTACAATCCATATTTACCTTTTCACTTAAAAAAAAACCCAACTTTTTATTGTGACTTGGGTAAAAGTCTACAGGACAAAGCAGTTTTCCACACATCATGTCATATGTATTTCATTTTGAGACTGATTGCAAACTCCACAGGGTTAACAGCTCTCTTCCTACATCTTGACCCCTGCAATCTTTTCTGTCCCTTCTTAAAGCCTTCTGCACTTTACCATTGAGCCAGTGCTCTTATGATCAATTTTCATAAGGAGTGCAGCCCTCCTCAATATTACCATTCATTCTAAGTCTACTGATTTGGCTGAAAACAGAAGGAAGTGGATGAGCTCAGGTCGTTTTAAAGCATCTGTAGGGGCTGCAGGTAGCGTTTCAGGAGTCTCTGGTCCTTTTTACTGAGATCCGACCAAGCTTTTTCTCCCATTCCATCCAGCACTCTAATTATGTTCCCTTTGCCAGTGGTCCACTCTTAATCCCGTCCTTCTCCACTCTGATATTTACGAGAATCTACAAGATGTCCTTCTAATGATATCTCCTGAGTGACCCTTAAAAATTTAAAGCAAGAAAACACCTGTGGGGCATTACAGAAATCAACATTAAACCCAAAGTGCCCAGACGATTTCTTTTGAATAAAAGTGAAAATTGTGCCCTTGATGTATGTACTGTTGATTTCTCTGGAATGAAAACCAAGAAGCTGGTAACATGATATCCTTTGCAAAAAAAATATCTTTCCCAAGCAATAAACGAACGCTCACACATTTCAGTGTGCACCTTCTACATAATGTCAAATCAAGCAATCCCTTCAGTTTAATGGGAAGACTTCTGATGGCACTGTAGTTAGAGCACTTGGCTGCAAATGCCAGGTCAAGGGCACTTCAAACCCACCAGCTAGCAGCGGGGAGGGATGAAGATGCTGGAGTTCCCTAAAATCCAGCCTTGGATGCCCTAGGGGGATGCTGGGGTCCAGCCTACCGCTTTGATTTCAATCAAAACGATGGCAGGTTTGGCTTTTTGGTCTTGTTTAGTTAACAAGACCATTAAAGCAATAGTAAAGCTATCTTCCACTCGCACCTGTGAACATTCTAGAAAGAACACGGCAGAGTGCTCGACAAACACTGGTTGCCTAGTTACAGAATCAGTGCCTTCGACCCAGGGCCCCGGGCTCGGCAGGACGCGCATGCGCATTAGCGCTGCCGGCCAGGGCCGGGGTGGGGGTGGGGGAGCAGGTAAGCGCGGTGCCGCCGCTGCTGATGCTGCGGGCATGCGCAGTAGCCGCCTCCGGACAGCGCAAGGAGGCGTGTCGCGCGATCCTAAAGCGTGAGGCCCCCTTAACTCGCAGCCTCTAAGGGCGCCTGGCCCGGCTTCCTTCGTACCAGTTCTCAATCATCTCCTTGATGGCATTGGCCGGCCGCTGGATGACCTCTCCCGCCGCGATGCGGTTCACCACTGTTTCGTCTAGCCGGCGGATCACTCCCGCCCCTAGCGACATTTTGGCCTCTGCAGAGCTCCGGCCACGTTCGAGAGGCTCAGCGGAATTGCCTTCCGCCGGTCACTTCTGTGTCTCGAACTCCCGGCCTCTCAGCAACGGCAGCTCATCCCTTCTTACTTCACCCCACCTCCAATCCCCAATGGCAACGCAGTGTAGGCGCTACAGGGCTATTGATTGGACGGCTCGAATGCCAGTCAAGTTTCTTAAGTGCATCAGTTCCTTCGTCCCTCCCTAGCCAGCGGGCGCTGTGTTTATACGTCAGAAGACTGTCCGCGCTTCCTATTGGTCAGATCCTCGGAGCGACAGAGACTCTGAAATTTGCAGCCAATAGGAGCTGAGATGCGGACGCAGGAGGCGGGTGTTCCCCTGCCGAGGTGGAGAAGGGCCGCGGTGAGCGGGCGCCTGTCAGCTGCTCCGCCCCTCTCCCCGCAGCCTCCGTGAGGCTGCCCCTTTTCTGGTGTCCCTCCCCACTGTGAAATGTGGATGACCCCCAAAAGGAACAAGATGGAAGTCAAGGAGTTTAGAGCTTTCCTTCCCGAGTGGACCCAGCGTTACTTAGTGGTGCAGCCTCCCGAGGGCAACGGGACCCTGTGCCTGGTGTGTCGCCGGCTCATCATGGCCACCCGCGAGCACGATGTGAGGCGGCACTATGAGGCTGAGCATGAGTACTACGACTGGTACACGACGGAGGGCGAGAGCGTGGTCCTGGTGGAGGGCCCACTGTTGGCGGAGGAGAAAGCCATGCGTGCGGGCTACGGGCTGGCCCGCCTGCTGGCCCTCAAGGGCCGCGGCTGGGGCGAGGAGCACTTCGTGTACCGCTGCCTGGAGCTGATGCTGCGCGAGGTGCTGCCCGAGCACGAGGGCGTCCTGGAGCACCTGGACCTGGGGCCCGAGGTCACGGGCCAGCGCATCCTCAAGATAGACCGCGACCTCCACACGCAGCTCTGCAGCCGCGCCAAGGACTTCAGGGCCTACTCGCTGGCCCTGGACGACCAGGCCTTCGTGGCCCACGAGAACTACCTGCTGGTCTTCATGCGCAGCGTGAACGACAGCCTGCGCGTGCAGGAGGAGCTGCTGTCCCTGGTCAACCTGACCCAGCACTATAGCGTCGGGGCAATGATGGCGGCCATTCTGGAGGCCCTGCAGGGCGCGGGGCTGAGCCTGCAGCGCATGGTGGGGCTCACGACCACGCACACGCAGCGCATGGTGGGCGAGAACTCGGGCCTGGTGTCCTACATGCGCGAGAAGGCGGTCAGCCCCAACACCTGGAACGTCATCCACTACTCGGGCGTCGTCCACCTGGAGCTGCTGAGCTCCTACGACCTGGACATCAGCGACGTCATCGGCACCATCTCCGAGTGGCTGGTGATCATCCACTCCCGCGGCGTGAAGCGCCCCGAGTTCCAGTCCCTCCTGTCCGAGTCCGAGTCCCCGCACAGCGAGCGGGTGAACGGACGCTGCCTGCACACCTGGCTGCGCCGAGCCAGGACCCTCAGGCTGGTCTTTTCGCTCAGGAGAGAGATCGAAGCCTTCCTGGCGTCCGTCGGGGTCCCCACCCTCCACTTCTCCGACCGGCAGTGGCTCTGCGACTTCGCCTTCTTGGTGGACATCATGGACCAGCTGCGGGAGCTCAGCGACGAGATGCGACGCAGCCGGCGGGTCTTTGTCGCCGCCGCCTTTGACCGGGTTTGTCGCTTCGAAGACAAGCTGACCTTGCTGCACGTTCACCTGGAGGAGAAAAACCTCACCCACTTCCCGGCCTTGAGAGAAATCGTGGACGAGTTCAGGCAGCACCAGGCCAAAGACGACCAGAGGATCTTTGAGCCTGACAGGTACCAGGTGGTGATCAGCACCTTACAGAAGGACTTCGAGAAGCATTTCAAGGACCTGAACTTTATCAAAAAGGACTTGGAGCTCTTCGCCAACCCCTTTAGCTTCAAACTCGAGTATGCCCCCGTCTCCGTGAAGGTGGAGCTGACCAGACTGCAGACCAATTCGGAACTTTGGGATGAATACAGGAGGAAAACCCTGGGGCAGTTCTACGCAGGACTGTCTGAAGAATCTTACCCCATCATCAAAGGGGTGGCCTATAAGGTGGCCTCCTTGTTCGACAACAATCGAATCTCCGAGAAGACGTACACCTATCTGACCCGCTACCAGCACGCCTTGTGCCGCCCGCTGGAAGATGAACATCTCCAAGCCTTGTTCCGCATTGCCACGACGGAGATGGAGCCCCACTGGGATGATCTGGTGAGAGGAAGAAATGCAGTGAACCCATAAACCTCCCAGGTCCACCCCTCATTGGCAAAACTCCACAAGAATTCAAGTCTCAAAGCAAAACTTGGTGTCGTTTCCCCAGGATGACTTAATTTTGGATTGTGGAAAAGCACCCCCAAGTTTAACCCAAGACAATCCAAATTGGACCGGACACTGTCTTATGTTATTTACTTCCCCTGTCCCCCTACTCCCATTTTTTTTTTTAAAAAAACAACACAACAAAACAGCCTCATGAAGCAGATGAGACTGAGAGATGAAAACACTACCCTTTTTAAAAATTTCGTTGAATGGCAGTAGTCGTTTTTTGCCTTTATCACAAAATTGTTTTTGCAGTGTTGATGATGATAATGTAAGTTGAATGTGAAGTCAGATTTAAGGTGTTTTGAAGATACATAGCAAAAATTTAGCTCCAGTTTTCAGGTGTGTTAAAATCAATCTGAAATTATCAACTGCTGAACTGTATATTTAAATTGATTAGCAGAAGTTCATGAAGCAGGTTCAGCTGTTTCCAGAAAGGAAGAACTCGACTTGCAGTGGAGCTGTTTTCTCCTTATCAGAATGTTTGAGACAATTTTTTAAAAGCTCTTTCTGAATCTGAGGTAAATACTTATTTCTCCCCTTCCCCTATCTCAGCCTTAGTTATTGTTAGTAACCATAGAGGAAACAGTTCAAGAAAACTGTAGTCACAGGAACAAGAGTTATATTTAAGTTGCGGATTTAGGTAGCTTCTTGCACCTTGAGTTCAGACTAATGTTTATAGGAAAATTCCCTGTGATTTTCATGATTTTGGTAACTTTATAAATTTTTTCTATTAAAGGAATATCGTAAATATTAATGGTAGACCATTTGTAATTTCATTTTTCTACTCTAAGATGGATAAGGAAAAGAATGTGGGAGTTTTTGCACTCCAGGATCAAGAGATGTAAAATACTGTAATCCTGTGTTTTCCTTTGCTTGAACTCCTGCTTGAAGGAAATCTATTCATTTAAAGTATAACATCACACTGCTGGAAATAGATTTCTTCTAAATTGGAAACTATTCCCCCATATTCAGTATTAGGAAAATGCAAAGTGAAGACATGTAAGTTTGAAGAAGCCACCTTACCTACAGATTTCATCAGTTTCATATTTCTAGTAGGACATCAGCTTTATGCTACAGGTTGTATTGATGGCATTAAGTTTGAGTTTTTGTTAACTATGAAAGGAAAATTGACAATAAAGCCCAATGATGTAAAACTGAGTTGAACACAGAACTCAGTTTGCATATACAAATCTTCACAAGAACAATTTTACTATTGTGCTAAAGCTCTGTCTTAACAATCACAACGCTTTAGTCACTTTGATCACAACTGACTAGTCTGTTCAGCCGTGATACAACTAAGATTCTAGAAGAAGCTAGTTTCTGAGCAGTCAGATTAGATGCCACAGGAGTTAAAGAGCCCAAGTTGTATCTGTGGTTCTCAATCAGAGCCCCCTCTTCCCAGAGGATGTTGGGGAATGTGAAAAACTTGGTGGTTGCTGTTATTTGGGGTCAGGTAGCTATGTGTTTTCTGCTGCATTTATGTTTTGCAATGCATAGTAACCTGGCACCGTGAAGCATTGACCATCCCAAAGTGCCAGTAGGCCCTCATGGAGATACTCTTCTTTTGAGAGACAGAACAGACTACCAGAGAATAAAATGAGACATGTAAGTATCAGAATGCTTGCTTGATAGGGGAGGCTAATTCCAGCATTCTAAGTTGACTAATAGGTACAATAATAGCCTTAATAGGCTCCCTGAGCCTGTCAGACATTGTCAAGAAAGTTTGTCCTAGAATTTGTTTAGGTCAGAGAAACAAGTAAGCATTAGGTGTTACTAATATATTTTCCAACAATTACTATGTTGAGATTTTGGATAGCAGGAATAAGCTTAAATATCTGGAAGAACAACATTGTAAATTAATCAAAAACAAAGCATCGACTGGAAATTTCCCAGTAGCTTTAGTGTCCTCTTTCAAGGCAAATGCTTTACTTGAAAGAAAGGCTAAAAAGCCGCAGAGCTGCTTCTGCTTTCTAACCCTGGTTCTTCAGATACTGAAGTTGTGTACATTTGTGAAGTTATGCTATATGTTTAACTTAAAAACATTAGTTTGCTTTGTTTAGTTACTGACGAAGGGCATAGAAGATAATTCAAGGATTTTAAGTTGACCTTCAATAGAGGATTTGTTATATAGAGTATTGTTTCTTTTCAAGCGTGTATATTTTACTGTTTTCGTATTAAGTAAGTAATTCTGTAACTGCATGGCAGTCTTTAAATTATATTGTTACTGGTCCTGTAATATCAGTGAATATTATAAAAGTACCTTGTACTTCCCATCCCGACTAGCCTTCTTGAAAGATTTGTCTGTATTCCCAAGTCTCCTGTATGTCCACTCTAACTACTTTTCTGAGGTTATTAAATCCTTGTTAGTATTCTTACCCTCCTTTGACATTACTGACTACACTCCCTGTCTTTAGCTCTGGGAAGATGCTGTACCCAGGTATGCTTTCTCAGTCTTCTTTGTGGACAGCTCTTTCTCTATGCTCCTTGAGATGGTTTTTTTTTACATTGTCTTCTCTTTAAATTTTGTTTTAAGCTGTCATCATTTCCCTAGATGAGGTCATCTCCTTCCATTGGTTTAGACACCACCTAATACACTAAAGATTCTTGAATCTAATTGCTGTTTTAACAAGTCTACATTGTTCATTGCTCTCTCACAGACATCCCAACATATTGATCTCATTTCCAAACCTCCTCTCTCGTGTTGCTTCTCAATAAATGTCACATTCAAGTTTCCCTTTGCCCAGACTGAAATCAAGTCATCCATGTTATTTCCCTCTTCATCTGTCATGTCACAAGGAAACACCTTCCTGTTAATTGTGTCTCAGTGTCAACTCTGGTGTCACTAGCTTAATCCAGGCTGTCGTACCTAAATGATAGCAAGCACTTCCTGCCTGGTCTCCCTTTTATCTGGTTTCTGATTCCTTTCTATGCAGTAGCCAGATACTCGTAAAGTCTTCTGTGTCCATATCACTCCACTTAGGACAAGACACACTTCTGTCCGTCTTTCAGATCTGTGCCTCTGTGAAGCTGCTTTGATGCGCCCTAGAATGAGCACCTAGACTGTCTATTCCGTAAATACTCTTTATTCCCAAGTCACCTGTGTGTCTACTTTGCTCTTCTGAGGTTGCTAACTCCCTATCAGTGTTCTTCCCCTCCTTAGTCGTTACTGACCACCCTCCTTGAAATACCGTTTTTTTTTTTTAAACTTTGGGGAGTTGCTGTCCCCGGGTAAGCCTTCTCTTTGCAAACACTTCTTAAATACCTATGTCCTTTAAAGTTTTTACGTTTTCTTCTTATATTTTTTTTAAGCTGTCATCATCTCCATAGATTGAAGTCATCTCCTATTGCTTTAGATATCACCTGTACACTAATGATTTCTGAATTCATGTCTTTCTAGACCTTCACATATTATTGATCACTGCTGGACTGGACCCTTAATAATGGCAGGGACCATATAAGCCTTGCTCACTGTTAAATCTCTAGTGCTTAGCGTGATGTATGGCATTTAAATAAATATTTGGATGAGTAAATATTGGTGCAGTGTTGTTCTATGATCTTCAAAGCTCTTACAGTCATCTAGGTGGTCAGAACACCTTAAATTGTTCACTGACATTATCCACATATTCCAAATGAAAAAAAAATTAATTTCTTCCTCATGGGGGACTGTGTCTTTTCATTTTTAGATTCCCAGGAAATTTGACATATGGCTCAAATACGTGAATGTAGTTGAGGAAACAAATTGACAGCAATTTATCCCCAGGTGGCCTAGTGGGTAAGGATTTTTACTGCCAACCCAAAGGCAGGCAGTTTGCTCCCACCAGCTGCTCTGAGGGAGAAAGATGGGCACTCTCCTTTTATGTGATTTACAGCCTCTGAATACCTGCTGACCATCAGCTATGAGTTGTTCAACTTGGTAGCAATCGTAGAGAAACAAATAGTGAAGCCAAGATTCAAAACTATGTATGTATACACACACAGAAGTCTACTATATGATACTGCCTTTACATGATGAGAAGAGCAACAATACAGAAGAGGACGACCCTGGATGAGATAGATTGACACAGTGTCTGGGGTAATCAGGGCAAGTGTGTTGGAGACAGATTGGCTCAGGATAGGACATGGTTCAGAGCTATTGTGCATAGGGTCACTATGAGTCACAGGTGACTTGACAGCACATGACAACAACAACAAAGCAATGTGCATGAAAATGAAAAAGACTGCATAACCAGTAATGAAAACCTTGAGTAGCAAGAAAAGACTGCAGGTTGGGATCCATTTTCCTTTGTGAGCCAAGATTTAAGTAAAATTTCCTTCGGGTCACCAGGTGTTTAAACCTTCGTGCCTGAAGTAAGCCCTCATCACCTCTCCACAGATATTCCAAAAGTCACATCTGGTTGGCTGTATCTCTGCCGTCTCATGCCTCCCTCAACCTGACTTCTAGATACAATACTTTTACTTTTTGAATGGGAGAACTACACCCTTAGTCTTATTTCCTAGAGTCATTTGTCCAGTTCAAGGAATTCAGTAGTTCTACACTCATAGTTATCCCATTTGAATCGGAAAAATTAACTTACCCAACGACCTGAGTACTAGGTGTGATTGTCACATAGCAATCTTATCCTTGTTGCAGAATGGGGTATAATCAACCTCTGAATTAAAGAATTTCTCATTTTTGTCTTACTGTATGTAATAGAGAAATATTTTCACTCTAACCCATTACTACTTTGTGAAATCTCCATTCATGCCTGAAAACTGACCTTTTCTAAATACCTCTAGTCCTACATTCCAGTCAAATGTGTCTAATAGCAACTACAAAATAAGTCTTTTTCATTAGTAAATTATAAATTTGCTTTTCAGGTTATCTCAAGAGACAAGACTGCCACTGTATAAGTTCTCTTTCAACCTCCATTGGCAATTTACTG